GACTATCCTGGTGAACTGTCCCTCAACCAAATCTACGGCACTTTCAATTCCGCTGTTCTCAAGATCGTTCCGTCTCTCAGGGGATACTCTGAGGCTCTTACTCATGCCATGGTTCGCTTCTATCTCGAATCTCAACAGAGGTTCACGCCAAAGATTCAACCCCACTATGTATACAGTCCCCGTGAGCTAACACGATGGGTTCGTGGCGTTTACGAAGCCATCCGACCTCTGGAGGCCTTATCTATTGAAGGTCTAATTCGAATCTGGGCTCACGAAGCTCTTCGTCTGTTCCAGGATCGTCTGGTCGCCGAAGACGAGCGACAGTGGACCGACGAAAGCGTGCGCCGCATTGCACTTGAATACTTTCCCAATATCGACGAGGAGAAGGCCCTGGGAGGGCCTATTCTGTTCTCTAACTGGTTGTCCAAGAATTACGTTCCGGTTGACCGTGAACAGCTAAGAGATTTTGTCAAGGCGAGATTGAAGACCTTTTGCGAAGAGGAGGTGGATGTTCCTCTAATTCTGTTCAATGACGTCTTGGAGCATGTGCTGCGCATTGATCGTGTCTTCCGACAGCCCCAAGGTCATCTTATCTTGATTGGTGTGAGTGGTAGTGGCAAAACCACCTTGTCTCGTTTCGTGGCCTGGATGAACGGTCTCAAAGTCTTCCAGATCAAGGTCCATGGCAAGTATTCTGCTGAGGACTTTGATGATGATCTTCGAGACGTCCTTCGTCGTTGTGGCTGCAAGGGCGAGAAGATTTGCTTTATCATGGACGAGTCAAACGTTTTGGATTCAGGATTTCTCGAAAGAATGAACACCCTCCTCGCCAACGCTGAAGTGCCTGGTCTTTTTGAGGGTGACGAATACGCTGCTCTTATGACAGCATGCAAGGAGGGTGCTCAGCGACAAAACCTGCACCTTGACTCCCCAGAAGAGTTGTATAAGTGGTTTACCCAGCAAATTGTGAAGAACCTACATGTCGTCTTCACCATGAACCCACCCGAGGACGGTCTCTCTTCCAAGGCTGCTACCAGTCCCGCCTTGTTCAACCGTTGTGTTCTCAATTGGTTCGGTGACTGGTCTGACCAAGCCCTTTTCCAGGTCGGCCATGAGCTCACCCAGTCTATTGACCTGGACCGAAGCAATTTCGAATGCCCTGATACCGTTCCTGTGGCCTATCGTGGCCTGCAGCTGCCTCCATCCCATCGCGAGACAGTTGTCAACTCTATGGTTTACATTCATTACTCTTTGCAGCGGTACAATGAGAAGCTATTCAAGCAACAGGGCAAGGTCACTTTCCTGACCCCTCGTCACTTCCTCGATTTCGTTGCCCAGTACGTCAAGCTTTATAACGAGAAACGGGAGGATCTCGAAGAACAGCAACGCCACTTGAATGTTGGCCTGGAGAAGCTCCGAGACACTGTCGACAAGGTTCGAGATCTTAGAGTGAGCCTGGCAGAGAAGAAGAAACAACTAGAGCAGAAGGATGCTGAGGCCAATGAGAAGCTGCAGCGAATGGTGGCTGATCAGCGACTGGCGGAGCAAGAAAAGACCGCATCGCTTGAGATCCAGGCTGCTTTGGATAAGCAAGAAGTCGAGGTTGCGTCGCGGAAGAAGGTTGTACTGGAAGATCTGGCTAAGGCAGAACCTGCGGTCGAGGAAGCAAAGGCTAGCGTCAGTAACATCAAGCGGCAACACTTGACTGAAGTCAGGTCCATGGGCAATCCACCTCAAGGTGTGCGACTTGCTATGGACGCTGTGTGTACGCTTCTTGGTCACAGGATCAACGACTGGAAGGCCGTGCAGGGTATCGTACGAAAGGACGATTTCATCGCTAGCATTCTCATGTTCGACAACGCCAGGCAGATGACCAAGGCTCTGAGAAACAAGATGCGTAACGATTTCCTGTCCAACCCTGAATTCACATTCGAGAAGGTCAATCGTGCCTCGAAGGCCTGCGGACCCCTCGTTCAATGGGTTAGCGCTCAAGTCAACTACTTCGACATTCTTGATCGTGTTGGCCCTCTCAAGCTCGAGGTCGAGGAATTGGAGGAGAAAGCTCTGAACACCAAGGCAGACGCCAAGGCTGTGCAGAACAAGATTGCAGACCTGGAATCTAGCATCAATAGGTACAAGACGGAATATGCTGCGCTGATTAGCGAGACACAATCCATCAAAGCTGAGATGTCCAAGGTCCAGTTCAAGGTCGATCGCAGTGTCAGGCTTCTCGACAGCTTGTCTTCGGAACGAGTTCGTTGGGAAGAGGGCAGCAAGTCTTTCGAGATCCAAATCAGCACACTGGTCGGAGATGTCCTTGTTGCTGCTGCTTTCTTGGCCTACAGCGGTCTCTATGACCAAACCTTCCGAAAGTTGATGATGGATGATTGGTTCCACCAGCTTCACCTCTCTGGTATACATTACAAATCCCCTAACCCTGTCACGGAATACTTGTCGACTGCAGATGAACGTCTGGGTTGGCAAGAGAACACTCTTCCCGTCGATGACTTATGCACAGAGAATGCCATTATTCTCAAGCGCTTCAACCGTTATCCTCTCATCATTGACCCCTCAGGACGAGTCACAGAGTTTCTGCAGAGAGAGTGCAAAGATCGACGCCTGACAGTGACCAGTTTCTTGGATGATACCTTTACCAAGCAACTCGAGAGTTCTCTGCGGTTCGGAAACCCCATCCTCATCCAGGATGCGGAGCATTTGGATCCCATTCTCAACCACGTCCTCAACAAGGAATACCAGAAGACAGGTGGCCGTGTCCTCATTCAACTAGGCAAGCAGGAGATCGATTTTTCGCCTGCCTTCAAGATCTATCTGTCCACTCGTGACCCATCAGCTACTTTCGCTCCTGATATTTGCAGTCGAACCACTTTTGTCAACTTTACTGTCACACAGAGCAGTTTGCAGACACAGTCTCTTAACGATGTACTTAAGTCTGAGCGTCCTGATGTTGATGAACGGCGTTCCAACCTCATCAAGCTTCAGGGAGAGTTCAAGGTCCATCTGCGACAGCTGGAGAAACGACTACTTCAGGCCCTCAACGAGTCTCGTGGCAACATTCTTGATGATGACAACGTCATTGAAACTCTAGAGACTCTCAAGACTGAGGCTGCAGAAATTTCTGGCAAGATGAGCAGCACCGAAGGTGTCATGGCTGAAGTCGAGGAGATTACACAACAGTACAGTATCGTCGCCCGATCCTGTAGTGCCGTCTTTGCTGTCCTTGAACAACTCCATTACCTCAACCACTTCTACCAATTCTCGCTCCAGTACTTCCTGGACATTTTCCAGTCGGTGCTCCACGGCAACAAAAATTTGGCTGGCCAGACTGACCACAATGTTCGGCGTGATGTTATCGTCAAGGATCTTTTCATCAACACGTTCAAGCGAACCGCTCTGGGTCTGCTCCAGAAGGATCGGGTGACTCTTGGGATGCTCCTCGCGCAGGCCTCTCCCTACAAGATGGACAAGTCTTTGATTGACATCATCCTCGATAACCGTGTTGAAGGTAAGGACCTGTCTTCAGATCCCGATGAGAGAGATCAGGCCTTCACCCAGGCTAAGAAGATCGGTGTTCTCAAGGAAAAGCTCGACGCCGTCTCTGCTGAGGATTGGGACAAGTTCTTTACCGAGGAGTTAGCCGAGAACGCTGTACCACAGATCTGGGATGACAAGACTGAGCTCATGGATCAAGCACTCCTGTCTCTTCTACTCGTAAAGCTTTTCAGGATGGACCGGTTTGTTCCTGCTGCTGAACGTTTCGTCAACGAAGTTTTTGGCTCGGGCATCTTCGATGTCGTCGAAGACCTCAAAGAGACAGTTACTCAAGTGTCGGCTACACTGCCAATCTCTCTGGTGTCGAGCCCCGGTTTCGATGCCAGTTACAAGGTGGATAATTTGGTGGAGAGAATGCGTGTCAAGTGCACAAACATTGCCATGGGTTCCAACGAAGGTCTGGCCAGTGCAGACAAAGCAATCAGCAACGCCGCTCAAACGGGCTCATGGGTCTTGGTCAAGAACGTTCACTTGGCCCCAACCTGGCTGCAGAGTCTGGAGAAGCGTATGGGGTCACTCAACCCTCACTCAGACTTCCGTCTGTTCCTGTCCATGGAGTCAAGCCCAAAGATCCCAGTCAACTTGCTCCGGGCTTCTCGCGTACTCATGTATGAGCAACCCGCTGGTGTCAGGGCCAACATGAAGGACTCTATGTCTTCCCTGTCCACACGAGCTACCAAGAGCCCTGTCGAGAGAACTCGTCTTTACTTGCTTCTATCTTTCTTGCATGCAGTGGTGCAAGAAAGATTGCGATACGCACCCAATCTGGGTTGGAGGGGATTCTGGGAGTTTAACGATAGTGATGTGAGTAACCCTGGATTCAAGCACAATCGTATTAGTAGCTAACACATTGCAGTATGAATGTTCTGCTTTCATCGTTGATACTTGGATTGACGGCGTGGCTGGTAACCGGACCAATATTGCTCCCCAGAACATTCCTTGGGAGATGCTCCGCTACATGGTGACTGAGACTTACGGTGGCAAGATCGATAACGAAGGGGACTTTAGACTACTCTCTCAACTCGTCACGTCATTCCTGACTCCTGCCGCCTACGAAGTTGACCACAAACTCGTTGATGGGCCTGACGGCGGCCTTGTTGTGCCCTCCGGTACCAATCTGCAGGACTTCAATGCTTGGATTCACCGCTTGCCCGAGCGTGAGCCGCCTACCTACCTTGGCCTTCCTGCCAATGCTGAGAAACTTCTTCTTGGCGATCTTGGTCGAAGTTTGATTGGGAACGTCCGCAAGGTTACAGAACTACTTGATGAAGGCGAGCAGTTGGTGACGGAAGTGTAGGATTGGACACCTAATAATGTGCCCAGAGTGCATGAGATATGGACTGGATGCTGACGGGAAGATTTATATAATTGCTACACCATTTATGTCTAGCCTGCAGAGGGCGCAATGTTCCTTTGACTTTTCTATTTGTTTCATTAGATGTGGCATCAAGCATGGCGTGCGGATGAGGAAGTTGCTGGTACTGAAAGATTACTGCTGATTATACCCCTGCATCATATAGACTGGGTTTGTCTGTCTTGTTCTGTTTGATTGTACTGTCTACACCATTGACTTCGTCTACTGCGGCCTAAAAACGGAACATGTTATGCATCGTAAATTGAATCTTGAGCCAAGAAGAAACAAAGTCAGGCAAAGAAGGGGATTCTAGAGACTCAAGCTATATAGAAAGAAGACTATCAATAGTAGTCCATTTGACAGTTAATGTCAAAGTCAGGAAAACCGTGCTGAGGATAACTGTAAAAGTCCACCTCGCCAACACTGGTAGATTGGGTCCCTGCCGGATGTGGCAACTCAACTCTAAGCATCTTGGAGACATACTTGCGCAGCTCATCCTGGACAGTAGCTTCAAAAGACCTCTCGGCATCACCCGGGTTGGCCAGTTCGTTCATCCAAGTAAACCTCTCGAGAAAGTCTATCCACAGTTGCGACTCGTCGACTTGAAGTAGCTTGTCTGCGCCATCAGCGGCCTGAATGAGTAGTTCAGTATCAGAGATGATGCTATCAGTTTCAGTTGCGGTTGCCTCAGCACGAATCATCCATGACAGTGTTATGAGAAGTTCTGACGGAGGGATGCCAAAGGCTGACTCGCACTGAGTATACCATACAGGGGCACAATTCGCCCGTACCAAATGCGTCATTACTCCCCAGAGGGTGCAAAAGACACGTATATTGTACCACCAACAACGCATATCAGTACTTGGCTGTACTAGAGCATCTTGTAGAGCCACGGGGTGGTTAAGTCGGAGCTGTTCCTTGCACCACCTAAGACAGAGACTTAGGGGGGATGGACAGTCATTGCGTAGAGCGTTCATAAAAGGTTGTGTCGTGATGAATTCGTTCAGAAGATGCTCAGTCATAAAGTTCGGGGGGTTGGAATCGTCAAAACAGTCGTCATAGATCTCGAGGGCAAAATCGAGGAAGAAGTAGGCTACGAGATCGATAGACGAGTACTTGCGTGAAACCTCTCCAAGTGATCCGTCGCTGCCAACCAGTTGCTCGACATTACGACTGATTTGTTTGACAAATGCCGACTTGTCCGAATCTTCTTGGTGACTTCCCACGTAAGCTTTGAGCATCGACAGGACAAACGGAGAGTCTGAAACTCGAGTCGTTGGTGTCTCGGTCCATTCCCTTGCAAGAATTGCCCTGGCGCTACGAGCATTGTCTGGTTTCCCAGCGACACGGGCACAACAGATGGCCAGAAACTCACGGGTCTCTGGAACAGACTGGCTGCTATTCGATAAGATCTCGTAGAGATTCGAGTACAAGGCAAATGCGTTTGTGTCATCGAGCATGGCGGCACAAAAGTCAGCAGCCAGTTTGTTCGCTTCCTCAGGTGACCCAGTTGCCCACGGATATGGGACGACAACCTTTGTGGCTTTGTGGCTATCCAGCGACTCGTCATACTCCATGTTGTCTGACCCGACCGCGGCCATTAGAGTGTCTGGGTCGCAACGGTCAGACAGTGGGTGTTGGTTGAAGGAGTGAGTTTCTCGGTCGAAGTCGGCCCCAACATCACCATAGTCCATTGAGTCGTTGATGGCACTAGGTGATAGAGAATTATGAGAAGTCTTTTTCTCATTTGCGTTGTACTTTTTTATGCCCCATTTCTCGAAACGATAGCCATACTGCCGCTTGCTTTTGGTGAAAGGGTTAGTCAAACATCAAAGATTTTAGGTATTGTACTTGATAGGTGAGATACCTTTGAACAATACCGTACTTCTTCTCCATGACATTCATGACGACACTCAGGGTATATTTCTTGTAAAGACTGCATAGAAAAGGCTTAAACCTTTCCCAAGTCTCGTCGTTCATGCGGGTTGTAGGTTTGGGTAACCTCTCGTCAGTCCCCCGTGAAAATGATCGTTCTCTAAACTCCATGATTCTTGCTTTGTCTTTTGCGAGTTGAGCATAGGTCAAGAGATTGTCGAGTGCTGAGTGAAATTGGGAATCGCCCGCAAATGGCGACTGGGCTGTTCGTCGCTTTTAAGGACAGCATTTTGCACTTTCCTGGCTCTTGGCGGTATGTGACTGTAATTCTAGATTGCCTTGGGGAGCGCCTCATTTATAAAAGACGTAGAATGTCGGTGCCTCGCGTATCACTTTCGGGCTCAAGTGGGTGAGTTGAGTGTATGTAATTTGCTCGGATTGTAATTTCAGCAACACAATATGCCTGTCTGATTGGTCATGGTTATGGCTGTGCATGCGTTAAGCTGGCGAACCAACTTCGGCGGATGATCTCGGGGGCTTTTCTCAACAAGCAAGGCCCATATGACAAGCATACTGCAGCACAGCCTCGACTAGGCCTCCTTCTCTTTCTCTCTTCTCGAAGGAAGATGGAAATTCCAAACCTCACACGTGAGGTGATGTGCTGAGATCTGCTGTAGCCCAACGGCACCCAACTCGGCACCCAATACCCAACAGCCGCTTTTTGAGGCCTGCCCTGGCATGTTAGGACGGAATCGAATACGTGGTTCTTAATTCTGACCTGTAGTTGGTCAATATTGGCGTGATATGGCCCCAATCTGGTCATGATGTTGCAAAATGCGCGTGAGCTTTGGGCGAGCGCTCATCTGCATGAACTGCCGACTTTTATCGACATGACAATCCCGAAGCCCGCAACCCTTTAAGACTTTTGAGTGCCCTCTCAACCTCAGAATTGATCAACGCTTCGTCTTCAGCTGTGTCGCCAGCTGTGTTATACTATGCAAACAACGTCAGCAACATACCGTCGCAAACCCATCATGACGGACGATTTTTACAATTCGTGGGTGGAACCTAGCAAATACCCACGAATACCCAACGTCTACGAACCAATTCAAGATACCCAAGTTTCCGGTCAATGTGGCATTCGAGAGAAGAAAGAGTCTGCCTGGGCTGACCAGGATTCTCGGGATAGCCATCAATCGTCTTGGGCAACCAACCGCAAACCTTTCAGCGGCGAGGAACCACATCAGTGGCTCATCAACGACAGGACGAATTGTTCTGTGGTTGTGCAACTAGGGAGCAGCTACAGGAGCGAGAACCATATCCTAGGGGATAACTTCAAAGACGCATCGAGAGACTGGCACTTGCCGTCTCATCACCCAGATTCAATTGAGAAGAGACGCGCAAGGCGGGAAGCGAGCTTTGAGAAGTGGAAAGATGCTGGGGATAGGGTCTTTTGTCACTCGGGGAGGTTTGGTCATGATTTGAACCACTTGAAGGCTTGAACTACCTTGGAGAGGACTGGCTGACAACCTATTATGACGACTTTGCGGTTTAGTGGATTCTTTAATGTTGATGCGAACGCAGATGGTTTGGTATACTGGTCGTGTCTCACATTGGCCGAGTTTAGTGGTCGAATTCTGAATCGCTTTACCAAGCTGCAAAGCTCATGCGTTGCAGGGACCTCGTTTCTAAGAATACCACAAAGCTGCCTTTGCAATGATGGACATGTCTAACGTGTCTGGAACAGCTGTCTGGCCAGTGCTGGGGTATTTCTACCTTGACCATCATGAATATTGTATCATCTTGGCCATCGGGACAATCGTGGATTCAATGCGGGTTCCCCCAACAATCACAGCGACGTACCAGGGAGCTTTGGTAGCAAACGTATCTGCGCGCCCAAACTCGAGGGTGCAGACATGGGTTACAAGCTGTTGCTGGTGCTCGATTCGATTGGCGATGAAGGTGGTGCACTGAAACACGATTTGATACGTGCCGTGAGACTTGCATTAGAATAAAGCAGATGCAGGAGAGTGATACTACCTCCCTCCTCCTACTGTATGGGCCAACAAAACAAAAGCAAAGCTGGGTGAACAGTTCTTGTTTGAATAAGAGGGGACACGACGACTGATATCATAGAATACTACTAGCAGGGTAGCTGTTAATGGAAGGATTAGTAAGATTCAGAAGAATATCTCCAGCTATTGACTTGGAGGATGAGGTAATCTAACTGCACTTGTAGGTCCTCATCGGGTGATCGATACCTAGTACCTTATGCGGGTACTTGAAAGCAGGAAACATGTGGTTTGCTCCGTGCCTGTCGGTGGGAAGAATCTCGATGAGCAAGGGGTAACTGTAACCCGAAATAATGCAAGGTTGACTTACCACTTACCACCTGCAGTACCGACTTCAGTGACTATAGCGTGCTATCACGGTGGTAATTACAGTGACCGAGTTTTCTATTTGTGCAAGACTCCCAAAGGTAGACAACCTTGACGAGTCCCAGGTTGGTAGCGGGTTAAAACAGAACATTGTCCCGCTGTGAGCCGCTCGTTTAGCGGGTAGGAGCTTGGAGCAAGTTGTCGTCATTAGAGCGGATCATTCTTGATCTGCCAATCATTAGCTAGATGCACGTCTGTCATCCTTGCACTTTCCGAATGCAGGTCTGTGCAGAGAACTACGGATACCTTCCCTTGTCTTCGAGGATGAAGATCCACTTCAATATGTTGTTCTGTAACTTGTATTTGTTCCAGGTCTTCCACGTTTGAACAAGTTAGCAACCCTTATTATAGAGACATACCTACATAAGAATTACGACATTCACATCACAACGGAAATGTACGTCAGCTCATAGAAATGCCGAGCACAAAGCCTGCCTCGTAAAGATACCTAGATACGCTGACGGTTGCAGTGTGTACCTCATCTGGCACCACTGTCATTCCCCATTGCTACCACACCCATAGAGTCCACAATCGTGATGGTCGCCAGTCTCGACGCCTCAAAACCAATGGCAGCCCGACCTCTATTTAATTCCCGGCACTTTTCATAGCTGATCCGTGGTTTAGCGCCTTAGAAACGAGGTCATATGGTCTAACAGGGCACCATGAAAGAAGCACCACTTGGGCGACACAAGATCCAATATAGCCTGAGAGGCTGTGAAGAGACAAGTCATGCGCCGCTGCTGTTGATCTGATCCTTTGACGTACGTAGCCTCCACTGGCTTTGAGCGCGTACCTTGCTGTGGTTGTACAAAGTTCTTGCCTGGGAGGCCTTGTTTGGTTATTTCTCGCATTTCCTGGTACAAGATGGCGTACTTATCTATGAGTAGAAACAAGGCACGTCGATGGAAGTCTTGTTAGCTTAAATCATTTGGTGTCATTTGCGGTGTGACGATCCCAGAGTGTGGCTGTTTATTCCTCACCTCTCTTACCTACCTTAACCTACCTACCTTACCTACCCTTGCTACCTAGGCCTGCTTCCCCGCATACCTACATCAACTAACGTGCCTTGAGAGGAGTGAACCACACCTCCCGTGCAGTAGCAGAAGGTCAATGTGTAAATAATTCTGGGTGTTTAAATACTTCTTCTCCCCTCCACCCTCTCCATATTCTCCCCCTATCGCTTCTTCGACACCACACACAACTTTGTTTTGACGGCGAACTTCTTTCCTTTCCATCGACTACAACCTTGAGCCGAGCTCAGCTCTACAGCCCTTCATCATGGCAAACTGGCAACAGTGTAAGCTACCTTGTCATCTTCCGCTTCCAATCCATCTCGACTGACCCATTCAATAGACAATCCCTTTGGTAAGAGGGAATCCCACTCTAGTAGTGCGATCCTCACCTACAAGATTCTTACTCTCGTCACCTGGATCTTGTCCCTCGTCGTCACTGTCTACTACACCCTCAACCGTCCCGATGATGGGCACACAAGAAATAGAAAGATCTGGGAGCAGAACCACATGTATCGCACTGCCTTTACGCTGAACCCAATCATCACATCCATCTACTGGTGCGTATCCCTCAGCCCCTGACGCGCGCTCGCATACTGATAGCCTGTCCAGGATCGTTCTCTTCATTCTCCAGGCTGGTTACATTGGTCACCTATTCTCGAGCAACTCGGACATTGTTCACGCTGCTGCCAGCGTTGGAAGCCACTTCATCTTCAACAACCTCTTCCACTTCGCTTTTGTCATGCTGTTTGTCCGCTCTCACTTCCACTGGGCTGAGGTCATTCTCGTTCTCAACTTCATCAACCTCTCCTCGCTCTACTTCCGCCACAACACGTATCCCCGATTCATTCATACGCCTGTGGTGTCCGGACCTTTGGCTTGGACCTTTGTCGCAATTTACTGGAATGGTGCTCTGATGGTTCCCCACCCCGACCACCTTGTTGCTCGCATCTTTGGGAACATCTTCATCTGGTCCATTCTTGTTTATGGACTTTTTTTCATCACCATCTACAAGGTATGTTCGATCACTCCAGTCAATCGATGTAGCTTGCTGACAGCATGTAGGATTACACCATGGGCTTCTCACTGAGCGTCTTTGCTGCTGCAATTGGAGTTTCTCAGTTCCTTCACCAGGTGATTGCTTTCCAGTGGATCTTTGCCTTTGTCATCATGGCTCTGCTTTTCATCGCCACTGTCGTTGTCGCTGTTCCTGCCGCGACTGGCCGCGAGATCAACTGGCGCAGTGCCCCTGCTGACCAGGAGCGTGCCCCTCTCCTCGCAGAGAATTAAAAACATCAAGCCATGGAGAGACATTACCGGGGGAGCGGCGGTGCCCTTTCTCTTGCTTGTCCAACTTCGCACCATTTCCCCAACATCGCGTCGCTATTTCTGCAACTCAAGTCGCCTGCGGTCACTGTTTGTATTTCTTAGCCGGCCTGTTGCATGCATGATTCCATAAGCCTTGTCGAATACGGAGTAATGAGATAATATGACGTTGAGGATTTATCGACAATCGTCAAACCCTGCAACATGCGCACGTTTGTTACCGGTTGTATGTTACCCAAACTTAGGTAGTAATTGGAGCTTCTTCTCACACAATACGAAACATGGTTACAAATGATCAACACGATGCTCACAGCAAATGCTCACTGACGTAGTGGTGGAGCTTAATCGATAAGTTGCCGACGCTAGCGGCTCATTACCAGGAACTTCATTTGCGCAGCTGGCCATCCACCATCAACACCTGGTCATGAAGCCTCTGCGGCCTTTTCCTTTCCCTTTGAATATCGGGACCGACATTTGCCAAATCTCCCGTATTTACCATATACTGTCAGGCCCGCGGGCTCTACGCTTTGTAAACAGAGTTTTAGCCCCTGAAGAGCTGGCGAAGAAAGATGCACGATTAAATGTACTTTACCAGGCGGCAGCGCGTAAGGCTCCATCACGACGTGCCACAAGCGAAGCCAGCAAAAGCCTTCAGCCACATGAATACATCACATCAAAGGATCCTGAACTGTGGAAATGTGCTGCTTTCATAGCAGGAAGGTGCGTGGTTCTCAGGTCTATCATCGGCAACCACTGACTTGAATGGTGTTTAGATTCGCTGTAAAGGAGGCTACCATTAAAGCACACCCACACCGTCATTTGACGTTTCACGATATCATGGTTGAGCGACGGCTTGTGAAGGGCGAGGTATTGGGCAGTGGCCCGCCAATTGCGCGTATACGGGGCGGCGAAGGAGAAGCAGAAGATACAAGTGCAATGGTGTCTATAAGCCACGATGGAGATTATGCAACAGCTGTGTGCTTGGGTTCTGAGCCAAGTAATGAGGATAAAAGAGATAAAGACTTACAGACATAGCATACTATATATACAAGTTTTAGTATATTAGTTATAAGAATAATAACTTTAAGAAGATATTAATTTAAAAGTCAAAATGCCCATCTAGCAACGCGTAAAGTGAAGCCAAAGGCGTTAGAGCAAGATAACAAGATAAGGTGTTTGTTTTCAACACAACACAATATAAGGCGTCATACACTACGCCAAAAAAACACAATAACCTTAATGTTAAGTCTCAGCAGATCACACAGTTGGAAGATATTAATAAATATTATAATTTATATATAGCTTAATACTTACTCTCTCTTCTTTTCTAACCCCAGCTAAAAAAGTCGCCTTATCAGATGCTCCTACCTATAACCTCAAAAAGAAACTCATATCGGTATACCAGGGACTCGAACCCTGAGCCTTAGTCTTAGGAGGACTACGCGCTACCATTGCGCCAGCACACCGGAGCAGTTTTTCCGATTCCGGAATGATCGGATATGGTTGGAGTCATGTTATTATGGATTATATCCTTAGGTACTTGAGGTGGATTTAGTGCAAAACTGCTCCCGGTTTGAAGACGAAAATGCATGTTTGTATGTAGGGCCTTGGGTACTCGCCATTTGGTTTTGCGACTTGAATATTTTGTTTTACGGCTGCTTTTTACAGTGAGCGTGGCCGTATCCACGTTGCTATCCATATGGTCCTATACTCAGCTGCTGGCAGCTCATATCTCGCAGCATAAGGACAAGACAGGGCAGTTCTTTTAACAATGCTCATATGGCGATTAAATTGCCTTTACACTTTTATCATGCTTGTCAACTTCAACTAATGACTTGTAAATATCGTTTCGCTGCATCAAAAACATGACTATGCTGACGCCGACATCTTAAAACAGTATCCACCTCGTTCAGGGTCTGATATAGAGGACTTGGACCAAGTAAGGTATCCTTCACGCTGCACAGCCGTGATTCGATGTATCGAGCAATCAGAATAGGTTTCAGGCTACCATTGTTCTATGGGGGCATCAGGCTGATCATCTCCTCTTCGTCTGTTATAACCAAGGTGGGCTTGAAATCAGGGCTAACAATTTGTCGACGGACCTGGAGATGACCCGGCCATAACATTCACAAGATGGAGTACAACCACAGCACACGACCACACCTCCCCTTCACCTCATTCACCGTGACAATGAGGAAACAGAGGGGGCAAGATAACCGAAACCGGTCAGCAGCATGGTGAGGCGGTCAAAGTTAGGCTTTGAAGGCCATTCATTTGAATGCCTGTCCGTCCTCCCCAATAACTATCATTACTTCATGGGTGCCCCTGCTTTCAGCTAAAGGCGTCAAACCCCCACGGGCCGGGCGGCTGGCGAGAGCGGCGTTCAGGTCCGTTGCCCACTGAAAACGTCGGAGGTTCACCCGCCAAAGCAGCTAACGTCCTGTTCGTCCAGTTGTGCCTGCATCTGATTCCGCCCCCGATGCCGATATTCGGGCGTCCACGCCATGATGGGGCGCTCCACTTGCCCAGAGCCCACTCCCCACAGCCATTCATTGTTCATGACTTCCTACTTCGATTGACAACGTGCTTGCTAGCCACATCTTGATTCTTTCACTAACATCGTCTTTTGTGTGTATATTCGTGATGATGAGTCGGGGATCAGTGTTTACTTAAGCATCAATCCTTGTTTCCTGCTTCTACTCTGCTATTCTCTGCTCTGCTTTGTTCTTCCTTCATAGGATTCTTCATGTCTACCTCAGCATGATGGATGTCGTAATTCACCGCTTTGGCGGGCTAGAGTTCTCTCCATACCAAGGGAATGAATCTGTCATGATACCACAATCTTGTTCTTTTACTGGGTAAGAACTGTCTGAATATGATAAATCGAGTTTACTAAGAATTCTAGCTCATATCAGAATGCTATGTCCTTGTCCCAGATTCCGTGGATCCATCATGTGTCACAGTTCGCTCAATCTGGGGTACCACAAGCCGTTGTGCTTTTCCTGTCACTTACGCAACTCATCTACCACTTAGACCGAATTCGTCGGCAGGGATCTAGTTGCCGATTTAAAGCTGCCAAAATACAGTGGCCCTATGAGCTTGCCTCACAAATCGCAAGACTTACTGCTGTTGTATATATTACAATTGCTTATGTCCAAGATCAACTGCATTGGATCAACATTGTATCTGTTGTATATACCTTCACTCTTGGTCTCACTCGCCTCTTCAACCATCTCGAGTGGCGCCATGTAGCACTGCATCAAATCAACTTTGTCCTTCCGGCTACTCTGATCATTCTCATTGCAGGGCACACGTTGCCCTGTATCCAGACTGGCACTAGATGCCTTCACGACGCCAGTACTTCTAGTGGGATCATCGCTCTTGCAGCAGGATCTGTCATTGCAGCCATTACCCCCAGAGAATGGACACCAATGCAAGTTGACCTCAGCATCCCTGGTTACGACCAGAATGAGCCGGCTCCCGAGGAGGCTTGCAGTTGGTTCACTTACTACTGTACCTATGACTGGCTGACCCCAATCATCTGGAAGGGTATGAAGCGGAAACTTGATATGGCTGATATTCCAAAGTTAGCCTGGTATGACGAGCCTATATACCTCTTGCGTCGAGTACAAGAAGCTCGCTCAATCTCGAAAAAGACACTCCGTACTGTTCTTAGATTCCAGAAGCGCGAGTTGCTTCTCATGTCGTTTTGGGTTGCCACCTCATACACAGTCGAAAATATAGCCGCATTCGCCATGTTCAAGTTACTCGAATATCTTGCTGATCCTAGCAGTGCCATCTATAAACCGTGGCTTTGGCTGTTCCTCATGTTCATCGGCCCACTATCCCGCTCCGTTGCCTTCCAGCAGTACATCTTTACATCTACTAGACTCGTGGTTCGTATCAAATCTGCATTCACTCAAGAGCTGTACTACACTGCCCTAGACTCGATGGAGATGGAAGAGGATCCTTTTGAACTACAGTCCGTTGGCGCGAAACTCAGGAGCATGAGCGGCCAGACCGCTGCCAAGACCACATCAGCAGGACGTTTGGCTAACCTCATGGCTTCCGATATAGACGCCATCTATAGATCAAGAGACATCATCCAGGCCACCATTGGTACCCCCGTCGGGACCATAATATCGCTCGTGGGAATGTACAGAATGATGGGCTGGGCATCTCTGGTAGGAAATGCGATTCTATTTTTGGCCACACCTCTTTCGATATGGCTTGGGCGCTTAATGTTCTATTCGCAGCGCCGAGTCAGGAAAGCCCAGGATTCCCGCATGTCCTTAGTGACAGAATATCTTGCGTCCCTTCGCGCCATCAAGTACTTTGCCTGGGAGGACCCTATCACTGAAAAGATCATCAATGCACGTTCTGAAGAACAAAGGGAGCTTTGGAGGACTTCTATGATTCAAGCTTCATTGAACCAAGTTATGCAGATCGTTCCTTACTTATCCTTACTTGTCATGTTTGGCTTGCACGTGGGGCTCTCCAAACGTCGACTGGATGCCGCAACGGCTTTCACGACCATATTCCTTGTCAAGAACGTTCGCAGAAATATCATGCAGGCTAGTGCCTTTGGTAGGAATTTCGCGAGTGCGTTGGTGTCAGTGACCCGACTCGACAAGTACTTTGAGAGTACAGTTCCTATTCCTCATTACCCCGTTGGACCCCTTCGCATTGATCATGCCTCGTTCCGGAAGACGAAGACAGCCAGTTTCACCCTAAACAATATAACACTTGATTTTGCCCAAGGTGGTCTTAATGTCGTTAGCGGCCCGAGTGGCAGCGGCAAAACAACTCTGCTGCTGTCTATTCTTGGTGAGACCTACCTGGAGAGTGGAACTGTGACCAGACCAGATGACATAGCGTACGCTTCTCAATCTTCATGGTTACAGAACGAGACTATACAGGCCAATATTCTATTTGGCAGTCCAATGGAAAAACCGCGCTACGATCGTGTCATCGAAGCATGTTGCCTATGGGAGGATTTTAAGGATCTACCGGCTAAGGATATGACCATCGTAGGAGAGAACGGAACTTCTCTTTCAGGTGGCCAAAAAGCACGAGTTGCTCTCGCAAGGGCATTGTACTGCAAAGCACCACTTCTGTTACTCGATGATATCTTTGCTGCTCTGGACGCTAAAACAGCTGCTGGTGTTTGGAAACACTGCTTTTGCTCTGACCTTCTGAGTGGGAGGACAACTGTACTTGTGACAAATCTTCCCTGGATTGCAGAACAAGCAGATCTCTCTGTTGTGTTGGAGAAGGGTCAAATCGAGTCGGCTGAGCCCCAAATTGGTATTGTTCGCAAACCAATCGCTATCGCTCAGGTCCTCGGAGGAGATGCTGAGGAGGATGACGCACTTCATGATACAGTTCAGGAAATACAACCAAATGGTGGTACCTTGAACGACGCTAACCGAGCCCCTGAAGAAAAACACCTGAAGGATGTGGTCAATCAGGAAATGAAAGCTTCTGGAAAGGTCGGCCGTATGACTTGTCAGTACTACTCCTTTCCCAGTCGCGAAGAGATGCTAACTTGGTCGCCAGTTTTGCAATACATGAGCTACTTCGGGCATCCGGTCTTTGTTGCTGTCTGCCTAGGACTTTTACTTGCCACGAACATCTTTACCTTTAGCAGTCTTTTGTGGCTCTCTGTCTGGGTAGAAGCATACAATCACCAGGCTCACATCGATATTCCTTATTATTTGGGGATCTTTGCAGGCCTTACGTTCCTTGAAATTGGTAGCTACTGTTTGGCTATCATAATGTTCGAATGGGGAGCTTGGAACGCCGCAAAGAGATTACACAACGATTTCATACATGCCATCATGCACGTCTCGCTTTCATGGTTCAAGCATATCCCCATTGGCCGCATCACAAACCGCTTCTCCAGTGATATGGCGTCACTCGACGGTACCATCAGTACCATGCTACGAATCATGCTTGATACGGTCCTTCTAATGCTCTTTCGCATTGGAGCTGTCAGCAGCATAATGCCGGTTTTTATGATACCAGCACTGTTCACGTGCTTGTTTGGTGTTCTCATTGGAGAAGCATACACTAGAACCGCCGTTATAATCAAGCGGCTAACGTCTTCTGCTCAGTCGCCTGTGTTCTCCCAGTTTGCAGATACATTGGCTGGTCTTCCTGTTATTCGTGCCAGGAGTGGTATGTCGTCAAGATTTCGAGAAGAGTTGGCTGCTAGGCTGCGTACATGGTCAGCTTCAGCCGAAGCCAGCTTCAACGCTAACCGTTGGGTTGCTGTACGCGTGGATCTGGTGACGGCCCTCGTCAGTCTGTCGGCAGGTATAATTGCCGTATCACAGACCGGTGTCGTGGCTGCAGGGCTGGTCGGCTTCTCCCTCACCAATGCCAATGGACTCAGCCAGACTATCCTGTTACTTGTTCGAGCGATGAATGATTTGGAAGTTGAAATGCAGAGCGTGAGTGTGTTTGTTATCATCTGCCAGAGTGCCTGCTGATCAAGTACCAAGTTTCACCGAGTCAGGGAGTACGTCAAGTTAGAACCCGAGGAAAAGGACGACAAGACGTATCCCGAGGAAGATGAATACACAGATGATCCCGGCCACGTAATTCCCGAGAACTGGCCTCGATCTGGCGAGATCGAGTTTCGAAACGTTACGATCCGGTACGATCCTGATGGATCCGACATTCTCACCGGTATAAACCTCAAGTTCAAAGCGGGTGAGCGTGTGGCTGTCATAGGAAGGACAGGTTCAGGGAAAAGCACTGTCAGTATACTACGCTCTTTACAGCACCTATCAGGTAGCACTAACGACTGTGATTTCCAGCTGGTGCTTTCCCTCCTTCGCTTCACACATGTTGTCTCTGGTGAAATTCTATACGACGGAATTGACATTACCAAAATCCCTCGGCAGCGCCTCCGAGAAAGCCTTACAATCATACCACAAGAGGCTGTCCTATTCAACGGGACAGTCGAGTCTAACCTTGATCCGAGCGGTCGAGTTCCCAAACACATTCTCGACAAGGCCCTTGACAACTGCAAAGGCATCGCATCCTTCTCCCCTCATACTTCTGATGACAGCGATAATGATACGCAATCTCGCGATGACGAGGACAATAGTGTGAATCTTACGACATGTGTCGACGCTCGCGGTGAGAACTTCTCTCATGGTCAGCGGCAAGTTCTTTCACTCTGCCGTGCGCTGATTCGCCAGAGCAAGCTGATGCTGCTTGACGAAGCCACGGCAAGCATGGATTATGAGACAGACCGAGGTATTCAAAACGTCCTGAGGCGGGAACTTGAAGCGGTCGGTGGAGGGCGGACTTTGGTAACAATCGCGCATCGTTTACGTACAATCATTGATTATGATACAGTCGTGGTCATGAGTGGGGGGCGTGTTCTTGAGTAAGATCTTAGTGAATCTGGTTCTTTTCAGACTGGTAACTGACAATCCTCTCCAGGTATGGCTCACCTCGCGATTTGTACAACAGTAGAGGCCAGTTCTACGACATGGTCTACCATAGCGGCGAAATGGAGGACCTGCAGACTTTGCTAGAGACGGAGAGTTCCCAACAGGGCATTTAACGAAGGAGCATTTTGTTTAGGCTATGTATGTCTGGATACTGAAGATGAATACGTCAGAGCATGAATGAGTCCAAAAGTGAGAAATAGCTTACATCCGTCTGTGACATCCATGCGTCGTCCTCATGGCTTATCAATGGAGAGGTGTGTCGACAAGATCAAGGCAGACTTCTTTAATAAAGATTCCATTCACAAGCTCTATAATTTCCTCAGACAGCTGGGAGCCAGCTAAATGAGCAGAAGAATCATTTGTAACCTAAAAGCCCTGTGCGTCGTGTATTTTCATGCCCCGCTGCATCCTTGCTTGAACAGATACCGAATAGAAAAGCAGGCGTGATTGGAAAAGCGAGAGCCAGACAGCAATAAACAGGTGAAAATAAAACGAAGCTCCCCATTGTCAAAGACGATCGGACATCTTCCTCATGGAGGAACTTGTTCCTTAATTCCAAAATCAAAGCCAAAGCCAAGTCTTTCCCTGTCTCCCCAACACCTTACGTGCGTTCGTATATTTTGCATGTACATGCCTGTTTCTTGCGATGGATATATTGTCGGTTCGTCTCCTTTCACGTCTTGTCGCGTCTTCCTGCATCTCTTTTTCATACGGGCACGGGGCAGTGTGATTGTGGTAAGATATATGGATCATGGGCGTATGCGTTGGATTTCGTGGTATCATCGACACTGTGACGTGGTCTGCTTCTTCCTCAAGTTCGTTATGCACTGGTAGCATCCTCCTCCGTTATTAACCACATCCCCCATTTATTGTCCGTTGAATTGCTCCTCCATGTTAGTAACTCCGGCTTCCACGTTATGATAATCGAGAATTTCCGAGTACCTGTTCTGCATTAGTATATTCGATGCATGCAGTCTTTCAACACACTAACATCATGATTTTCCATGTATCAACGGGGAGATCGGCGTCGTTGAAGCTCCAGTCAAACTTCTCCTCCGCCACGGGCTCGTCTGTGGGGTCGTGGTAGGGAGAGAGATAGTCGTGGGAGAGGGCCTCTGTGGCAGTTATTCGCTTCTTAGGATCGAAGACAAGCATGCGCTCCAGCAGATCAATAGCTATTCAATTTGTCAATCGGTGTTCTCTCAGGGTCAAATGGAGCAGTGTATTCCATACCCGAATCGTCGGCATTCTTGAACTTGTTACGAAGAGGCTGTCGCTCGCGTTTGGGCAGCGACTTCACGAACCGCAGTGTCTGGTAGTCGTTAGAGTTGTAGACAGAATGCAAGGCATTGTAACTCACGTTCTCGCTGGCGATGGTGTTGATAACATCATCAGGAGGGGTACCAAGTAGCTCAGTGATGATAGAGAATTGGTTGACGTGATCTTTTCCGGGGAACAAAGGTTTGCCCTCAAGCATCTCAGCAAAAATGCAACCGGCACTCCAAATATCAACCTCGACGTCGTATTTTTGCCAGGTGAGCATAATTTCAGGGGCTCGGTAGTATCGTGTGGAGACATAACCAGTCATCTGAGGGTCCTGGATTCGTGCAAGACCAAAGTCGCAAATCTTGAGATCACAGTTTTCGTTGACGAGGATATTGCTGGGTTTGAGATCGCGGTGGACAACGCCGGCCGAATGCACGTACTTCAGACCTCGCTACAAGGCAACTCATGTCAGCAAATGATCTGTAGCAGCCATCTTTGTCTAGACGTCATTGATACATACCATAATCTGGTAGAGGAAGTACTGGATGAACTGCTTCTCAAGAGGGCGCGATGTCAATAATCGGTGAAGATCGGTACCGAGAAGCTCTGTGACAAAATAGCTACAGAGCTGTCAGCGCAAGAACGTGGGGAAACGAGGCGGGGGAGGGGTAACGCAGGCCGCGGCTGGGAAACGCACATATCTTCCAAAGGAGAAATAAAGATGTCGCTGAGAGAAATGACCTGATAGCAAAGCTGCATTAGCATCGAAAGTCTTACAATTGCTCATACGACAAGGACAGTTGAAGCAAAAAGAGACGCGTTAAATGCGAAAGATTCACGGGGGTGTCGAGCTGTGCAGGGGCTGATGCTCACGTTTTCGTGCTTGAGGTGCTTGAGCAGCTTGAGCTCACGGTATGTGCGCTTTGCGAGCACAGGTGTGCTGAAAGGCTTCATGATCTTCTTGACTGCGACATTTTGGTTGGTAAGTTGATCCCGGGCAGAGCTGTTGCAAGGGAACCGTGTCAGTCGGAGGCGCAGGATCAGTAGGGACATCTAAGGGAACATACCAAACGAGGCCAAAAGCTCCCATGCCAACAGGCTGGAGATCGGAGTATCTGCGCGCAAATCGAGTCAGTAATGTGACGGTCGTTAGCTTCAAATGTATGGCGAGCTTACCTCGAGGTGATCTCGAATGTGGTGCCAAAGATCTGGGCGCGTACGAACTCGGCCATGGTGAATATGTGATTTTTTTTGGACGAGAGGTTTGAGGGTGAAGAGAAAAAGTAGACAGTTTCCTGGCTGTAAAACGAGGAACACCAAGATGAGGTAAAGATGATGGTGGGCGGGGCGCAGACGTAATCGTCCAAGATCGTAGTCAAAGCTATATGTTGGGCCTGGCGTGCGGTGCGGTGCGAGATAAAGTGAAGAACAGAGAGGTAATCTAGTTATTGGATTGGATGGGCGGCTGGAAATGGAAATGGGATGGACCGATGATGGGTCAGGTGAATGGTGAATCGACGATCGACCAAAGACGATGACCGTGACCGGGGTACCAGTAAAAAAAAGCGATGCAGGTTTCGATGTCGATGAGCAGAGCGTCTCAAGCGGGGGCGGGAAGAGGTGCGCGAGATCCCACTGGATAGGACAGCAATGAGCGTGTTTGATTGACTGATTGCTATATCACTCAATGGGCTTTGTAACGCAGTGGTTGACTGATCGTCGTTGTTTTGTCTTGGACCGTCTTTTCCTTTGATGGTATTCAATGCCCGTTGACAGGTACGGAATGGCGGGGTAGGTAAATAAATGCGTAGCGAGAGCAACGTGTCTGTCTATCAATGATTGCAAGGTCAGCAACAGTCCATAAAAATGGCCAGAAAATCAGCCAGTTAATGAGTGTAGATGGATTGCCACCTGAAAGAGCCGGTATTCGGCAGATTCACAATGGCACAGAAAGGGACACGACAAGAGCTACTACTGAAGTAGGTTGGAGACGCTCCGCATGCTGGGCTGTCCCGTGTACCAATTCAGGCCTGTGAGTAGGTATCTTAGTGAGGGGCAGGCTGCAGCATGACAACCAGCCCAGGCGCTGGAGACTGGCAGTGACACTGAGATTGTTCGGGGGCAGCCTCAGAGTACCCAGTTCGTTATCACTTGCGCTCCCCTACTAGGACAGCACAGGGCGTATGACACCGCCTGTAGGCAGTCTCCAGGTCGTCTCCCCCCAGTCCGTTCCAAGACTGCAGCAGTGGGGACCAAATACTTTGAGCTCCATAGTGAGGTGCTTTTGACGCCATCGTGCCCCAATGATCGGGCAGTTTGCCATGAGTACTTCAGAGGCCGAACGAAACAGGGCCATTGCCTGGTGCCAACAAGGAAGTAGGATCCAGACGCTGGGAGGAAATCTGGGGTATTGGCTATTTGCTCGACAGGAGGCTTACCTATTCTTTGCAGGTCCAGGCGTCGTCGATTAGGAGGCTCGTTTCGAATACGGATGTTTTCCTACTGGACCGGCCAAATGTCGATCACTGCAGAGGATACTATAAGACGAGTCGCAGGCTGCGTGAAGGTGGCAGCAGTTCTAGGTAAAATGAGAAGAGTCGAGAGGGAGGAAGAAGGTCGGAGGGAGGAGGAGAAAACGAAATTTCAACAAGAAGAAGAGGTTAGCATCTGGGATGGAGGGTACATGTACATATATACATGGTCGTAGAAGACATTGGGTCGACCGAGGTGAGAGTGAGGTGTTGGTATTGGATTATGTGGACGGAGGACCACCGGTTGGTTTTCTTGGTGGGGGTGGGTGAGGGGGGCTAGGGGGACAAGAGCTCCGGGGAGTAGCACCTTGGAGAGTAGGCACTTACCAAACTAAGGGAGTCGAGAGGCTTGATTAAGATGCCTATACCTTCCTTCCATAGGCAGAGCAGGGAGCTATTCCTTGTCACCGTCTATTTGGTTTGCATGTGTGTCCTCTGATTTAGTGATTCCCCTTATTCAGACCCTTGCGACACGTAATGGGATCGAGATCTCTCTGTCGTAGTGGAAATCAAGGTTATGCGCTTACACGGTCACATACCTGCCTGCCTACTGACAGGACATGGAGTTTTTTCATGGAAAAGTTGAAATTTTGATATATGACATGATGACACTTTGAGCCCTTTCAAATCGCTTCCTAATCCATGCAAATCAGGGTCCTTGTGGTTTCGCAATCGTGGTGTCGCCGTGCATGACTCTTGTCTGTAGACGGTTTATCCAAGTCCAGCTCGGCAAGAGAGCGTTGACTATAATTCTATGCAGCCATGAGTTGTTGAGAGAATATTTACAGGTTTGGCGGTATACGATGCACGATGTGATATAGAGCGAATATTTTCTTGGTTTTTAAACATTGGGTGCTACGATAGATGCTGTTGAGCCCGTCCATTGGCATCCATTATCAAACTGACCCTGCCAAGTCTGCCCTGTATCTGCACCTGCATCAACATCCCATCATGGCATCACCAAACTCAGCCATGTGTAAGGTAGCCAGAGAAATATTACCTATCATGTAAATGTTACCACTCCAACTCATCATAATTGCTTACACTCGTCCCCTCATTTTTTTTCTCTCTTCCCCCTTGTCTCTTGCATATCATGCCCTGCATCAGAAACTTTCAAACCCTCTATTCACATGGCTGCCATGTTTTCTCAAAAATGACGTCAATTCAGCCTCCAACTGGCCTACCCCTGTTTTCTGACAGCACACGCCTGATGGCCGATGCAGATGCATCAGGATGGGGCCTGGCCTGGCGCTTGGACGCCTTCCGTCTTTCTTTTTCAAACGGCGCCAGGACCCATCCCCAGTCTCCGATCTTTCCCATGGGTCGGTACCTCTACACCACTTTTACGCGATAATGGTACCTGCTGGCTCGATCTGTCATGCTCAGTGACCTAGTCCGCTCATCGTGGAATCGTCTCAACGATCGAATATTCTCCTGAAAGACTAGCCTCTTCAGTGGAGCCACTTCCAGAACAAGCCCAAGCCTAAGTTCACCTCACCTCCACTGCATACTAATTATTCAGTACCTATCGATTCGGAATTTTCATCACGCGCTGCAACGCTGGAACTAATCGTTCAGGTTTTCAGAGATCTGTCTGTCGATCGATTCTCTACGTCATAGATGAAAGCCTTGGGCTTTCAGCTGCATCTGTGTCGTACCAGAATCCAAAGTCCCACACCTCAGGGGGAGGGTTACCATCAACAACATCTCGCACTGGAGTTGTCTATGTCAACGATTCATGTTACAGCCTTGATATGCTTGGTCGGGCGTAGTGCTGTTCTCCCTTCTCAATTACTCATTTCGTTGTTGCGGTAAGGTCTCAGCATGATATGCCTCAGTGTCATCTTGACCTTCCTTGAATTCCTCGCATCCAATAACTAACTGAGTACTATCCTCACTCGCTGGGCTTTCTAACTCATAATATCGTAAACCACGGCCCTCGCGATTTTCCAGGCCTCAGATCTTCCCCATCGTCCCTTAACCCTGGCTTCACAACACGAGCGTGCCCTGTCGATCCTCTCCTAATCCCATTGCCATCCACACTTTCATCTTCCATCCGATCCCATCTAAGATCTAAATTCTATCCTCCCCTAACCCAGCAGAACCAACCCTCTCGCCATCCCAGATCGATCATGCCACTTCGGTCCAGATCTTTTGATCGGCATCCAGGGCATAGTTAAACTCTCTGCAGCACATCTTTTCCGCCCCGTGACGCGGATCTTAACACGTAGAAACGACCGAGCAAGGGAACACCCGCCCCGACTATTCCAAAGATTCGGTACCGAGTCTTTGCAGTCCAACTAAGTACAGCGATTCGGACGCTTGGTACCGATCACCCGCCTAGACTCAGGTTCCGCTACTTCGTCTAGCCGAGTCTTTATACTAGTTGGCATCATCGTCTTCCACGGTTCCGGTTCAGGGTACCACCCTTTTTGCTGAACCTATATTTGACATGTATGTACATGTGCTGTATCTTTCCAGACGGCCGTACAGTAGATTTAGTGCTATTCCGTTTGATCAGGTGATGAGCATGGTTTCCTCAGACTAGTGCTCGCATTCGATATGCAACCGAGCAAGGTCGAGAGATCATTTGAGATGTCCTTGTCTACTAAGTCACACACCAGAACTTCACCTTCCAAGCCCCTTCTATCTCGTCGCACCCTACTACCCCACAAAGTCCTCGTATCGATTCCTAAGTCTCTCTAGAAACCCCACAGGGACACATGGGTCAACACGCCTTGCATGGTTACGCACGGCGAATCATTGCTTGGAAATACAGCGTTGACATTCAGTCTCATGCAGGCCTCCTCATCGATCTGCATTACCGATATAGACTTCCTTAGTCGGATCCAACAACATATCGGGAAAACCAACACACATAATAACAAGCCTATACGGGATGCAATCACACCAAAGTCAAGACTTAGAGGAGTAATATATGCCATGCACGTTTCATTATCAAGGGGAGGGCCTATCCATTATCCACTCTTGTCATGGTCTCGCAGGTTGAATTCATTCTTCACCGCCAATCATATGTCACCAGTCTGCCCAATTCCTTCTGTTGTCTCTCGTTCCATCATGAGTGTCTAACCCCACGCCTCTCTGTGAATCTATCCACATAGCCGTGTCTACTTCTATCATAAACTAGTCCTTCACGATCTAATCATGGACGACGAGAGGCTCTGCGTTCCAGATACTCTCGGCATACTCGTCAATGCAGCGGTCGCTACTGAAAAATCCCATGCGAGAAACAGAGGTGATTGACTTCTTGATCCATTCCTCCTGGTTCTGATACGCCTCATCCACCAGCTTATGAGTCTCGTTGTAGCTGTGGAAGTCGTCAGACACCAAGTAGTAGTCACCGTGATCACGGACAGCAGCGACCAGGGCGCTAAAGTCATGGACCGAGCCAAAAGTGCCCTTCTCGATCTCGGCAAACACTTTCTGCAAGTCGGGGTCAATTTCATGAGAGCCGTACTGGTGGCTGTGTCGGAGATCTTCAACGTCTTCAGCGAGGTTGCCAAACAAGAAGATGTTGTTCTCGCCAATCTCGCGAGTTATTTCAATCTATTCATGGTCAGCCGTGGAATTAAATGCAGATTTCATTTACTTACATTGGCACCATCACAAGTGCCAATGATGAGACCACCATTCAGCACAAATTTCATGTTGCTGGTACCAGATGCCCTGCGACACATGTTAGGTAAGGTACTAATTCCTTGGTGCTTATATTGACTTACTCGGTGCCAGCAGTAGAAATGTGTTCGCTGAGGTCCGATGCAGGGGTGATAATCTCAGCTTTGCTAACGTTGTAGTCAGGCAAGAAGATGACCTTGAGAAGATCTCCAATATCCTCATCATTATTCACCACAGAGCCAACAGCATTGACGAGATGAATAATCTGCTTCGCCATCCAGTAGCCGGGGGCGGCCTTGCCTCCAAAGATGGAGACACGAGGAACGACCTTCTTGCGCTCCTCAGGGGACAGTGACTTGAGGTGGAGATATCGATGAATAACACCGAAGATATTGAGCTGCTGTCGCTTATACTCGTGGATTCTCTTGACTTGAACATCAAACAACGCCGCAGGGTTCACAGTGACACCTACAGCCGACTTGATGAGCTTAGCGAGTCGGACTTTGTTGGCATACTTGATCTCGGACCACTCCTTACGGAATTCCTTGTCATCAGCATACTTCTCGAGCTGGTTTAGAGTGGTGAGGTCCTTGAGGAAGCCATTACCCCCAACCTTGGAAGCAATGAGCTCCGAAAGACGAGGGTTGGCCTGGTGGAGCCAGCGGCGAGGAGTGATGCCGTTGGTCACGTTGGTAAACTTGTCAGGGCCGTAGATCTCGACAAAGTCCTTGAAGATAGTGGTTTTGATGAGATCCGAGTGCAATTCAGCAACACCGTTGACCTTGTGTGATCCAACAATAGCCAAGTACGCCATGCGTACCATCTTTGTTTGAGATTCCTCGATGATGGACACTCTTCTCAAGATATCTCGGTCATTGGGGAATGCCTTTTCGACCTTCTGGAGGAAGAACAGATTGATATCGTAAATAATCTGCAAGTGTCGAGGTAGAAGGTGCTGGATCAGACCAACAGGCCATTTCTCCAGAGCTTCGGGCAGCACAGTATGATTGGTGTAACCGAACTGGAAACAATTAGATTAGATGATGAAAGGACATGGTGGTAGATCAACTTACGGTATTCACGACAATTTCCCAGGCCAGGTCCCATTCAAGGTGCTCAATGTCAATGAGAATTCGCTGCAACTCCACGATGGCCAGTGTGGGGTGGGTATCGTTGAGCTGGATAGCCACCTGGTCGGGGAACTCCTTCCAAGGGCGGTTGGACTTTTTGAAACGGCGAACGATATCGTACAACGAGGCAGCAACCCAAAAGTACTGCTGCTTCAGCCGAAGTTCTTTTCCACGCTCCAGATTGTCGTTGGGGTACAGAACAGCGCTGATGGTCTCAGCTCGTTGCTGATCGGCAACTGAACTCTCGTAATCACCATTGTTGAACTTCTGGAAGTCAAACTCTCCACCAGAAGCTTTGCTGGACCACAGTCTCAGGTTGTTTGTTGTGGGTGTGTCGTAGCCGGGGATAGGAACATCGTAGGCAACGGCCTGAACGATCTCACCACCCTCCCAAATAGCAACGGACTTGCCATTCTCATCAGTAGTCTTTCTAACATGCCCAAAGAATTGAATCTGTATCCATATTAGCTATGCTTAACTGTCGATCAAGTTTTCAATGACTTACATCAACAGTGACGTCGTGTCGTGGGAACTCCCAGGGGTTGAAGTCGAGCCAGTAATCAGGCACCTCGACTTGGTATCCATCGACAATTTCCTGCTTGAAAATGCCATATCGATATCGGAGACCGTACCCCCAAGCGGGGTAGTTGAGGGAGGCCAGACTGTCGAGGAAACAGGCAGCGAGTCGACCAAGACCGCCGTTACCCAGCGCAGCGTCATTCTCTTGTGTGATGATATCTTCGATTCGGAAGCCGAGCTCAGCAAGACCAGCTAGCAGCTCACATTAGCAAGGTATCAATGAACTCAGATCTGAATCAACCTACCCTTTGCAGTATCCTTCTGACCCACGTTGAGCATAGCATTGTCAAGAGCACGGCCCATCAAGAACTCAAGACTGAAGTAGTAAACGCGCTTGGAATCGCGATAAGTCTGTCTCTGTTGAGTTCTGTTCCAATCAAGGATCAGGCGATCACGGAAAGCCAGGCTGGTAGCAGAGTAGGCAGCATGCTCATCGCAGTTGAAGACAGAGCGGGCAAGAGTGGTCTCGACGTGGCGGACAACCTCTTTCTCGAAGCCGTCTTTACCAGTAAAGCCACTAGACTGGTTGCGCTTCCATGCTTCACGCTGAGGTTCGGGAATTGAGGCTGTTGGTGGTGTAAGTCAATATTCACAAGCAGATCGTTTCCAGTAGTTAGATAGGGGAAAGGCATTAAACAAAGAATCTTAACGTTTGAAAATAGCTCAGAGAAAACCAATTCGATTCATAGCGAATTGCAGATTGAATGCATAGACAACGTACCTTCAAAGCTCTTGATCTCACTAGGACCGAAACCAGTGGCAGTTCGGGTGTGTTTTGGGCGGGAGATGCCTGCGGGGCCGACTGCACCCTGAATGTCGACAATCGGGGCGGAGGTGGAGGGGCGCCTCTCACGGGTGGGCAAACGCTGCTGTTCAGACGCCATCGCTTCTATCCACAAGCTTGTTAGTCGAGTGGTGAGAGCCGGTACGGAAATTGAGGGACGAGAGAAAAGAGATAAGAACTTTCAGTGCCGGGGCATAACAGTTAAATACTCAACCACTATTGATAGGCCCCTTGTCCTTTTGTGAAGCGAGAATCAGATCAGATCACCTACATCAACAACAAGGTTTACTGATGCCACTCAACGAGTTCTCGACGATAGATAACACGACTGGCTAACGACGCGAGGTGTGCCACAGCTTTGGGTGGGGGAGCGGGGTTGAAGGTGCAAGGTAAAGCTGCAGGAGTTTCTTGCGTGCCCTGCTTTTATCGTGGCGGCTCAGAATCCCAATAAGTGCAGGGATCTGATCTAGACAAGGTAAATATATATGCGAACGGGGTTATGTCGAATCTGGGCTATTGTGTTTCTCTATAGAGTTCGTTGAGGACAGGACAGAGAACCTGTGCGTATTCAGTTGTCCAGAGAGGCCGTCCGTTTAGTTGATGGGGATCCGGAGAAGGCGGGAGCTTGGTGAACAGGGGAGCTTGGTGGAGTAGACAAAGAAGATTTGAGGGGAAGAATGACAGGGATGAAACAAGTCGAGGTAAAGATGAGAGAGGGTAATATGGTTGGTTTTATGTCAATTGACGAACAGATGCTGTGAAGAGAAGATTGAGAGGTCAGCGGAGGATGGACTGTAAGAGAGATTGGAAAAGAAAGAGGGAGAGAGGAGGGAAAGTAGCTCAAGAGGTATGAGCTGAGGGGAGCTGCAGGGAGCTTATAGTCAGTCTGTCTCTGGGTAAGTGCAACGATTGATGGTACGGAGTAGTGGGAGGGAGCTTCCCGTCCAGTCTCCTCCACCATGAGCGGATCCATTCTAATATGGTATCATGACAACCTCTCCACGAACGACGGGCTGCCTAGCGTGTGATCTTGTTTTGTCTTGCTCGTTGAATGCAGCATTACCTAGAGCCCTAACCCATACTGCGTCGCATTTCGTCTCTTTTGCTCCGCTTACCGGCCAATGCCGTCCTCTTGCTTGCTCTCCCGCAATAACTGGGCCTCAGGGAGCAAGAAAACTTGAGACCTTAATAGAAGATGCCAAAATAAGCTCATCAAATAGTCCCCTAAGTTTAGGATAGTTTACCTAAGTCTTTTTGCCATTTAGGATAAAGATCCTAAGCTTTCTTTCGTCCCTCAGCTAGGTCACATACCAACACCAACTGGCGGCATGGTTCCCCTCCCCCGCAGCAACCGTTCTGTGACATGACGACATACGACGCACACCTACTCTTGTAGAACATGCGATGCGATCCAACCAGGTACATAGAGGTATCGAGAGTAGTAGCAAAGACGATAAATCGTCATAAACTTGATCTTCTCGCAGTACGGCGCATAATACATAGCATGGACAGTCATGATATGCTATTGCTTGAAAGAGGTGCCTTCCACCATTCGAATAGTGAATATATGTAGTGCCTCTAGACATGTGAACCCGATGTCTTCATTGAATCCATTGCCCCTCCAACCTTTCTAAGCGACCTAACCTCAGGCAGTCAAGCTTCCTGTAGAAAGAGCCCGATGAATGTCCTCCCCCTCCCCCTCATGCCAGCTACCGTTGCAAATACAGACCGTATCTTGAACCCCATACATTGTCAAGCAACTTATTTGCTGACAGTGCATACTCCAAGACGGTCCCACCCACACAGGTACACACACAAGAATCAATGAAGCCTCGCTTCGTACTTAGCGTCAGCTTTTCTCACAACGGATTGCGGGGCCGTGACGTCCGGTGTGTTTGTTACGCAGCAGTAGCACTTTTTCAGCATGAGCTCAGCTGTTTTAGTTCAACGATACTCGGTCTCGACCTAAGCTAAGACCTCACAAATTCACAACCTTGTTCGTCACGACGCGGTGTCACCGAGTCCAGCAGAGCTACATGTGACGCGAAGGAGCCTGGATATCAAACTCAACAAGTAGCTAGCTTGTTATCTTGACAAAGATGTTGAATTTTGTAGCTTATAGCCTTCCAGGACAACCCAGTGCGTTATAGAGGCCTCAGTGCAAAATATTGGTCGTCCGCATACGCTCTCCAAAACCATACCATAGCTACAGGGTTGCGAGGGCAAGGCGTTGACAAGGCTTCTTGGTACGCATGCCTGGTCTAATGAGAATCAATGTTGGTTTGAGGACTATATCGAGCACAAAGTCTCTGGTATATGGATCCCCCGCATGCCACGACGTCGGTAGCACCGAGATGGGTCCTGGCAAATGATACGGTCTGAGAGTGTTGAGAGAGAGCTGTATAGAGAACAAGCTCTAGTACCACACGCACGGGCATACTACTACACGTGCTCGACCCCCCGAGGTTGAAATTGGTGATGAGAGCCCGGGTCTTGATGGTTATACAACTTAACTTGACCTCATAAAATCAAATCTGACAGTTGGCAACTGCCCCTCATTATAACACAAGTAGGATGCTGAGCTTCAACACGCCACGTCCTTGTTCGGACAGTCATGATGGATATACATAGTAATTCATAAGCGTAGGCCCCTGTCCACTAGCCTAGTTTATCGATCGCCTCATGGCTCGCGGTCCAAGCTCCAATCCACATTCAGCCCCTCATCTCGACCAATACATGGTAAATAGCTCCAGGAACGTCGTATGTTGATGATATTGGGTTCCTGGCCAAACCCCGTCATAAAACTTTCCCCTTTCCTAGTAAAGCTTGTATCCTCCCTAGATTCACAATATCAAGTTTCGCGGAGCGTAAAGCTATTGGGCCTACGCCAAGCGACTGTCCACATACCAACAGTGTATCACTGTCGTAGTGTACCCAGGCAAGCAAGCCATCTCGCTGGAACAAAATCCATCTTTCACTTCACAGCCATTATATATACCCTATTTAAATTGAGTCCATCAAAGGTGATTCCATGATATAAATATCGTCAATTCGCCTCGTTCGAGTCGAGAACTACATATGTACCTGGAGAAGATAAGCAACCCATTAGCATGCCAGACGATGAGTCCGGCTTTCATTGATGTTCCCAGTCAGCTCCTTAAACACCAATCTCCCTGGAAACGGAAACCATACGCCTGTTCTCTCCCGCATCTTAAGCTCGACAGAAGCCATAGGAATGCTAGTAGCGTAATGTCCCCGCCTATCCCGCACTCCGGGATTTCTTTTCAATCCAAAGTGACCACACTGCTTCGCTAAGCAGCTTCACGACACCAACCCGGGTCGCATTGAGAACCCCTTCGTTCCCGTGTCATACAATGCTTCAAATCCCAATTGAGTAAAGCCCAACCCGAACCCTGAGCTCGTGTAAGGTCTAATCGCCCAAAACTCGATAAAGCACAGTATATGCCAGACCAAGATATATAAACCGTAAATTCAAGTCCATGTCGATTGTGCTCTTTTCGGAAGGGGGTTGCCCTGAGCTGCAGATAATCAAGTGCATCTCCAGGGATCGTGAGCCGGCGAAGGGACTGGCACAAGAGAAATGCTCGTTCGTAGCCGTGGATACTATACCCGATGAAGGCTCCGAGTATAGGTGTCGCGTGAACAAAAATAAGTAAATAAAGCAAGGATCGTATAAAATCGATGTTGTCCTGAGCCCCGTGCCCCAAACTCCAAAAAAAATGCTCTCGACGCCAGCCAACAGTTCCGTGCCGTTAACATCGTGTTTGTAAATTCAAATGAGCAGTGATTCGCTATCAAAGAATGCCCGAGTCCTTAAGTGCGTTATTCAAGATAGTCTCTTTGACTGCTGCGAAAACGAGTCGAATGTTCGACGTATCTGTTGCTTGCGTCAAGCTATGTTATGTTAGAAACCTGTAGGAACCATTGTCGACACTAATAAAACTTACTGGGGATACAGGTTTAGATGCGCCCGATTGACCTGATTGAATCGCCAGAGTAGATACTTGGCTGCTTTATTGACATCGTTACCACCCGAGTAATCGGGAAAGTAATTGCCCAGCGGAGACCTGCTCAGCTTTTGCTTGAAAATGTCAACCTTGTTGAGGAACAGTATGATGCTAGTACGCATGAACCACCGCGAGTTGACAACCGAGTCAAAAAGGAGCAAACTCTCCATCATTCGGTTCTAATGCTTATGTTAGAAGACGTTCTATGATACCAACCATTATTGCAATTTCCAGTCTTACCTGACTGCTCTCCTCGAGCAGGACTTGATCATATTCGCTCAATGCCACACAGAAGATGATCGATGTGACATTCTCAAAGCAGTGGATCCACTTCTTTCTCTCACTTCGTTGACCACCAACATCGAACATACTGCCCAAGTGTTAATAGAAGCCAGTGTCCGGTGCGGAAGTTGCATGTTCTTACTGAATGCTTAGTTGCCCCATTTGGAATCTCGTCTCATAGATACCTGTTGTCTTCGTTCGCGCTCGGAGTACATCCATTTCGTTCGGTAAATAGTCTGATGATACTATTCGCATCGCTTCCTGAAAGAAACTAGAATAAGGGAAGTCAATAACAATCCGCGCTCGATATTAAATGCTTCAACATACTATTCGGCGGAATCCATGAGGTAGAACTCTGTCTGATGCTCCATGAGAAGATCCTTCGCTGGATCGTTCCACAGAGCTTGTACCGCTGCGCCCACTTTCGGATCGATTTGCGCTTGAGGACCAGACTCGGCTTGGTATTCTAATAGGAACTCCGCATGTGCCTTGTTCTCCTCGTTTTGGGGCTCGATGTCGAATTGTTGCATGGCCATAATAACGGCCTTGGCGCACTCCACAAGGTTTTTAAAGACAGTTGGCCGGTAATTGAACAGCTCATCTTCCGAGTATCCTTTGAGATGGATAATTTTCATCTGTTTGACAATCGTCGACTTGCCACTCTCGCCAGAACCTGCCAAAGTTGTTAACTATCCGAGCTTGAGTTCAGCGCTTCGCCTGTCGCCTCGACACCCTTACCTAGCAGCAAAATCTTGCATTCTTTCCGTAATCGTTTTGAGTCTTCCTCCAGAATTTTATCGATAGCCTGACTCTTCTTCTTCTGATCCGCCTCCTCATTACTCGAGCTCATGCATGCGCCCATTTTGGCGGATCACAAAATGACCTGAAAAGACGGCCCTTCGATAAAAGGAAGTGATCGGTGTGCTGAGCACAGGTTCACTTCAGTATTTATGATGTTGCTTATCTCCAGACGTGCATGACGGTCGCAACGGTTTGCGAAGTAAGCGGTGTCGTATAATGTGGAGATAATGGGGAGGTAGACAGTCGTGAGGGTTTTTGTAGCTGGAATTTCGATCTGCTGGCTCGGTTCGGATTGAAAGATTGAGGAAGACTGACGAATAGATGCGATAAAAAGTTGGTGAAGTAAAAGGTAATCGGGCACGTCAAGGATGAACGGAGAGGTCGGGGAGATCGGATCGTTACGGGCGAGGAGGCGCGGACAAGACTCGAGCCCTCGAAAAAGAGTCCCCGAGGCGTTTTCTTGGGGACAGGCGAGCGAATTTGAAAAGTACTGAAAGATGAAGTCGGGCGAGATATGCCTGAGCAGCGTCGAGGCTGAAAGCTGGAAGGAGAATGTTTGGCGGTGGGTAGACAAGAGAAAGAGATGGATGGACGGGCCTTGTCGCTCCAGATTGTCGGCCGTAACCAGCTACTGTATGGTGCTGGGGGAGCTTCGTGGAGGCAGGGCGCGTGGGCGAGACTAAAGAGTACAAAGGCACTAAGGAACCTCGACGATGACGAGACAAAGTCGGCGGAGGGCTGTGCCAATTGGTGAGAGAGCCGACAGTGGAGAAGGAGTGAAGACAGGGGTGTGCGAGCCAACGCGAACCAGTGAGCAGGCGAGTGAAGACGAGAGATTTTGAAGGGAGCCTAGCTAGGTAGTACTTCTGAGCTTTGAGGGCTTGGGGGGTTGAAGCTGGTGGTATGGCCAGGTCGAAGGGGCGTCCGCAGCCAGTAACTTCCTAACAATGTTCTAACGGGAACGAGGGGTGCAAACCAGAGTGCCTACAACCGGATATCGTTGGTTACAAAGAGACTCGACCGTTCGTGGAAGAGTCGCTTTAGGGAGTTTTGCAACGATCTCGGCAGAGTAGCGCAAGCGGAAGTAATGTCAAATAGCGAAACCTTGTCGTGTTTGACTCTAAAGTGAAACGTGGTGATGAACGCCATCAGCCAAAGTTGGAGGCGATATCGACTGAACTGAATTGAGCTGGTGCAGGGTTAAATTGCACTGAGCACCTACGGAATAAGGCATGGTCGAGTAAACATTCATAAGGTAGGGAAAGTACCTATCAATCGGTACCAACCGTGCCACCGCCTGCTTTCTTTGCAAAATCGATTCAACCATCACATCCACATCCAATCCAATTCAAGCAGGAGGCAGGGACCGCCGCAGACCTTTCAGCTACTGGCAAGGACCAAGGGGTTCACCTCAGCGCTATTCTCCGCCGAGATCAAAAAACAAATTCACATTCATATCCACATGATAATACTGCCGTCCATTTCAATAACCTCACCAGCAATACCCTCTATAAATTATAGAGCATCTTCACAAACACAATTCCACAGACTACACACTTGCTTACCTACTGGGTACTAAGTTTGACATACGTAGTGAGATGTCCTGATACATAAGGGACGTCCGACTGCCAACGACTTCAGCACCATGAAAAGTTGAGCTGAAGGGACGCCGCTTCTGATCTGTCTGGCTTCAAGTCTCTGCTCGTGCAACATATCTATATGACAATGCGGAAATCTCCATCTTGTTATTCCTTTCAGAGTGGTGGTCCTTGAGAAGTACGCATTTTTCTATCTTTCAAAAGCAGTGTGAACCGATACAAGTCTCGGGCAAAAACACCGTGGCCATCGCCAGTCGGCTTTTCGCATCTGTCGTTCCCCCGCTGGTGTATTATTAGCCAGCACAGGTACCATACCATTGACCAGACTATCGGTACCTTCTTGAGACTTGAGCACTGGTTCTGGCTCTGGTTTATCAATAAGTTCCAGATCATGCCATTCAAATGACCTTCCAAGGTCGTTAGGTAGGTTACATAGTAGAGCAAGACTCGCTGTCATCCCATTGTTGAGGACATTGACTACAGATGCTGCTTGTTTGGCTACCTTATTTGCAATTATCACCGTGCAAATTTATGATCCCCCAACTACTAGGTAATTAGGAATCTCGACCAGGTCAAACCTTGTGCCGCGGAGAATGGCCAACTCGATGTGAGACAAAATTTGAAATATCTAGTTTCATCTCATCACAATTGATATAAGAGCGGCTCAAAGTGAATCTATCAGTAGAGCCCTCTGTCGTCCCTCGTTATTTTTACCTACTCATCTGTTTTCAGGGTGGACATTGCAGCTCTGTCTGTATCCCGGTTCAAATTGCGCTTAACACAGGCTCTGGCGGTATTGGTCACCATTCTATTTCCGAACAAGGGTAAGTCGACCATGGATTGACGCTCCTGCACTTCCTGCAGAATCCGTAGGGGACTGATCAACGTGCCAAAAGCATATTCTAATTGGCCAATGTTTCAAACTTCATTCGCGGCGGCTTGGCGAGATATCTGCTGGCCATAAAGCTTGTGCTAGATCCTGTCCAGTACTCGATAGTGGCTACAAGAGCTTATTAGAAATGCCATGAAGACTCGACGCCTCGAGTCCTTGACGAAAACTGCACACTCGATGCATGGCGACAATTAATCTTCTTCGAGATCAAGATGGGACGGCGGACCCAGTGGAGAGAGTGTCTTGCCGCCCGCATATGCCAGCCCTCTCAGCCCCTCTATAGCCTGGCCGCCTGGCTTGGATGGATTTTACCTAACTCCCTGACGTCTCCCTCTACTGGCCCCTGTAGGGGACTCACCTCCCCATGTTTCCCGAGCTGTCTTAGCTAATGACGGCTCACCCAATCTGGGTCCCAAGACTCTTCGCTGAGGGCGCTGCTCGTAGCGTCGTGAGATCTAATAAGGTTGGGTGGATTTATCCGCATTCCTCAAATAATTCTAGACAATCGCACCGTGCCACGCACTTTCAAAAACAGAATTTGTTTCGTCTCATCAATTTGCAGAATTCATCAAAGATGAAGAAACAGCCCCATAGACGAAGGCCAAGGGAAATTGAGTTTTCTGGGACCAAACAAAGAGCGTCCGCAACACAAAAGACGAAGCCCGGTCAGTGGAATTTTCTAACAGGGGTCCCTTTGGGATTCCTGGAGCTAAAGTGGAGTGCTAATGCAACCCATGTTTACATATTATTGCATATTCCTTTTCGGCTTCTCGTACCAAGCTGCATTGGTGTTTGCCTGCAGAAACCCTCGCCGACGCCCCAAACCCTTCCTATCTCCCTCACCGATGTACCAGGCTTCCATATCTGAGGCACACCAATACGCATCGCCTTAAAACCACGCACCGTTGAAAGCTGGTTTGGCAGAAAGATTACCTGATCTTATTATGCTCCATTTCTAAAAGTTTCCTCGAGAAATGGAAGTTAAAGTTGCACCAAGGGAAACTCAGTAAACCATGGAAGCCGGGAAAGATATGTTATTGATCTGACATACACTTACTTCAGTTAGGTGACCCTGTCATGTATTTTATGTCGCACGGAAGTGCGTACCTCTCTGATTAGACATTGAAGCATCGAGAACCTTCACCAGTCAATTCTGCCTTCCTCATCGCCCCAGCTTTAGCTGTGTTACTCAAAGCCGTTGATGAAACATCAGCTGTAGTGATGTCTATCTACCCACTATATAGAAAGCGCAGAGCGATACCACATGTGCATACTACAACCACGCATGACTCGGCTGTGTCTCTACCACTAACCACTCCGCCCAGCCGGTCGGACTTTGGGGCTATAATTGCTTGCTTGATCTTGGGGAAGCCTCATCATGTGCTTGATTGCTTTCCTGCTTCATCTCGACATACAATATCATGACCTCTCTACCAAGCTGCTGATCCAAAACCCAGCCGTTGAGCCAATGCGGCACATATATAGTATGTAGGAAATGAGGGCACTGGGCCATGCAATAAGTATGTTTGTTCTTGTTTCGACCATTTAAAATGAATTGGCTATACTTAAGTTGTTATTGCTAGATATGTCGTTTTTAACCACGAGTGTGGACGGTACAGTACTAACACCGTATTGTGAAGCCTGAAAACAAGTTTGTGGAATAAACGAAACCCTTTGTCGCCCAAGCATGAATGGAATCCAGCACGGCACTCCATTTTGATAATGTTTTTTTTGCCTCATCCGTCAACTACCGAATGAATAGTCGGCTATGGCTTATTAGTGAAGTCTGGGGTCGTGTCCTCTGATCTGGCGGCTCAGCGATATTGGATGTCAAAACATTGACTTACAAGGCCTTCCATTCTCACCCATGCCAAAAATTTGAACTTCTTAAGCCTCTCAGAGGCTGACCCACCGTGATCTTACATTCCTATTTCTTTGCCTTAATGAGTTTCCCAGTGACATATCCAGGGTCAAAGCCACGACACTGTATTTCCTCGAGACCCATGTTGAAGTGCGATCAGATTGGGACAGTTGAACCGTTACGTTTGTGCATTGCTCTAGGAGTTTGCCAACGCCGTCGGAAGCCAGCACGTGACGTAAGGAAACCGAGTGGTCGAAACTCTCTCAATCGATTAGATTTATATGAGCGAGGGTATGAAATACACTGATTGGGCCAGTTAATGCTGTCGATGTCAGTGATGGACCAGGACTACGAGTTAATGTGCTTCACTTATTAATTGACTCTAGTACTAGTTTCTTACTCTCTTTATCTCTGAAGCCTTAACACTGGACATTTGGTGATCAAGTATTAGATAAGCGGTTTTTTATGCATGACCTCGAGGCTACAGGTGGCCACTCAATAGAAACAGCTTACAAGATACCTTACCTTAGTAGGTATGGTTTAATACATTAATGTGATACTCCATATGCGCAGAGATCAAGATCATTGCAGCCTCTTCCGAGATCTCATTTGTGGTAAATTGCCCGGACATCATAGTAGTTTGGAAGCCGTCCCTCTGAACAATCAGGCGTTCTCACACACCTCCTGTGGCAGCACGAACCACAACCACAACATCTTGTGAGATGGCTGAGCCAGATGACGGAAGCTGAGGCTCATCGTGCTAATTCATATCGCCCGGGGCGATATTGCTAGGCTAGTAGGTACTGGGCAAGTAACTAAATTATGCAAGACACGTCGACTTGCTTCATTGGACAAGGATACAAATGACCAATCATAGCTGAAGAAAGGATTATGCTTAGCCAGCATCGAGGTCTGTGGGAGGAATGTTTCTGACGTTTGAGAATGAGGCATTGGAAAGATTCATACGTCATTCTTTTGACTCAGGGCATTCATACATCAGAAGAACAGCTTCGAGATGCGAATGCAGCCAAAGTACGATAGATTTAACTAATGGGGTCCATGCTTCCTTTATCTAAAAGGCGTGGAGTAGTTTCCAAAAGGCGGAGATGTGTCCAATTAATAATTCATCAACCATTCTGATAGCATTGATCTTGGATATAGGGGACGTGCATGTTTAATTGGTGATTTTCATTCAGACCTGCCCCTCTATATTAGCACCTGAGGTACCTGGACATTGGGAAACCTTCCCGTGATAGTACCCATCCTCCCGGCTAGCTGTTGACCCTGCATTGTCTATTTCAACCTTTCTTTCCTCCTGTTTTCTTGATTTCGTCCTCTCTCGACATCATCATGAATTGATGTGCATCATATTTACAACCCCGTCCGAAACAAGCGAAGCTAAGGTACTAAGCGGGCCTTTATCTTATCTGAAAACTTAATACCCATTCGTCAAGAAGTCCTGTTTGGATACCGCATTTGTCGAGGGGAACCCATGATCGCTATGCGACCTTGAACCTTCATTGATACTCACGCCCTATAACAAGTCTTACCTCTTAACATCTCGCCAAAATATATCGATATTCTGAAAGCCGCAGCATCGAACCTTTAATTAGAATCCAACTTCACTACGATTCGGGCGCCTCAACGTCCAACGTTCAACAAATTCGCCTCCATCCCTGGCATTGCAGCTCGAGTCAAGCAACCCCCTTATCACGTCAACGAACCTTCTCAACTGTCGATCGACCAGCCCCTCGCGCGTCGTGATATAAGCAACTTATAACTATATACATATCCTTTCTGGAATACGATAGTTGGATATCTACATGGCCGACTTCTAGCGCATGACCTCGAGAGAAAAAGACCACACAATGAGCTCCGACGAATCTCCTCCTAGCGGTCTTGGCGCACCCGAGTCCCACGATGACCTCAAGCCCATACTCTCACCCATTCTACCCTCCTCCCCTGCCTCCTCTACCAAGGTCGATTTCATCCCGCTTGTTACTGTTGTCGGATTCCACCATGCAAGGGGCCCAGAAGTCGAGAATTGGTTTGGAGCAGACGAGGGGAGTGATCCTGCGGCTGATTATGGCTGGTCTTTGCTACCTTTCATGGCCTTGAGTGATGGGGCGCATGCGTGAGTTGTTTATTGCGGTTTTGACACTTCTGAATGGTGCTGAGAAATCTGTGTAGATCCGAGGAGGACTTCTCATACTTTACGCTGCTTCGCCCAGAGACGGAGACGAAACCCGCTACGTCACTGTTTGGAATTTCGTGCACCCGACAACTTGACTCATCTCAGCTCATCAATCGCCCTGCCGATGTTACGCGATCCACTGTCCAGAAGGCTGTTGTGGTCATTGCCGATAGCCCTCAGTTCTTCGGCATGCTTCGTGAGCGTCTGAGTATTGTCACGCAGGCTTGGTTTGCGCAGCGTGAGTTTACCGATGTTGAGATTCTCCGCAGATTCCAGGAGAGTCTGGCAGATGAGAAATCCAAAGGCATTCTCAATGACCAGGTAGACCGAGACCAATATCTCGGTATGAGTCTCCGTGAACTGATACACGAATACAAATGGCAAACTTTGGTTTTGTTGAAGTGTTGCCTCCTCCAACCGAAGGTAACACTGCTGGTTTTCCCCACTGTGACGAAGATTGCTGACAGGTATTTCCAGATGCTCTTCTTTGGGTCGAGATGTGACAGGTTGTGCATGATGCAATTTTCTCTTTTGTCCTTGATACCCGGCCTCATTCGCAACCTGCAGGACAGTGCAGACCCAGAGTTGAACAGCTACGAGACAAGTCTATCAAAGCCTACCAGTTTGCGAACTAGTGATCGCAACTCCCTCCTCTGCTACATGGGCCTACCACTCCAGATATTTGGCAAGGTGAGTCTCGTCACAACTCGATCCGAACAGGAACTGATAGCAAATAGGGAAGCTTGTTTGGACCCTATACCCCCCTGCAACAACTTGATATTCTCGCCGACTTTGGCACAAAGTCCTATATTGTCGGCAGTACAAACTCACTTCTCCTGCAGCAGAAGGATCGCTACAGTGATATTCTCATCAATCTGGACGAGGACTCAGTTGTCATCAACTCTCCGTCACTCAGAAGCGCTTTGACTCTCACCGCTGCGGACCGGAGGTGGATAGACTATTTAACTCATGAGATCAACGAGACATGGGACGAAGCCAACCCTAGCAGGCCGAAGACGTTGAAATACGTCGGAAGCGAGGAGTTCATCAGGCTCCAGTTCGAAGAGTACATTCTCGCTCTTATCTCCTCCGTCAAATATCACAACTATCTTAACGTGAACCCAAACAACCCCAAAGCCATCCTTCCAGAGGTTGAGGGTGATCCTGTCGCAGACTTTGGTTATGAGTGGGTGGAGGCTTGGAAGCGCACTGAGAACTACCGCATGTGGAACGCAAACACTGATTCCCATTTGTTCGACATTGTCGACCCTCGACACCCTTGTGCAGGAGGCTTGAACATCGAGGATGTACAGCGTCGCATCGCAGAGCAAGTGAAAGAACTGCATCTGGACGAGCGTTTTGCGCAGGGCAAAGAAGTCCTCGGTCGGAATCTTGCCGCTGGTCGCGAAAAGGCGTCCTTTGTTCTTAATAAATTGTATGCTGACATGGAAGCTTTGCGTGAAGCACAACGGCGCCGCGCTGAAGAAGCTCGCGCAGCATCGCCGCTGAACGGTTCTAGTCAGCCGGCCGGACAAGACCCTTCAAAAGCCGGACAGCAAGGACAATCAGCTGGTGCGCGTGCCGGTGCTTACATCGGGAGTTGGGCAGCTTGGGCTGGTGAGAAGCGCCGAACAAGTGGATGGGGTGCTGGCTGGGGTCGCAAACCAGCCCCCAAGGCTGACAAGTCAATGGACGACTCGAGTTCAAGCAGTCCCATCGACAAAGACTACCAGATGATCAGCGCTCCCGTATCTCGAGGTGGCAGTTCAGATGATGCAACTGCACGACCAGGGAGAGGAGCAAGCTTCAGCGAAAGTATCCTCTCGGGAGTCAGCGAGCCAGGCAGCCGGCCGACCTCGGGGATCAACAAGCCTCTTCCAGGTCCACCAGTGCCGGAAAAGAAGGACGATGGGTTTCAGACCGAGGGAGTTGTTGGTTCGAAAGATAAACTGCCAAGCGCAGGCCCTCCTCGCAACGAGAACGGTGTAACGACTAAAGAATGATAAGTTAACAAAGAAAGCCCAGAAAACACGGAATATGGACGGCCGCGTCATGAATATGAAGGTAATCAAAGCGGGCGATTTTGGCCGCATTATGTATATATATCACCCATTGTATCTTGATATAGTTTGTAAATAATATTGAACGAGCCATGCAATATTACAGTATAGAAAGATCGAAATGGCTAATAGTTTCACTTTAAATAAGTCCTTTACATGCACTGTTTTTATAACTTGTCCGCTGAGACCTTTTTATTTCTTTCAGCAGTCCATTTCTACAGAGCCCTTTTTGCAGCCAGTCCCTGATCCCAAGCCAACTGATTCTTCCTTTGCAAACAACTTTCTCCCCGCCCAAGGTACCAAATCATCAAGACCCAAAACATAGAGAATAAATAAGTGAATGAACACGTAGAAAGAAACTTAGGGAGGGTCGAGGGAGAGGTAGCCACATGCTCAAATTGCTGATCATCTATTGTTTACCAAGCCCCATTTCTCATCATGTCTGCCCGTCAGACTCTCTTACCACGCCGAAGGAATTAAGAAAGTAGAGACGCTCATAACCGCCGAAAGCCCCGGATATCTATGCCCCCGGGAAATACATAATAAATCGGGCTTGATAATCGCGATATGCGGAGGCTGGGATGAAGCTCTCCGACTTGACCTCGAGCCAATACCACTTAGCTAAAGGTTTAAGCTAGGTAACCTAGCTCGTCGTCTTCCAAACGCTCCAGATACTCCTTGTCTAGTAGGATTTCAATGCATTTCTTGATATCGCCGACCTTTGGAACAAATCGCGAGCGGATTTGGTTGATGGTCTCGCTTACGAGCTGGGTGTGTTTCATCTTCTTACGAGCCTTCATGATTCGGACGATGGCAGACTATGTTGTAGTTAGTATGGATCTTGACAAACAAAGAGATATACATACTTGGAGGACCAGTTTTCGGTCTTCCTCAATTGTCTTGTTTGTCTCGGCCTCCTCCTGCTTCGCCTCCTTCACACCACCGAGGTTCAAGTTCACCCTGATCTTTTTGCTCTTGAAGTCGTAGTTTAATTTGAAGGATTTACCGGCTCCTGGCTTCTCACCGGCCGCGCCAGACATGATGAGTACCTTGGCCTTCAGAATAACAGCGAGGGCCTGGTCCAAAACTTCCTTGCTCAGTTGAGTGGCACTGAGCATATCCTCGTAGCTGTAAGTGTCCTTCTCGTTGAAAAGGAGGAGAATGGCCATCTGGTAAATCGAGACCTGGAAGGTGTACGGAGTCTTGCTGGCCTTGCAATAGCCAGCTTTGATCTCGCCCTTGCAAAGATGCCACAACCACGTGAGCTTACGCCCGTCATGCTTATGCTTGTAGAAGCGGATAAAGCGCTCGATCTCGGCCGCAATCTCGGGAGGCGGGTTGAAGTCAGTGCTCGGTGCCGTCAATGGCCAGAATCCAGTTCCCAGAATCGAGAAAGTTGAATCAACGGCCTTGGTGTATTCGACGCCTTCAAGATGCTCGCGGAAATCTTTATTCAAGTCCTTAGAAATTTGCATATCCTGGAACATACGCTGAAGTTTGTTCGTGTATTCGAAACCGCACGCCTCTTTTAGTTTGCTGATCATGCTAGTCTCAGCGTCATCTGAAGAGGAGTTGCTATGCACCAAACGCCGGGCCAGCATCCGCGAATAGAACTTCTGGAAGACATCCTTGTCCTCAATGTACTTAAAAACTGTCATGATCTGACTCAGAGTACGTTCCAATTCTGCCTCTTCAATACTGGTGCTGCTCTTTCTGAGCAGGACATCAGTGTATTTAGCTAGAAGTTCGGGCGATTTGTTGGATCCAGCCTTGCAAACTTCGTTCCGATTGACAAACTCCCTGCAGGCGTTATCAAGAGAACGTGTAAACTCTGGCTCATCATTGAAAGCTCTCTTCACAAGGCCTTGGTACTGGGTGTGAATTTCGAGCAGAGCGTCGACGTAAACCTTTGGTTCAAGCTTATCGCCCTCTGACGATTGGACCTTCTGCACAGCAGCGAGACCGGCCTTTCTCACGTGTGTCTCAAAACGGGCTCTAAGCGGTTCGAGGCCGTCGGGGATTCTCGAAAGAAGGTTGTACATTCGTGCCATATCCTCTTCACGGTCGTTATCCAGAAGCACCTGGAACTCTTCCCGAAGAAGACTGGAGTGATCGGCGATAAGAGCTTGATTGCAAGTCTTCTTAAGAGGAATGGCGATGTCTTGATGCAGGTACATGCGAACGCGCTCCTCCTCCTCAGACAGGCGAGCCTCCGCCTTCTTCATGTATTCCACGACGCTGTTCTCGGCAACAAATTGCTTAGACTCTGCCACGTAAAACTCTTTGGTAGCAATGAGGAAAGGACGCTCGAAATGATAGCGGTAGACATCAAGGGTTGACTTGGAGGGGTCTGCTTCATCCAGTCCCAGAGAGACAAAGGAATCCACGACTTGCTTGATTTGGCCGTGTTCGATGGTCTCGCCGTTCCTTTGCTTCTCCACAAGCTTAAGCACCGCATCCATAACCTTATCACTGACCTTTTCGAATAGCTCCTTCCTCCATTGCACAAGATGCAGTGTGTAGACATCGTAGATATTCTTCTTCCCCTCATCAATTTCTCGCTTGACCCAATGTCTATTGAGATAGCGAAAGAGATGGTGGATATATTTGGCGGCAACTGTGTAACGCCCCCATTCTTTGATATAGAAAGCGAGCAGCGCCTCGTCGGTGTGGGCCTTGCTTTCATTCACAAGGCTATCGAGATGATGCTGGAGGTAATCAATGAGCTTGTTGTAGAGTTCTTCCCCTAGCAGATGTGCTATTGAGCAGTTAGCTTGACAGGCCGTAAATACATGTCTAGGAATGGCTTACCGCCTCTGTGGTTACTGTGCATAGCAGGGCCAGTCATGCCAACTGCTTTTTGGGATGTACAGAAATTATGGACAGCGCTGTGACAAGTCAGTAGACGCTTCTGATATACTAGTTTTGGTAAAGGTGACTAACGTGTAGACGCCCATGTACATTTGCATGTCGATACCCTGCTCGAGATCGTTCATGACGCGTGAGATACCAGCTTGTAGATAGGTCCATCTGTTCGAGTCAGTCTTGATAGTCTAAACATGCACAAGGCTACTCACGTTGCCCCAATATCCTCTCTGTTAGGTATCGGGGGCATTTGACTCGGGGCACCCATCTTTGCGGCCATGGTGGGCTAAAAAGCGAAGATGGATGGCGGTTCAACGGAGGTGCTGGTGATGGAGGCGGGGTCAGTCTCGAGGGGTTCGACGCGATGTCGTCAGAGTCGATAAAGGTCGATTTGCCCAGAAGGAGTAAAACGTATAGAGCTGTAACCGAAGCGCAATTATGCGACACGATGATGAATATGACGATTAGGTCCGACGCTCGAGGGGATGTTGTCGAGGCTGATGTTGAGCTACCCAGGCACGACTGAGAGCAAGGTCGAGCCTCGAGGCGGTTTCGGATGGACAGTAATAGTTGGTAAGTCGGGTTTGTGCTTTTTGTGGCAAGGCAAGATGCAGTCCGTAAACTTAAATCATCCTAGACATATGAGTCATCAGAGGGAAAGAGTGAGAGAGAAAATAAAAAAGAGAAACACCCATAAAGTGATTCTTGACAGTCAAATAAATGCATAGGACGGGAGAGGATCAGGCAGTCAATGTCAGACCGCAGTAGCTGGACTGAATATGACAAGGCGTTGGCTGAGGCAAGGCCAGGCCACAACAGGAGGAGCAACTTGCTGTAAAGGGCTTAGTGTCGGGATCTGCCGCTACATACCGCCCTAGGCTGATGGCCGGGTTGTCTCCGATAAACAGGGGTGGAGTAGGTACTGTGGAAGCCTCCCAAGTAATTATGGATAGAGCCACCATGGTAATATACCTTTTCCCTGAAGCGCCATGCACATGAGCGTGCACTACTAACTGAGTGATAAATACTACAGGACGCAATTCACAGGCAGTGATTGATATCAGTTCGATTAAATAGAGCCATTTCTGCACGTTCCAGCATCAGACACAGAATTAAGCTTTGTTCTTTTGATTCATTCCCCAACCCAAGGTTGTTCCTGAATATAAGAAACATGCATGTTTAGCGCGTGTAATAGGTTGTCTGTAATACTAATAAAGAGAAAGGAGAGCAGCAATGAACGCTAAGCACGGTCTACCGTGATATCAATGTTCCATATATTCCAACCGGCCGCCATAAGCACTCCCTGCTCAAAGGGGTATCCTAAATTTCCAAATCGAGTCCGTTGCTCCAGTCATCCCTCACTTCCCTTTCTAACCATGCAGCCCATCATCTTCACCTCCTCCCAGGCGTTCCACTGTGCGGAATATGTTGACTGCAAAGTTCATCGTCCAAGCAATCAGTCCCATGAGCATGAATGCTGCCAGCGCCTTAGACAAGCTCCTCACTGCTGTATCGGACAAGTTATGATAGACAAGGCTCTCGAACGCAAGTGCTGTGCTTGCCGACTTGAAGATGATGAAAAAGAGGTCTAGCAAGATGAGAGAGATCTTGGAGACAACAGATCTTAACCCCAAAGGCTTGCCTGTGTACTCATCCCAGATCATATAACCAATGTATGGAATAGCCACGCAGTCTACGGCCACGGCAACTATGGATTGTGTCTCCTCAGCTGAATCTGTGCTATCAACGTCTTCAAGCAGGTGGATCCGCGCCGCAATAGCAAGGGCAATGATAGAAGTGACCATGACGCTCAGTCTAAACATCAGAGGAGCGAGAGAGTGCCGAATAGCTATATTCCATAAACGTTTGTACGGAGCTAGCGTCCTCTTCTTCCGTGAGACCCTGGCTTCTTGTGCATCGTAAGGGTGGCGGGCTGGTGTGTTGAAATTTGGTTGTAGGTCGTTTAGAGCCTCAACATCCACCACTTTCGAGTCCTCATTAGTCATGCGACCCCACGACGAAGATTGGACAAAGTCTTGCCATGCTATGTTCGGCTGCGAGGTTAATGCTGGTTTATGTCCTGGCACAATGACGGGTTCTGCGGATCTCAGATGGTCCCATTTCCTGCCACGCATCGAGGCGCGGCCGTAGCGCATAAAATGGGGGATCTTGCCTCTCGTTTCCTGGCCTTGGCCAGCAAGAGGATCTTGCGGATCGACGAAGCCATCTTTCGAGATTCGTCTTTGGGGGTCACTTGGTGACGAGTTATGTTGTGGTGGGACAGCGCGAGTGGGAGGCCGGAGTAGCCGCAGTTGGTCGTCGCTTACTGAGCCATGTTTGTCGTCCCATGAATCAATCCAGGCTATTTCTTGGGTTAGCTGAGAAGTCAAGCGATGGAGTTCTAAAATCGCTTACGTGGGAGGGATCGAGGGGGGCGTAGACGGGCAGACCTGCCCGCGACGGAGCTGCTCAAAGTACGACCTGAATCATAGGTCCGTGGGGAGTCGTGATAGGTGCCAGTGCCAGTGCCAGTTCGTGGAGGAGAGGGAGAAGTCATGACGTGAAATCAGCGGCGGCGGCGACGAAGCCAACGATCGCGATATTTATGTCTTCAGCCGGATATTGAAGCCGGCGAGGGCGATCGCAAAGCGTACCCAGGACAAACTGGCATGGCAGTCGATTTGTTAAAGCGCGGCTGAGCCGGCGACACGTGGGTTGAGTTGAGAGCCGAGCCTATTGTGTTTTACAGAAGAAAACCATACAATAGAAGGTACTAATTAGGAAATGAGGATTCGTGACCGTCAACGGTTGGAGTTCAAGAAATGTAATGAAGACAAAAGCGCACACGACACACAGCAAAAAATCACAATGGTTGGAACGGAAGGTAACGAAATAGACTGGGAAATTAGAGATTGGAGATCCCCGTCCTTAGGCTTTTGACGGGCGTTTCGACGCGCCCATGGTCTGGTCTGTGCAGGCTGGGTCAGGACCCCCAAGGCGTCATCCATTGACCGTTAGTGGGTGAGATTACCTGCTGAGCTCTGGAAGCGCTAGAGCGTCATAGGCCGCCAAGGCGCTTCCAGGTCGTTTGCATTCATTGTTTCTTGCTTTGTTCCTCATGGATGCATGCATTTCTGTGTAATGAAATCATCGAGGCCAAACGGTCCATCGTTCTCGGCCAGTATACTCTATAATTTAGAGGGTTCATTGCAGCCTAGGTTTTGTTTCCTCATTTTCTATTGTCCGTATTAAGCATTGTAAGCATTGTCTCTCATCCTCGCACGATACCCCTGCCAACCTATCAACCCCAGTCGTGCCCAGAAAGCCTAGTTCTCGTTGCATGCCTTCTGGCTGCCTCCTTGCAGCAACGCAGATCCTTGGTTGACAGGCTCCAGGCACGGAGCAACAGGGTCTCTGTGCCCAGACTTGATTTTGATACGGATACGCGAATAAATCTCGAGGTTTTGGTCAATGGATATCACGCGACACAATCCGATGTTCCGCAATCACGCGAACCAGATATATAAGTACCCATCGTATCAACAAGTTGTCAAACTTTCGAAGGAAACTTGTGTCCATGACATCAGATCAGATTTCATCAAAAAGCATGCAGAGAAGATAAACTTCGCTTGCCGCTTGTCACCATCTTCAATTCTCCGATCGTCCCTCAGCCTTGATTTAACCCCACAGGTGTTAGGTCCAAGCTAACGTATTCTGCTACCACCAAATTGAGCGGGCTATTTTGGGATATCTCATGCACTTGATCCCAGAGCTTCCTCACTACTATATTTGACTTACACAAATAGTAGCTCTGGCCTATACTTTCTGGACTTCATGGGGTTATCTCTAATGTAGCGAGCTTATTTTTCTAGGTACCTCGCCTTACATTACCTAGAGGTGTGCGCTTCTCCGCAAGATAGAAATGTAGCCAATCAGATCTTAGAAAAACCATCTCAGCAAGTGTTTATCCCGACTTCACTGCCATTCCACAACTATTTTCTCAACCAAGTGGAACATCCTGGCTATCTGGTAAACTGATGCAGTATGACGAGTAGCTAATTATGATTTTTCATCCTCCCTCCCCCTGCCATTTCTAATTTATGGCTCTTGGGTAGGCATAGCTAAGGTATGTTTCAACAAAGGTTGTCCTCTAGGGCCTGGGATTCGAGGAGGGATATCATCCTTCAGTGACAGTTACTCCCGTTCTCCAAGAACTGCACTCTTCTATCAATCCGTTTCAATGGTTTCCCCATGTTTTGTAGGATCACAGCGGAGTTCATATCAGATAGAACCCATGGGAGCCGCCCTGTGTGCCATTCAAGCATCCAGGTGCGTACCAAGGGAGCTACCACGCTCAATATACAGGTTTGAGGTCATTCAGCTCATTCTTTGCCGGTCATCGTCCAGTCTCCTTGTCGCTCTTGTGAAATCCCAACCACTCGCCCAGCATACCTCCCGGCTTCGGCAGTGGGCATTCCCTCCTTGCTCTATCTTGTGCGTTCTCTGCCTCGTCGCTCGCCACATCGTTAAATTGAACAATCCCATCCTCGACTTTGGGACTGGCATCCTTCCTCTTCCATCTCATTCGTCGGCCATTCTCGTCAACCATAACATCTCCATCGGCGAAGCGGGCCCGGGGTACGGGGCAAGGAAGCAAATGCGGAATCGTGACGACTAGAAAGCATGCGGCGACTGTCGTTGCGAAGAGCGACGATGTCATTCGCGATTTCGGGTGAAGGAGTGGTGGCATGATCCTGGTTAGGTCTGGAGGTCGTTTGGTGTAGTGTGGACTCTAAAGGTCTCAATTGGTCGTCAGCGGGTGTTTCAATGGGTTCCAGATGCCATTGAACTCACATGACAACTGTAGCATCATCCTCCAGACAAGCATTGACCAGGTCAACGTTGCCGACAGTATCGAGCGATTTGTGGTGGTGATCCAGAATTCGTAAAGGTTCACCCAAACCTGAGTTATGATGTGACTCTCATTGGCTACCGGCGGAAGGGGATTGTTTCGGCCTCGGCTCTATGTAAGCCCGACCTCTGGTTATTCATTGGTGGGGCAGTTGTGTGTCTCCACCTCGAAGAGCGTCACTCAACACCGCGAATCGCGAAATCTCCAAATCCCCAACTACAACCAACACGCGCGACCAGCTTTCAAGTCATCCCCGTGTTCAGCTCAAATCACGTCGCATCGCAAGCATCGCATCGCATGACAACTCCCGGCTACACACGATATGTTATGATCATTTTCTTTGATACGGCTTAGGATTAAAGATTAGCGGCGCGCGCATCCCCACGTGCCAGCCCACCAACTCTACCCTTTCACGATGAGCGACCTCGACAAGTGAGGCTGAACGCCCGATCGCCGGTCTTCGGATTCTTGAGCTAATAACTCATTCTCAGGGCCATTGCGCAGCTGCGCGCATGCCGACCGATTCCGGAAGCGCAAGTCCGCGAGCTCTGTCATAAAGCTCGGGAACTTTTAATAGAAGAGGGCAACGTCGTCACTGTATCGGCACCAGTAACGGTATGCCTCATGCCTTAATGAAGGCCCAGCAATCTCTGATTCTCTTATTAGATATGTGGTGACATTCATGGCCAATTCCACGATTTGATGGAGCTCTTTCGAGTTGGAGGCGATGTTCCAGATACAAATTACCTGTTCATGGGTAAGACCAATCTTAATCACATCCAACCAATTTTCACACATCTAATCAAAACTCTTAGGCGACTTTGTCGATCGCGGCTTCTATTCACTGGAATCTTTCCTCCTTTTGCTCTGCCTAAAAGTTCGATACCCCGATAGAATGACACTAATCCGCGGCAACCACGAATCTCGTCAAATCACCACAGTCTACGGTTTTTACGATGAGTGCATAAGAAAGTACGGCAGCGCTAATGTTTGGCGTTACTGTTGCGACATCTTTGATTACCTGGCGCTTGGTGCGATCGTATTGGGCGCCTCCAACACCATGTCGCCTGGGGTGGAACCTGTCGATGACGAAACTGAGATCGAGGTTTGCGACCAGAACGGCTCTATAATGAGCCGTTTCCCCCGACGTCGGCCAGATGATAGCTCGCAAGATCAGATCCAAAGCCCAGGTGGGACAGCGATGGACAAGACAGGCCCCCCAGGATCGGGCGCTTCAGGGTCAAGCGGTGGCTCGGTGGGAAATCCAGCCGGAGCAGTGCTTTGTGTTCATGGCGGTTTGAGTCCATTGGTCGATACAGTTGACAAGATTCGCTTGATTGACCGCAAACAAGAAGTCCCCCATGAAGGTGCCATGTGCGATCTACTCTGGTCCGACCCAGACGAGATCGACGGCTGGGGTCTTTCCCCACGAGGTGCAGGTTTCCTCTTTGGAGCTGATATCGTCAAGGTGTTCAACCATCGAAACGACCTGAGTCTCATTGCCCGCGCGCACCAGCTTGTCATGGAGGGATTCAAGGAAATGTTCGATGCTTCTATCGTCACTGTGTGGTCTGCTCCGAACTATTGCTACCGCTGTGGAAATGTTGCTGCGGTCCTGGAACTCTCTGAGGACGAGTCTGGCACAGGTCTCTTCGCCCGTAGCAATGGTGATGTTGGCAGAAGCGATGGCGGTACTGGAGTCATGATGGAGGGCGGTATGCCTCCTAGGAGCGGTCCTGCGCGGCGATACAGGGTTTTCCAAGCTGCACCACAAGATTCGCGAGGAATGCCTGCCAAGAAGCCAGTCGCGGATTACTTCTTGTGATCATCTATTTTGCCATTGTCTATTATTTTCATATCTACCGGCCACAAATGTGGCTTTGTTTCACGGAATTAACTTGGGGTTTGGGGTTACGGGCAGGGTATGGAGTTCGATAATATTCAAAATTCATTATATACCACCTGAGTCAAAGGGTATCGTCATGGTACGCCTCTTAAATGCTTGATATCCCACGCAATGCAGTTCGATCAGTCCCAGGCTACTTTCCGGCGTTTCTAAACCCGTGCAACAAGCCACCTCATACTATAAACATACCTCCTGGTCCCTTGCTTGGATACAGCTCCGCACAGTTGTCAAACCTCTCAAGCAATTCTAACCAATTTTGCAAAGTGTCGAAGCTTTCAATAGATCCCCAGCTTGTGGATGCGGGGTTCTCGTAGACCTCTATCTGAAACATGAGTGCCTGTTTGGGTTCCTTTTTCCGTCCTATAGATGTCAAGAGGTATGGCATCCTTTTCAAGGCATCACGCAGTATGACTTGGTCTTCAGTAGACAGTCTTCCACGATATCTGCAAATGTCAGAGACAAGGGTACAAACAGCGACGGCAGCATTGACCTCGTCAATGCTAAACGCTCTATTTGCGTTCAAATCATGTGACACAACGGGTTCAGGGAATTCCGGAGCCGTTGTTGTTTCTGAAGCCGTCTTCGAATTGAAACTATCAAGGATCTGGTCGAAGTTGTAGGCATGCTTTTGACATATGTCAGCGGATTCTTTCACCTCATTCGACGTATATTCCGGTGCCCTACCATATCTAGGCAGCATTTCTTCTTCATCACCACCAACAAGTCTCGACTTCAGGATTGAAGGTGTTTCGCTGCAGGTCGAAGAAAGTCGCGTCCTTCTCTCTTCCTCTTCCTTGTGCCATGAAATATAGGGCTTGAATCTTTTTCGACCGACACGAGTTCGAAGGGTTGAAAAGAGTTCGAACCAATCTGAAAATCTTGAGGAGGTATTTTCGCCTGTGTCATACGGATCATAACTCCCGTTTTCAACTGAGACTTCCTGGTGCTTCCTCTTCTTGGCTTGCTGACCCATGCTGGATGTAGCTTGCTTTGATCCTTTTTTGATACTTGGTGATCTGCCTTGACAGTGGATAAGCCTAGGATTGGAACCGATAGTTTGATGTGCGGTATGCCCTCAACTGGATAAGTCAACGGGATGCCCAGTCTTCTATCGCTTGGATGTTCATCCACAGTTATGTGACCGTTCCCGAGTGAAGGGCTTGGGATGTTTGTAAATGCTTTGCGCCCGGGTCGGCGAGGGGTTTTATAGGTGTGAGGCGACATATGTTCCGCACAGCGCAAAGTGTTGGAGATGTCCTCAGTAGATTGTTTGACTGCCTGTTCGTCAAGAGGTGGTGCTGATATGAACTGGTCAAGCTCTTCCTTTTTTGTTCCTATTGGCTTTTCCAGATTGGCAGAAAGCATTGCCATAAATGTTTAGTTGTCAACTTGTGAAGTCGTGAACGGTATCAAGGATGCGAATGCTGAAGTGAATGGTCGTACAACGGTCGGCTCGGGAGACTACTTGATTAATATTCGATATGAGAAATAGCATGTGTTGGTATCTCCTATCCTTAACGCCCTATCAGCAATCGTTCTTTGAGACTTGATGAAAGACCCATTGTTCCTTCGGGTTCGTTGTTCGTTTTGTCGCTGTCGACGTTCGACTTCTGCTTTATGTTCCAAGAATTCTGCAAGACATCCCAACAATAAGATCTTTGTCTGTAGAGGACAAAGCTACAGGAACATCATCGTATGGTCGAACTCAGCCTTGCCGCTGGGTTTCCTGTTTGTTCATCCAAAGGCTCTTCCCAGGTTTCATTTCATTACCCAGCTCGCCATGGCAAGACGTGGAACACCACCCGCATACCAATCTTGGATAATATTGAGTGTTTCGAGAAGGCAGGCGACTGATAGGAAACCCATATCGATATGTGGGGAAATGTACGTCGCCGCCAAAACGCGAGGTCAAGTCTATCGATAGGTCGAAGGAGCTTATGCATAGCGATTGTATCAAACCCCCTTTAACTTCACGCAAATTGCATCAACGCGAGGCTACTTGTCGGTACCTGTTCGATGTGGATGGCAGAGGATTTTGAGGCCACCGGGCGCAACGAAATCCATTGGGTCGGACAAAAGCTCTCTGCTGGTTGGCCATCCAGTCAACACGGTCCTGAGGGGCCACCATCTTGTCCTACAGGGTTGTGAAAGGAATTCATGGGAATGCTATAACCCATCGTTGACGAGACATCCCCAGGCATGGGTGCCACAGAGTAGCTGTGTCGCCGGGGATCACCCATCAAAGACCCAGGGGTAGCGATAGCGTGGTAGCTTTCGGTCCGTGAAACTTGAGGATCAGGGAACATTTGAGAGGTGTATTGCTGGGGATGCATTGATGAAGTTATCGACTGCCTCGGTACTGGTGTAGGGACGTTGGAGGGAAGTGGCCGGGCGTATGCTGAAGGTGGCTGGATAGCTTGGCCAGATTCCCATATAGAAGAACTGCTTGTAGATCCACTTGCGATAGATGGTTCACGGCTTTCCTGCGGAGGGAGGCCGTAAGATACGCCAGTCTCGAGAGCTGTAGGTCTCCGGGGTGCTATAACCTGCTGAAGGGATTGGACACTATCGCTGTGAGTGTTGGGGGTGAAGTGCGATATTGCTGTCGGATCGGTCTGCGATGCTGTACCCGAGTGCAAGTAACTAGTAATGTAATCATCGCTGATCCCATGTCGGTTGAGAAGACCACGGAGTTGTCTGTTCTCCTCTGCAACCCTCCGCGCAGCATGTTGCACCTCTGAGGACGCCTCGACACCCTGCAACTCATACACTCGGAGTCGTTGCTCCAGCTCTTGGAGATACTCTCTTCTGCGGGCCCGGGATCTCCTCTGATTATCTCTAATCCGGGCAAGGTTTGCTTTTTGCTATAGACAAGGACATGCCAACATTAGGAACAAGGATCGAAGAGGAATGGATATGGACAGAGGAACGGGCCACGTACTGCCGGCGTTGACATTTAGTCGTTTTATAACTTGACGGGACAGGCGTTGTCAATATGCGACAAGAGTTCGGCATCTAGGCCAGATCGCGAATCTCGTAACAAGCTCTTGCGACAGCGCCGTGGTGTTGGTCAACCAACACTGATGAGGATCAACGAAAGGCACAAGGGATAATGTGCAAGAGCTCAAGTTGTATGAAGCTGGAGCGGTCCTGATGAAAAACAACCCAGGTCTAATAGATGACGCTTTCCCTTTTATTGAAAGGATGGATGGGGCACCAGCGGTGACATATACCAGGGTATTTATGAAGACTTAAGAACGATAAGCTCACGAGAGGGTCCGCCACATGGGAAGGCCAGCCACAGCGGCAAGTATTTCTGTAGGAGACGGCGAAAGGAAGCAAAGAGGTATTGGGGGCTTCTATACTACAGTCTGAAGGAAGTATCAGATACATGTGCCTCTAGAGATCCAGGGCCCGGAGAACCCCATCAACGGACGGGGCAGCCCTATTGGGACGAAGACCACTGGGCCGGCGCGGGACAGCGAGACCAGTCGATGCAAGTGGCAGCCGGTTATGCTGGGAATATGCTGCAGGGCTGCGCTACAAGCAACAGTCATGAGCTAGCTGCAGCCCTGGTGCATTGCAATCTGCAAAAGACAAAGAGCCGGTCAACTCAGTCGCAAGAGATCCATGAACCGGGCGAGCGAGCAGCGCGCCACCAACTCGATATGTGGAAAATGGTAACAAGCCACACTTGAACGCTGACACCGCGACTTTTCGAATTGTTCCTCTTGACATGCCCCGTCCAATATCTTGTTGCCATTCTCGGAGGCGAGTGAAGTTGAGATCACATTGCGTACTGTAGTCTAAGGGGGGGTCGTGGAAACAGAAGATAGGTGTCTCACTAGCAAGCCGTATACACATACTCCAGGCGGCCCGACAGAATATGAGACTTGGGGATGCGAGAAACTGTATCGAAAGCCATGAAACCACCATCTAGCAGCTGTGCCAAGAAGCAATTGATTGAACGGGAAGTATTGCCGTACAGCAAATAGGTGTCTGGGGACTGGCAATGTTTCCAGGGATCCTGTCCTTCGGAGGTAGTGGCTGAGAAGACTTTGAGTTCACGGAAAGCGGAGTTGCAGCTGAAATGACGGAGGCCTGGACGGCAGAGGGGCCAGGGCCCAAAACCGATGTTAGTGATTTGGTGAATGGGCATCATGCTTGGTTGGGCATAAACCCGTCGACGACGACATGATTCGGTGATTGCGAGAGCAGCGGCTCCGAGGGTATGGCTAATAACTGGCACATCACACCCACTTTCGAACCTCGCTGCAGAAAAAGACGGGCTGGCGTGAGCCTTTCTTGCCCCCTTGTGGCGATAAGGTGGGTGTAAGTCAGACAGACAGGGTGCGCTGTACGGAGATCATTGCTGAGCCACGCGCTCATAAACACGCATCCTTGAAATTCAGTCGCTTGAGAACATGAGGATATGAAAGTATCAAGCCCTCCCAACCCAACCCAACCCAGGGCACAGAATTACGTGTGAGCACAACACTATTCCGGCGCCGGCGGCGGAGAGGCATTAGACTTACTTGCATCCTCCATATGTTCTGCGATCGTGTTTGTCTGTGATCGTAGAGGCTAGCATCTTGAAATTAGTCTGCTGACAGGCATCTCCCTTCACCTAGGACACCTAACAAGAGCCGTGGGAACCAAGACCCCTAGGGTGACACCATTCCCCAGCTACCATTAAAGGCTAAGCTTTGTTGGAGGTGTTGCCAGGCGCCGTTCTTTTCTTTTTTCGAAATAGAACAAGGGCCTTCTGAGGAGAGTTAGGAGATCAGGATGTGAAGCCATGGATGCCGCTAGCGATGCACGGTCGCTCATGTCTAGGGAACCGAAAATGGAACGACAAGGCCAGTCTCCAAAAAGCAGATCCATCAAACAAAATGGAGGAGTACGTATCGTCCGGCCGTTTAAGGCGTTGTCTGGTGGCTCAACACTATCCCCAGTGCTGTTACGAGATCACGGTTGGATTCCATGGCGTATGACTGGGACCGCAACGGTCGAGAATGAGATCAATGCCTAGGCGGTGATGCAAATTCGAATGGCAACACTAGAACAGAGATGGCCCAACCACAGCTCGAGGACCGTATTGCACAGTACAGTGCCTAACGCGACGGGCGCAAATACAGAGAACGTAATGGCATTATCGAAATGGCCGGGATCAATCAAGGGAGACAGATCGCGAGCCTAGAACGAACCAAGCGGATCATGATCATACTGTAATAGGCACGTCTATGCGATGTAACATGCTGGAACTTTTTAGCTATCCTGATTGATTCGTATGAAAGAAAAAAGCATCTGAGCAGTCATTTGCTTGGGTGGAAGCAACAGCCAAGCTTGGTAAGTCCAGCAGGACAAGGGACATTTGCGCAGGAGAGCGCACCGCTCATCTTTGGACTAGGTACTTACAGATTGAGATTGGATGCTATGATTGAGTTGGCTGTGCCATAATGACTAGACGATGTCGCGATATGACGCAGTGTGTTTTGCACCCACCGCGATAAACTCGGACCTGGGGCTTGGGCTGGCGAAGATATCGTCATGTGCCTGCCATTCCCCAAATTTGGGTGAGCCCCCCCTAAATCTCGATCTTCGCCAGGGAAGAAGACCCCAAGGCTGTTCCAAGGGTTTGGAACTCAACGTCGAGATGTGGCTGAGGGGCTCAAGTCCAGACCCCGTCCCCACCTCGGCAAATGCCGACCGTTGAGGGTTAGCAAAACTGGTCAGTTTTATACAAACTAGGTAACGAGACAAATAATTACAAGAACTGTTAGTCGCCAACAGACTTTTGTTACCCACTGTAGTAAATATCAAAAGCCGTTATCTAAGTATCAGATCGAATCTACTCTGGTCCCTAGGGAAATCCCAGGTTAGACAACTTTCTACAAAGCAGACTGTGTATAACCTTGAAAACCAATCATTGTTGGCCGATATAATTCGGTTTGCCGAAATACACATCCATGCCTCGGCAGTCACTTCATCACCATCTTTAGAACTCGTATGATAATACACATTCTTCTCGCTTAATGTCCCTACGTCTAGCTATTCTCACCGTATATGATGTGTCACTTACATGTTTCAATGGGGGCTGCAGCAGGCCGTGCAAGCATGAGTCCCAGCGCCACGGTCGTGGTAGCGGGTGTACCGGACATCAACCCGGTTTCCAGACCGACTATAAAAAATTATCCAAGCTGCACCACAGTCACACCCATTTACAAGGGGGAAGAGGATACTCTTACCATCCTTGTATTGTCCTCCGACGACCCGGCCGAGAAAGCTGCAAGTACGGAACAATATTGGTCAGAAACAAGAAACAGGAGAAGCATTGACTCGAAAATACGCAGTCTTGGCGACTTTAATGGGGAATAGAGCTTTAGCAACACGGAAATGGCTCACTCACTAATATCTTTGTAATCTTGTCTTGACTCTTGATTCCCACTGATTTCTATGGTCCCGACCCGTTGTTGCCCGTCGCGGTCACGGAGCTGCCGTTGAGAGTGGGTCTGTCCTGCGCCCCTCCTCCCGCCGGAGATCCACTTCAACTACCTATTCGGACTCTCCTTCTTGTCCGCGCGCTGCCTTCAATCCTCCCTCATCTCTAAATTACTCAGCCCTCCATATCTCCCTGCGGCTCTTTGTTTGGTTTCCCTATTCTGCAAAACATCCGAGGCTGGCGTCTCGGATCACAAAACTAATAAGCAATTCACAACCATCAAAACCAAGGCCGCTCCCAATCAGAGGTCGTCGAGTCAGTTCGGACGGATACTAGGTGCGAAACCCAGTACCGACTCAAGCTTATGCACCAGATCGACCACCATAAGGTCCCTAGACAGCTGAATTGTCGGCCCGTCCTTGCCAGTCCTCGGGAATTTTTTTCAACGCATGTGCATACGTAGCATCCACGTCACATTCGCGATTCAGGTGGTTATGGGGGGAAAACGTGGTTGTTCCATGGCAGCTTCGCCGATGATGCCTGAGAGACAGGTATCTAACATGCGGCAGCTTGGGTTGCACAATACCGCTTCTTTCAGCCACTCTCTATCCCTGTATATCTTTCACTTTCTGACTCGAGCAGGCTGAGGAAATTTCTGTTGCTACGGACTAAGTATCGTGTACTTTTACGATTTCCGCGGATAGTAGTTGCATCTCAAAGGCTATCTCACCCCTACCTACCATCGATCGAGTCATGACTCCCTGCATCATGGCGCCCTACCAGCTTGTCAACCACGTGCTTAGTCGTTTGAGGTATACCTCATCTCGGAGCACTGTCTCAAACTCGTCTCTCATGTTCAGCATAATTGTCTCGTCAGTGGGTGCTTTGGTGTAGTGAAGTCGCAGTCTGGCTGCTCGAAACCCTTCCATGGCTTGTTCAAGTTTTTCTTCTGCTCGAGTCAGCAATCTTGCTTTGAGGCACCGCGCACAGAGATTCGGGATCCTGCCCTGGTCTGGTAGTGTCCTTGGTAGCAGATGAAGTCCTTCCCTAGTCAGGGGTCTCACTGGAACTGTATGCCCACACCCGGGATAGATGAGATCGACTCGGCAGAACGGGCAAGTGCCCTGATTCTCGAACCACCCTTCGAGGCACTGCAAGCAAGCAGCATGACCACATGGCATTAGACTAAATGTACTTTCGTCAAGCGGCTCTGCATCTGGTTTGATCTGACAGTTCGCCTGATGGCATATCTGACATTTGACTTCTATTGGTTCGTCAATTAGGAATGTAACTTTGGGGAATGGAAAAAAGGACTCTTTCGGGTCGTATCGTCGATGGGGCTGAAACCATGATGAGAATCGCGGCAGAGTCTTCGTCTTCTTCCATGACCCACAGCCTAATGTTCCATTTGCGTTCTGGTGTTGGGGAGCCGGGGAAGTTTTACTGGCTCGGGTTCTCAAGTACCTCTTTTGAGGCTGTTGTTGGCGATCGGGATACATCGGTTATGGAATTTTGCATGCGTCTCGTTGATTGTGCTGTTGTCTATTCAGTTGTGCTACTCTTGCTGCTGTGTCATGCTGTTGGTAAACACTCAGCGATTAGTTGCTAATAAGCAATTCTAGGCATAAAGACAAACTCTGATAACGAAGTAAGTACAAAGGTTCCCGGCACTGTTCAGCCCATTGACGGCTAGGAACAACCAATATTCCCTTCACTTTAGGTGTTCAGTAGTGTACGGTTGTATTCTTCAATGTTCTAGCCCATTGTTTATTGAACATTGCGTTACGTTCTACTGTACTACCTTGGTGTCTTTGAACGTTTTAGCGGTTCATCCCTAGGGCATGCATGTCATCAATGGAGTCTAGAACATCGCATACTCACTATACTACGTAGTAATAAGGAACAATGGCCTCCGTGGCCTTGTTCAGGTACGATAGCCGGTGACAGCAGCTAGTGCGTGGCTTGATCTCTTGACCACTTTATCTGTAGATCTTTTGGATGCTGAATCGAAAGTCGCATGTCGTTCGTGTTTCACGTGAGAATCTTGGCCCCAGTCTATACAAGGTCGAGACCCAGACCATATATCTTAGCTGTTCGCGGATCACAATATTGATTCTTCTAGATGTGGTAGGAGACTCGCGAGGCACGCTGCGAAACGATGTTTCTTCATCTTTGGCCCCCTTGATTTGCCATTGCAGCTCAGCCTCAGGCCGTAGAGTATGTATGTGGGGATACTGGGGAAATTTGATGACATGCCACAATAGCTGATTCTTTCCTGTTACCGAAATTCCTGCATCAACTTGATTATTTGTTGATATTAAACCCCATATCGTTTGCGTCCCGTGGGGATGACACAGGTGTCACTCGACATCATGATCAGGTTTAGGGCTCAATTTGCTTTGCAGATCATAACGTCGATCTAATAAAAGTCCGTTCATGATTACATTGGGCCAAAGTTAAAGGTGCGGTTCAGCCCCATCATCATCAATTCCCGGGATCTAGACTGGCGTCGATGGATCCGTCCCTTTACGATGTCCGAGCTAGTCATTCTCGGCCGAGGACGCCGAGTCCCCGACCACTCGTTTCGGGTTTACGGCCAGGTTTGGCCATAGCTTCCGAAAATGCCCAGCGACCGGAGAAGGTTAATTCTTTGTCGGACCGCTGAACACTCGGACCCGGAATCATTGTGGAGCATTCCGGTTTTTAACACCGGTATTCCGGGACCCCGGAAGTGATATCGGGAGATGGGGCACGAGCTGAGTCAGTCAGTACACCAACCTGGAGTATGTATAGAGTACATTACACCGTTACTTGGCGAAAACAAGCTTCATGATATGGGAAAATAGTTAAGCCATAGAACGATCACAGTTCTCGTTGATGACATAGTACGTGCCTGCATTGCAGACTAACTAATGCACATACCATCGTTTCACTAACGGACGTTGAAAAGTTACCAGAGTCATGAGAAGGCCTTGATGCCTGCCCTGCAGGGCAAAAGTCCGTTCTTTGCTAAACCTCTGTACTATACAAAGGGAGACAAGCATCCCACATATCAGCACACTACGTCGTAAACGACGCGCGTAGGGCGGTGAATGGAACCCATGTTACCTTACGAGATCAGCAACAAGGATAGATGCACCGTCTCAGCCGTTTGCAACATTCACCTCGTCCTAGACTGACGGTCTCAGCTGTGCCCCACAGCTTTGTTTAATGGCATGTGTCTGAACTATCGTCCGAGACTGAAGAAACATTCCATTGACACCATTGACACCATTAAACTATTGTCTTATCTTGCAACAGAGTTCTAGACCCGAACCCTTGTCAATTTGGAGGATCACGCATGTTGTAAGTCGACTTCGACGAACGTGCAGATTTCAGGCTGCATACTGGAGCTCTAGGGTAAGCCATCATCCCTGTGCTTCTGGTTGCCGGGGTTGCACAAGTAAACAGGGCTCTCGATGGAACAAATAACCGACCTCAACGCACAAACCAGTGAGTCTTTCGTGATGGAGAGTCCCTGCATCTCCTTGATCTCCCCTTGGTCAAAACCTGATCTTGGCGTCTCTGTTAGGCAATCAGAATACGGAGTATCGGCTGGCCCATGTCAGAAGTAACACGGAAAAATTGCCTTGATGTTAGGGGCTGCTGGGCAACAGGCGACTCTTGGCCTGACGTTGAATCTTTTTTATCAGGCTTGCTCGTAGCGGTCAACTTCTCAGAAACTGATAAACTCCAACTTGCCTATCGTGCTTCTTGATCCTCATCCGCTCGTACTCTTAACACCACGCATCACGTAGTATTACAGCACCACCCTACCACCGAGAATGCCTTCGCTCAAGACGTTGTTCGCCTCAGCCATTTTGGCTTACCTGGCCAGCGCCAAGACTATTAAAATCACAGCTACCAGCGACGACAAGTTCGACCCTGAGGAGGTTGAGGCTGAGAAGGGTGATGTCCTCGAATTCCACTTCGAGCCCAAGAACCACAGCGTCGTTGCTGGCGATTACCGATACCCTTGCTCTCCTCTCGATATGGGCACTGGCTTCTTCTCCGGTTTCTTTCCCACTGACAATGGATCTGCCGTAAGCTGCGACTCCTCGGGCCATCTTTGCGATTTCTAACACGTCTCTAGGACAAGATATTCAAGGTCACCGTCAATGACACTGACCCTACGCCTTTCTATTCCTCCCAGGGCAAAGAATGCGCCTCGGGTATGGTCGGTATCATCAACGCCGACTCCAACAAGACTCTCTCCGACTACAAGAAGCGTGCATCGGAGCTAAGCTCTGGAGTCAACCCTGGCAAGAAGCCATTTGGTGGCGAGTTGGTGGACGCTGATGACGCCGATTCAGATAGCGACAGCAGCTCCGGAAAGTCCAAGGATGGTAAGAACGACGACAATGCTGCTGGCGTCCTTGGTGCTCCTCTCGCTGGTCTGGTCGCTGTCGTTGGTCTTGCTGTTATTATGGCCTAGGCAGAGAAGTCGATGGCATGTTTGGAGAGATGCGACATGATATCCACGGAATCGTCTGGGAACTGTGTTTAAAACAGCGGGAGTAATTTGAATATATTATTTACTAGACCATAATACCTGTGAGCCCGTACATCGAAGCTTGTATCTACCAGGCAATGAATCGATCACTGGGTCAAAGTACTTCTTCGACCGATGCATAACCTCGAACCCCGTCACTCGCCAGGTTTCAAATATCCAATCTTATAGTAATAACCGCATGCGTGTTTTGGATGCCGACTTGCCATTACTATCGAGTCACTTACCTTGGTCGGAGATGGTTCTCCGAATCGTGGTCAGAGGAGTTTGGAACCATCTCGCAACATCCAAGGGGTTCTGACCTGCGCACTAGGATTCATAATTGCTGATGCATTGCCTTCGGAGTTGAATCGGCATCTTGATTATAAACCCCGAGAGCATAGCAACCGGGCCGGTCTTCAAATGAATAATTACGCTCGAATATAGCGTTTAGAAAGAGCTGACAAAGAGCTTAAACCTAGAGGTTTGAGTCTGCAGTGTTGGCGATATATCATGTGAAATTGTGAACAGCTGACTGTTTGTTTGTTTGTTTGTTTGTTTGTTTGTTTGTGTATTTTTCGTCTGGGTGGCTGTAACGAAGCCAAATCTCCTACTGGGCAAAAGACGTGCTGAGCTAGCTAGGTACAGGATACCCCGCTTCCTTCACCATCCAGCATACCAAGGCACAAAAGGCGCTGTATTTTCTCGAGCCCGTCACCCGTCAGCGGGTTCGGGGGCATACTGTCGACTTTTTCCACCGACCAGAATTCTCTCACGCATCGCTACATCTGCTGACGCAGTCCACAATCTCCAGTAACCAAGTTGTAGCTCGTAGTCGTATGTCGTGGCGGCAGGGAAAAACCTTGGGAAGGAATCAGAGGCCGGCGGTGCGGCTTGCCTTCAAAGGGGAAAAACCCATCGCAATCGGCGTCGTTGATCGGGAGGATGTCGCTACCGATGCCACGGGCACCGTCCTCCGATATCTAAGGCGTTCTGGTTCTGAGGTGCCGCCATTAGATCCGACAAAGGTGTTGTCAGAGAAGGCGAACTCTCCAAATTCCTTCTCTGAAAACTGCTGTTAGGGAGCCGATAGCGTCCCCGCAGTTTTTGTGTGGTCGCGTGGCCTGCAGAAAATCCCGCTCCTAGCACCGCACTAACAGTGCGTGCCAAGAAAGAATTTTTACAGGAGAGAGTTGAGAACAGCTGACTGTTGAAGTCTGAATCGAGCATCTAGGGTAAGCTACTGAAAACCATCAAGTAACGTGTGTTAGTGAGCCTCGGCAAGCTGACACAAGACTGCTTAATTGAAAGTACCTCCGGGAATATCGGTAGCCTTCGGGTCGCGGATGGAATACCAGTACCGGGAACCAATTCTAAACCCGGCCCACACTATCGTCACTTGAATACCGGATTCGCAACTCCCCTCCATGATTACCTCTCTCATATTACAAACTTATTTCCGTAAACTCACCAGCGACCGATCGCAAACGAAACCGCCTCGATTCTTGCGACATATATGCGATCAAAATGCGCGGCGCGCTGAGGTGTAGTGCCACTGTTCGCCATCCTCGATTGTTACGGCCATTGGCGGATGGCGGCAGATTTGCGAGGACGCTTCGGACGAGCGCAACACCGCAGGCCTTGAGAACAGGCTTATATTACCGGCAAACACAGCAAGCCCTTACGATCCAAGGCGCCAACCTATCGACGTCATGTTTAAATCGATCGCGATCGATGGCAACAGTAGTCGATGCTGAACCTGTACATGGCGGAGGTCCAATTCCAGAGTATGACAGAAGAGTACAGGCGGGCAGATTGCGAAACGATGAACACCAAAGAGGTGAGGATGTCGGAATCCAGTCAGGAACGTAAGCAAGTACTGACAAGAGAGAAGGGATCATACAGAATTTCCAAAACTTATATCATGAGTTAGAGAAATATGACGCCCCACCTGTCCAGCACCCCAGCATCGAATCCCTCAAGCCCTCGAAGAAGTCAATATTCTCGTCGCTTTTCGGCGCAGGCGGCAGCAGGTCGGCTACTGGGGACATCCCTAACAACCTTCCGAGGGGCTTGTATCTCTATGGTGACGTGGGTTGTGGCAAGACCATGTTGATGGATCTGTTATACGAAACTCTGCCTCCATCTGTCAAGTCAAAAAGTCGAATTCATTTCAACAACTTCATGCAAGATGTACATAAGCGACTTCATAGATTCAAAATGGAGCATGGAAACGACATTGACGGGGTACCATACATCGCGGCCGACATTGCTCAGCAGGCAAATGTGCTCTGTTTCGATGAATTCCAGTGCACAGATGTAGCAGATGCAATGATTTTGAGACGGTGGGTGCACTTTATTACTTCAAACTCGCTCAATGCTGACCGTATACAGACTGCTTGAATCTCTCATGGCAAACGGTGTGGTCCTGGTAACAACTTCCAACAGACACCCCGACGAGCTGTACAAGAACGGTGTCCAGCGAGAGTCATTCATCCCCGCCATCGAACTTCTCAAGAATCGCTTGCATGTCATAAATCTCGACTCGCCAACCGATTACCGAAAGATCCCTCGACCTCCATCTGGTGTATATCACACGTCACTCGACAGCCATGCGCATGCGCACGCAGAGAAATGGTTCCGGTTCCTCGGCGATCCTGAACAGCCTGAACCTCGACCCGAGACGCAAAAGGTCTGGGGTCGTGAGATTTATGTTCCTCGAGTCAGCGGACGAGCGGCATGGTTCACCTTCGATGAATTGATTCGACAACCAAAATCTGCCGCTGATTTCATTGAGCTGGTTCGGGCTTACGAGGCATTCATTGTAACCGATATTCCCGCAATGACTCACCAGCAGCGAGATCTCGCGCGTCGCTTCATCACATTCATCGATGTCGTGTATGAGGGCAACGCCAAGCTTGTCCTTACTACAGAAAAGCCCCTCTCAGAACTCTTTGTCTCCCGAGATGAGATCGCTGAAAGCCTCATGAATCAGGGCGTGAAGCACGAGCACGCGGAGGATGCTGCTGCCAACCATGACCTGGTACACAGCGTTGACAAGCTCAAAGACTCAAATCTCTTTGCTAGTTCTGAGGAAGCATTCGCATTTGCTCGTGCGCTAAGTCGACTGCGGCATATGGAGAGTAAAGAATGGGTAGAAAGGGGAATGGGTCTTGAAGCTCAAGGCGGAAAGTTGGATAAGGATAACTGGATCAAGGCGAGAAGTCGACAGATGGAAGATTCCATGTGAAGAGGAAGAGGAAGAGGAAGAGGAAGAGGAAGAGGAAGAGGAAGAGGAAGAGGAAGAGGAAGAGGAAGAGGAAGAGGAAGAGGAAGAGGAAGAGGAAGAGGAAGAGGAAGAGGAAGAGGAAGAGGAAGAGGAAGAGGAAGAGGCGAAGGTGGATTGTGGGAGATGCATTATATACCCGGAGCATTGACTCAACATAGCGAGCGTTTGCCTGGTCTTGTACTTATAACTGTATGATGACGCCTGTTGAACCGAGCAGTTTGGATTCACACATGAGCATATTTGCCTTCTATATATAGAGATATATGATGATGCCTGAATAGAAAATTCCGCGGAAGGTTATTGGTGTTTTTATCGCTTCCTATGGTGACTCCCCAAAGCGAGATCGCCATGTCGGACGTCGCGGCTTGAGAACTCATCGGCTGAAATGGGTAGAGTTCAAGTACATATTTAGGAAGCTCAACGGCGTACTCATGAGCGAATCGTAACTTGACTAACTTGGAAGTGTTTTGGTAACTCGCCTCATGAATTGGGGATCCAGTTACCCATTACCTTACTCGGTGGTGTGATTCCACCTTAAACAGACGTGTTGAGGAGGCCACTTCGAGCTTCGACTGATGATTGCAGAGGTTCCCCTCCCTTAGGTGTTACGCTCCTATAGGGAATGCAGTTTTAATGGTCTGCAAAGAATCTCAGGCCCTTGTGATGTTAAAAGTGTTCAAGGGACAAACGGAACCCCCATTAACACTGAGACAAATTCAAAGCCATGCAGGAATGTCATGTCTCAGACATTGGTGATCATAACCCCTGAAAATCAATTGTCTCTGACCAGCCACACTTACAATTTTGAGTAACGATAGAAAGGACGAAAACAGGCTATCCTGCGAAATTTCAACCTTCTCAGAGGTAGCCAGCACTGTTATCAGCAGGTGATCGATACACCAAGGATCTCGAAACAGAGCCGAAATGACTCTTATGGCATTTACTTAGCCAGTATCTACTCTCTACGGAGTCCTTGTGAATTTGGTTAGATACCCAGGAACCCAGTGAGGTATCACAGGGAAAGCCTTGTCTCATCGACTGCGGAGCACCGGCGCCTGTAGCTGAAGCTGGGGAAAAGCGTCGAGTAAATTTAAACAACAGGCCATATCCACAACAACAATGGATCTGACATCGATATCATTTGTTTGCCAACCGAGACAGAGGGACCGAGGCTGAACATGAAACAGTGACGTTGTTACGATGTGATTAAAGATTAATTAAAATCCCTGTGTTTGGAGATTGAAAATGCTCATCTAGACCAGATTGTGAACCATTTTGTGTTTTTATGCAATGATGCTGTGCAAGGCATATTTGTCAAACTTCGCTAATCATTTCGAGAATCGATTGCTGCACGAAATGCTTTCTCATCTCAGCATGACAAGGGTGGGTTCCAATGGATGGATGGATGGACACATTGAAAGAGCACAGATCAAGCACAGACTCGTCTCCATCTGTCGTTTCAACCCATATAAAGTCAATGCGTCAGTTAAGCGGTCAAAGTGGCGCAAACAAAGGAGGAGTTTGTTTCTTCTGATCTCGCGGAAATGGGCAGTCGAATCAATGGAATTAGCATAATTGCTAGTGAGAGCCCTAGATTCAATATCCTGCCGAAGAAATTGAGCCACTCATTCAAATAGGACGAAAAAGACCTCACTGATTCCTATTATCGAATCAAAGCTTTTGGTGGGATCATTTGTTAGTTGGCCGAGATGTAAACACAGCACTGTATGTGCAAATATGGATGGATTTTCTCTTCTTGTATCGCTTCAACAGACACAGTAAGCAGCTATGGGCAGGAAGCCGATCACAAAATGAAAACGTTTACCGAAGGCAAATTCGATAGACTAACATTCTTAAGTGAATCGGTCGATATTCGTTGTTGGATCCATGGAAAAGGAGAGGATGAGAGTGTGAGTGGGTGTGGGATAATCTTAATGAAATCGGACTATTCTCTAATTTGGATTGGAAGACACTGGAGCTGGGAGCTGTAGCAGCCACGCTGCACAGGGGTCGATTGGATAAGCCATTACGGATTGGCCGGCGCCTCAACGGTTCCTGGCTAAACAGATTCAGCGGGTCTGCGCCAACCAATCATACGACTTATGTACCTGACGCCTGGCGTCAGTGGCCCAAGCCACCCCTGATGCTTGGCCCCCGCCAACGCGCTATCCCTGGCTATTGTGAACCTCCTCAGTCCTCACAACTCAGCAAGGATCGGCCTTGAAGACTCCCACCTCGGTTCTTCTCTTCTCGGCAAATCATAAGTCACTCGGTTTCCTTGGCCGCATGCTTCTCTGCTGATCATCATTAATGCACGGCGCCTCATGAATAAAATGAGTGGGAATCAGGACCCTGTCTCATCCGTTAGTGGGCCTGATAGCAGTCACTGTCGTGATGGTCATGGTGATACGGGCGACACAACTGAGATGGCTGCACAAGTGGCAGGTTAAATTTGGAATACGATATGCCTAATCTAGTGTCGTGCGATGTACCATGATGTGCATCTTGCAATGTAGCTTTATGCAAGCTCATCTACGTACCTTATTTTTGTATGGCGCATGTCTATTCAACAACTCACAAATGGAGGCAATTGGCATCCTACCGAGGACTGAGGACAATCTGACTTGTACCACCGTGTACTGTAAAGCCGGTCAAAGATGAAACATCAATAAAATTGGCCTATCTGGAGACTGAACATAGCACAGAGAATACCACAAAGTACATGGCCAGAGCCCTGTCACTGCCAGGTTCAGCTCTGCTACCCGCTAGGATTACTTTAGCTTGGGGGCTCGGTTGGCCCTATCAAACATTAGTAGGTCCTGGAATTCAATGGGAAGTCCGGGGACCTTGCTCGGTAACCTTGTATTTGGCAAGTGCCTCCACTGAGCTGCTCCTGGCCCTTCCCCATCTCCTCATCTCACAACCATATCCTCGTCCAGGGCCTCTTCCGCCCACTGTCTTTTCTTCTCTCCACCACCATTCTTTTACACTCTTTCCACCTTGAAATCGTTCACTCGTTTTCAGAGCTGTTTCTTTGCACGGTCACCTTGCTTTGGCTATTGCCCGTGTTGAGTTCAGTTTGTCCATTCGTTTCAACCCCTGGCGCGTTTTTGCAAGACTGCTGCCGTGCGCTGTTTGTTTATCAGAGCGATATTCATATCCATCGCTTTCTTTCAACATTTAACTCTGGTTTGGCAGCTGGTCCAACAACATCCATATTTCACGTTGTAACTAGCAGTTGAACTTGCGAATTCACATCACCCTCGTTACCGACACCCTCCCCCCACCGTTCTCGTCTGAGACATCGCCGCCGCCGCCCGTATAAGGACATCAGTCTCGAGACCCCTAAGGGACACATTCTTTATTCCCGCCCTCTATTGCAACGCCCTTCATTCCAGTCGACCTGACAACCAGCCCCGCCATTTTTGTCTTCCACGACGATATATTTCACCAAAACGACAGACTTCGAATTGTGATCTTCGCGCGATCTCGTCATCTGAATTTGTTGCCGCAATACCTAATCCCCCGAAACTCCAGCAAACATGCATCTCCGGCATCTGCAAGTACACCGGAGGGCCGACGGGCTTTTTGGGTTTGGTAACATTGCTCATGAGATCGACGTCTCATCCGACGGCTCAAAGCGCCATGTACAAAAGAGACAACCACGTAAGTTTTGCATTTCTTCGAGTACACCAAATTGGCCTCCCGAATTGCGATATCAGTTTTGACCAGTGAATTGTGTACCAACTAACACAATCGTAGAAGAAATAAGGACTGTCTTCAAGACAATGGAAGCTACTTTCGAAGGGAAGATTGGTGGCTACAAAACAGTAGGCCATGAGCCTAAACCAACGGGCTCCTCAAATGACGACGACGAGAGAGACTCGAAGAAGGAGGCCGAAGAAAAGAAGAAGGAAGAGGCTGAAGAGAAAAAGAAGGAAGCCGAAGAAGCTAAGGAAAAGGCAAAAGAACAGGCGGAGAAGGAGGAAGAAGCAGCGAAGAAAAAGGCTGCCGAAGACAAGGCGAAACAGGAAAAGGCGGAGGAAGAGAAGGAAAAGGCAGAAGAGGCTGCCAAGAAGAAGGCTGCCGAGGATGCCAAGTCTCGCAGCAAATCCGAGGATGATGATGCGAAGGAGAGCTCAACAGCTAAACCGACCAGAACTCGCGCCCAAATTACCACTAGTAACGACCCATCGAGCGTCCCCTCCGTTATTAGCGATCCCACTGGCAGTCAATCTATCGAATCCGTTCTCGCCAAAGCCACCGGCTCAGCTTCTGCTTCCACAACCATCGATGAAGTTGCCGACATGTCTGGAGCCTCAAGTCTACCTAGCTCCAGCTCCAGTGCTGCGCCAGAAGCTAGTGGTGGTACCAGCGCAGGAACCAAGGCTGGAATCGCGTTTGGTGTTCTTGGCGGATTACTTGCCATGGGCTTGCTTGTCTATTTTATCTTCACTAAACGCCGAAAGCAGGCTGAGATGGAAAGACTCGAGAATGATGATGATGAGAAGCTTCATGGCCCGATGGCTGGTAACGGTGGCCCTCCTATGGTTGCCGCAGCTGCTGTGCGTCGTTCTATGTCTCCCGAGCCCATTGAAACTGCCTCTATCCGCACTGATGCAAAGGCTCCCCGTGTTAGTCTCCGACCCGTCACCCAATTCCTTCCCAACTGGAACGGCCTTGAAAAGGAGAAGCGCGCGAGCAAAGGTGCAGGTTTAACTCTTGCTGTACCCGCTGCTGCTTCTTCGCCTGCTACTGGTCCCTTGTCCCCTCGAGCCGTTGGAGGCAGTGCCTGGGAGCGTCCAACAACAGCTCAAAGCGTCGATCCTGCTAACCCCTTCGGCACACAGGCCGAGCGTGTTCCATCTCCCGTTCAGGAAGAGACTGCTTCTGCGCTGAGGGCCTCTCCCAGCCCCATGTCGGAAAAGTCGACCATGGCTGTTGCTGCCGCCACCGCTCCAGTCTCGCCTCAATCACCTTCTTCTCCCCAGGGACCCCTCACCGCCAATGGACCTGCAGTTGCCGCTATTGTCGCTCGTAAGACTTCGATTCGCAAGGCTGGAGGCCCTCAGCAACTTGACCTGACCCTTCCGAATGCCCCTATGGCAGCTGTTCCCGCTAGTCCCGCTGGTACTGAGTACAGTAGCTCTTCCGCTCCTTCTGGAGGTCCCGACAGTCCTTCTGCAGGCGCTGCGGCCATTGCTGCTGCTGGTGGACCCGCAAACTCGGCCGTTCACCGCGTGCAGCTTGACTTCAAGCCCACTATGGACGATGAATTGGAACTCAGAGCTGGTGACCTTGTGCGACTCCTTCACGAGTACGATGATGGCTGGGTAAGTTTATACAATCCAATTCACGCTTCAGCCCAATCTAACTTTTCTCCAGGCTCTCTGCATCCGACTTGACCGTTCTCGACAGGGTGTTGTTCCTCGAACCTGCTTGTCAACTCGTCCTGTGAAGCCCCGCCCTGCTCAAGGCGGCCCTCGCCCAGGCCCTCCTGTTAAAGCTGGTGGGCCTCCCCGAGGACCTGGACCTAATCAACCTCAAGGACAACGACCTATGACCCCTCAAGGAAACTTTGGTCAAGCTCGACCTGCCTCACCTGCCGGTCCTAATCCTAATGGCAGTCGTCCTCAATCACCAATGGGACCTCCCGGCCGTCCTCAAGGACGTCCGATGAGCCCAGGACCTCGAGCGCAGTCACCCGGTCCCCGTAATGGACCGCCCAGTGGCGGACCCATGAGTCCTGGACCTCGTTCTCAGTCACCTGGGCCTGCTGGTGGCCGTTCACAAAGCCCGAGCGGGATGAACCGAAGACATAACCCCCCTGGACCCAGCCCCATGAATCCTTCTCAAGATCCTCGCTCGGGGCCATCTTCTTCGGGCTCTCTTAGCAGGAAACCCGTACCTGGCCAGGCGTATTGAACGGCTTACAGCCGTTGATGGCCCTGTATGAAACAGTATTAAAAGGAACGGCGTTCTGCGGTACCATGGAGAGACCCTGAGCATTATGGTCTGCTCACACTTCTTTACTCTTCTGGTGGATGATTTAAATTACTTTCGAACTTCTTGTCACTCACTTGACCAATTGTTTTCTCTTTATGTGGCTACTTTCGAGCTACTTTTTCTTGTTTCACGTTCATATAAACTTCATATATCTCAGGCGGACGTTAACCCGTCATTGTGTCATGGCATGTCATTTACGCTCATGTCAGGGTGACCTTGCGAGTGGCTATCTCAGTCATTTAGTTTGAAGGGAGACGTGTATACAGGTTACGACGTCTTGCTGCGAGATCTTCTCCTCTGATGGAAGGAGCTGCGCTAGTCGCTAATGTGTATCTACGTTTGCGTTTGTTCTTTTCGAATATTACTTCTTCCTCTGGCTGGTTCAAGGTCGTTGGATGGAGAGAAGAAAGGGAGCTTGCTTGGTAGCATGTCGCCATCAGCAGCTAGGAATTAAAGACTTGAGACGAAAGATAGGAAATGAAATTATTCCTCGATGACTTACTTCCATTAGTCCTGTGTACCTGTCCATGCTCTATGTGTGCCTATTGTGTGACGTCTTTCGCCTTTGCATTCGCATCTCTTACGGAGCATATAACACGTGCTGAATAGCCATTATTTTAGTAACCTAGGCTTTTCTATCGAATTGTCCGCAAGACAGTAAATCCCGTACCTGAACGAAATTGACAGCCACAAACCAACGATGATGTTTCCCCATTCTTTTCCCTCCTGTAGAGGAATGAAGAAGCAAAGCCAAGTAGTCCGAAATATCCTTTTCAAATCCTGAACGTCCTGACATGTCTAATCCTAACGCCTCGCTTCCGTCTCAGTCCAGTGCCACATGTAGGCCTTCTCCTGTTTACAAGCGCATGGCCATACGAGAGACCAACGCTACAGGAAAGTCACCTCCCTTGCGTAGTAGCTCTTTGACTTCTGGGGTATCCCGGATGTACTCAATGAAGCACACAAAGTACTCCACAATAATCTCTCGTGCAATGTCATCCTCCACAGTATTCTCGAATAGCTCCTGCGCGAGGGCCACAATGTCGGGAACATGGTATTGGTCGAAGTAAAAGTAGTAGAGTATACAATGGAGGCGGCAGATGGAGAGACGGCGGAGATCTTCAACACCATACTTATCCGCCAGGATGTAGAGACGTGCGTGGCTGAGGAAGACAGGCAGATATGAGTATTTGCCTTCTTGTGTGTTCTGCAAACTAGTCACGGCCGGAGCGCCGCCGTGAATCATGGGTGAGTTGTAAGGAGGACGGGCAAAGTTTCTCATTGCTTCAAACCGCTTTCCTATTGGGGTTGTTACGTCAAGCATATAACTTTGATCCGGACACCTGCGTTTGCGTCTTGATAACCCACCGTCTTCAGCCAACTGTAGAACTCCATTTTGTTGGTCGTTGTTGGACTGATAACTCTGTATAAACTCGCCAACGGCCGCTGGCAGCTTCCACTCGCAATATTCATAGGTGTAGGTGTAGGTGAAAGGGGGTCGATTACCGCCATTGCGTGTCGGCATGTGGTCTACAGTGGTGGAAGCCTCAGATGAACTTGCCTCGTCGCCCGCAGGGCTGTGGTGTCCGGTTGGAGTGCCTTCAGAAGAGTCATCATCGTCATCAAGGTCCTCGTCTTCATCAGAATCATTGTCGTCACGTATTTCCTCCGAATCCGAGCTGGTGCTGCGAGAGTCATCTGAGTCCTGCCCAGACGAGGATGCATAGCCATTCCCATCATGAGTATATGATTTGAGTGGCGAGTGGTTGCCTTCAGTGTCCAGTTCTGGTGCCGGGATAAGAACAGGCTGTGCTTCACTGTAGTCACCAGAGTAGGCGAATTTGGCGAAGCGCACAAAAGTGTCGACATCTAGGTCTGCCCATACGACGCGACCTTCTCGAGCTTCTCTCATATTCCCATTTACCAGGGCGTTTAGGACTGGCGATTGTCGGCCGATGAGTTCCTTGTGTACATGGAACTCCTTGGCCTCTGGCCCGACAACGAAGAGAAAGGGCTTGGAAGCGAGAGATCTGGTGTAAGAGTCAGCATGCTTGGAAAGATCAAACAGAATCACCAAAGCGTCATATTTAAAGTCGATAGAAATACATGCTAATACACACTCTTCGAAGTTGGCACTGACTGCTGGAACGGCAGCGCCAGATCGCGAAGCAGACATGGTGTAAGTGAGAGCCTCCTAGCCGCTGGTAAATGATCTGCGTTGTGGCTGGTAGAAGCAGGGGTGGAAAGGTAGAAATTAGGGCAAAATAAAGAGAACACAGGAAGTATTTACGCGGATGTCTCTAAAGTAAGGTTGAATGTGGGAAAAGGGAAGAGAAGATGACAATAACGGATTGAAAGCTGTTGGAAGTACATACCCTGTGCTGTAGCTTCAGCTGCCTGTCACTGCCAAGGGATCCGTTTGATACGGTACGGTAATGGAGTAATAGCGCTTAAAGGAAGTGACCTGAATCACAGAACCAGGGTGCTCACACACTAAATCCGAGGCAATGCGGGGCAGATGGTAATGATTCGCTCCCTTGCCGCGCAGTGTCTCACAGGTGGGCTTTGCTCGCCTATTGTGTTAGTGGTACAATAATGGACAGGATATCTGTAACTTATATGGTGTGTTCCTATCCCTGTGCGTATGCAGCCTTGATTTTGCTTTTAATTAAAGAACATTTGAGCTTGAACTTCATCTCCCGGCTCCCTTGAGCCTTTTTCTCAAAGTACCTGTATGGTGTATAGGAGGAACCCCCCCATCGGGAAGATACAGCGGAATCGCTTGCACCCAATATCGCTGATCTGCCACCAAATCGTTTCTGCTGTTTTATTTGTACTTCAGGCGCCTATTCGTTCATGCGACGAACTTTCCCCCACATCCACCACAAACTTCCCCTGATGCCTGTACATTTGCCCCTGGTCCAAAATGCGTCTCGACAACACGCTTCAACTCTGCGACTTTCAGACATCGCAACTCGCACACTGCACAGATCCGAGAAATATCAGGAGCCATTATCGCCAGTCCCGTAGAAGCACAGCGCGCTATCCAAATGTGTTAACAACAACGGCAATAGAGAGGAGGAATAGTCAACTTACCAAACAAATGTCCGTTTTCACATTTTGCCTCTTCCTCTTCCAGACGTAAAGCCGCATCGCAAAATACGCAGTGTTGGCTAGCTGCAATATCTCTGAACTGCTCTCTCAATAGAGAATTGTTAAGCTCCGGAGATATCTTGCGGGTTGCTGTAGTCCCAAGCACTTCAGGGGCATTCCCGTACATCCACTCCCACACCTGGCCTTCAGTAGTCAAAGGCTTCGTTAGTGTGACTACATCATATTCGCCACGCTCTTCGTCTCTTCTTGAGAACATGAGTTTACAGAGTGCTCGCCTTTCTGGGTGCAAAGTGCTGTATCGTGACACAAGCACTGCTGTTGTGCCGCCGCCGGGTGAATGCACCATGCCCCAGATGCGGTACCTCGATTCGGGAACTTGTAATTGTGCTGCGTCGTCGTCCATTAGGTCGTCTTCCGAGTCATCTGAATCCGAGTCTAATCCTTCCAGCGCAACCGCTCTTGCAACGAGCCGTGTTGTGTGCTTCCGAATTCTTGTTGCCCATTTTGGCACAGAAGCCTCCGAGTCAGGAAGATTTGTTTGAAACCAGTCTTGGTTGCGTGATGTTGCAGATAATCTGGCGATTGAGTAGTACGGAACTGATCCTGTGTGTGTTATGCCTTGGTCGTGAATTAGAAGTCCTAAGTTGCTGTTAGATGTGTTGTGTGCAAAGCCTGTGAGAGTTATGTACCAGAAATAGGATTCGATGAGACTATTTCATCTTCCTTGGAATACGTTGTCGAGCACTCCCAAGTATAGTGAGCGCCAGCCAACTCCTCAGCGTCGCCAACAAACGAAACCTGAAACGGCTTCACATTGAACGGATCAGCGACCACGCCCCTGACTATGGGCTTATCATCGTCATATACGATCTCGAGCCACGTTAGCTACGGTTATGCCACGCGTCATAAACCACGTACCAGGTCTTCCCACTCGATATACGCATCCGTTGATAGAAACATGCAAATGGCTGTCATATCCGCCTTCTCGACTTCGATGTGTGGAGGCTGGCCTCTCTCCCAATTGCCCAGGATAGTGATCTTTCGGAACCCAACATGATTCTTTGCCAAATATGCCAGTATAGCGACATTTTTGCCTTGGCTATTGAACCAGGGACTCCATTTCAAAGAAAAGGCACTCCCATGAGGCACGTAATCGGGATCTGTGATATCCACAGCCTATTTCATGTTAGAGCCTTCTCCGATCAAGTTCAGCATGACTCACATCTTCCTTAATATGTCTCCCTCTACCATCAAACCGGCCAACTTCTTGGATGTCCCATCGCGTCTCTTCACACGAGGGATCCCCTTCCTTTGCCTGCGAGAAGAGCTGCACCGCCATTACAGCTACTTCTTCGACATCATTGCAGTACGCGAGAAGACCTCTCCCTGTATCCACTTCTTTGGCCCATGAGAAGGCCTGGATGCGTTCATTCATATTTCGGTATCCATCTTCCTCGTTGCTGTCGGGCAGTGGAAGTTGGGCTCCGAGGCCCCAGAGTGTCTTCCATGCCTTGAAGCTTCGAACCCGCATGCCTGCTATCATTGCAGACTGCCGATCGATATGCTCACCAATCGCGTATATACACCCACTGGTCGACAGCGCTGTTAAGATAGGTCGAAGATTGCAACCCAATCCATTTGGTGACCATTCTAACCTCACAATCTGGCAGATTGGCGCCCCCGAACCTGTGACTAACCCATTCCCCACGCCAGGAAACCAATTCTCGTCGTTAGCTGGCGGTCCAGCCACTCTGATACCGGAAAACGAACAAAGCTGTGCATTGATTGTGGGATCTGGACGGATCAAGCCTGAGGCCCGATAGGAGAGCGTGTACTGGCTCTGTAATTCTTCTTCATCCGCTCCTTCGTCAGGACCACCACTCCTCGGATACTCTGGAAGAAATATGTAAATAGTATCGTCTGTAGCAACTGCAAGCTCGGCGTCACAAGACCATGCTAGGGCATGAGTTGTCAGTGGACGCGACTTGAGATGAATTGTTTTGAGGGGCCTTGTCTTTTTTCCAGAACAGTCAGCAAGTCTTCTCTTATAACTTTCTATTCAACAAGGGAGATACAAAAAAGACTGTGCAGCTGTGGCAGAGTTTCTCGCCCAAAAGCAGTCAAGCGAATCTTTTGTTATTGAAGCCTCACCTTGGACTTTTCCATCCTGGCAGCTGGGACGGATCGTGTCAAAGGACGTCCGCAGGCGACATGAGAATTATAACACTTATGAGATAATCAAGTGAAAAGGCAGATCGAGAATTTAATTCGACAGTGGCATGGCAGAACCGAGACTTTGATGAGATATTCGTATGAAATGGTTGACACCAAAAAAGTTGCTGACTAAGAAGCAGTACACACCTCACACGCCATGAAGAACAACCAAATACGATCGTTTTGTGCTGCTAGGTGTTGAACAACATGTACTCGAATTAGACTGCGAGTACCTGGTAGGAAGTATTATAGTGTACCAATAATACCAGGACACGGACATTTATTTGAAATGCTGTCAAAAACTCATGAAGCCAAGATACTTTGTGCAGGACCGTTTGTCTCTGGCCATATCTGCAGATTGCTCATGACTTATTACTAGCACGGTAACAAAAAATACATCAATCCCGTCAAGTACGCCGTTCTCCATATTCTTGGTATGCCATAAATGTATAATAACAACAATACTCGTGATTATTGACCTCAACCCTCCAAGAAGGACCCTAAAGTCCAGAGAAGGCCACAACCTGCAAGCGCTGTCGCACCAACGACTTTCTTGGTCCACCAGTTGTCATCCGTCAATGCCTTGGCTTTTTGGATCTTCCTGGCTGTCTCAGTTGGAGCACTGGCAGGTGCCTTTGCAGATACCTTCTCCCCAACAGACTCCTTGGCTGCCTCTGCTTCCCTCTGCTGCAGAAGGGCAATTTTCTTGCTGAGCGCCAGGAGATCCTCCTCGAGAGTCAGGTTGCCGCTGCGGTCAACCTCGACGTTCTGGATATTGCCGAAAAAGTCTGTGATCAGACGGCTACGGGCATTTTCTTCACCGCCGGGGAAGAGATCGTAGCGCACTCCGGCATGTGAGTGAATCTTGCCGAAGTCGTAGCTGTCGAACAGTTCGCCCACTGTCTTCTGGCTGTTCAGGTCCTTGACGTTGTTCTCGAGGAATTCAAGATTGTAGTACGTGTATCGATCGATGACGGCGACGCCTACATCGTTGTCGGCGTGATGTGAGTATGAGGACTGATCGAGCTTGGAGGAACCGGTGGCGATGATGTTAGGGGAGTAAAGTCTGCTGTACATAGTGTTCGCTTGGCAGGTATCGATCATGAAGAGGATTTCGTGATATCTGAACAGCATTAGTGGGTTACAAGAAAGCAATGGAGCTACCACCTACCTCTTCTTCTCCCACATCTCCTCAAAAGCGTTGGCAAGATCAAACGCGCCAATCTCCTCAGCATCCTGGAACTTGAGGAACTCGTTTCCACCATGACCAGTCATGTAAACCAGGATATTGCTTCGATCATCGGTAAGAAGGCGCTTGCTTCGCGGCATCTCCGCGCCCACGCGATCCGTCAACAGGCGAATAAAGTTCTCGACAGTAACCTCGTAGCCACGGTAGTCCACCTCGATGTTGTCGCCGTAGAGATCAACAGCGCGATCAGAATTGCTGTAGACGGTTCCAGGGAACGCGTTCCGGGGATTGCAGGCCATGTCGTCGGGAAGCATGAGGATGATCTGGGAGTCAGGGATACCCAGACGCTTAACGGTACGGTACATGGAGAGGACATTGGCGAGATGGCGGTAGTTGAACCAGAATCGTGATGTGCAGACGAGAACGGCCCAGTTGCTGGTATGCTCGGCGAAAGCGATTGTTGCGAACATGGTCGCTGCCACGATGGCATGAAATCGAAGTATTGAGAGCTTCATGGCGGGGGATGTGATGCGATGAAGCGAACTGGTTGACAAGGGAGCGTGGTAGAGTAAGGAGCGAAGTTTAGAAGACAGATGCAGCAAATGGCATATCCGCTGGCTGTATGTCAATGAAACTGAGGTTGCTAAGAAATGCTCCCTCAGACTTACAAATCTATACAGCGACGATAATCATGAATTCCATCCACTGGATATCCCTTTTCGGATCAACGTCACCAAGGAGGGAACACCTAACATTAACGTTGATTGATTACTGTTCAACACATAATCGGAGTCTTACCAGATCTGGACCCGGAGTTTTCGGCGTGTGGGATCCGATAAGACGGCCCCTGGCGCTTGTACTGATTCGAAGCACTAACAAATTCCCACAGCATGTCACCAATCTGAAAAGGTAAGGTAACTTCACCTCTCAGTTGTTACTATGTACATCTCGACAAAAAAGAAAAATCTTGGGGTGAGCTGGCAAAGATGCGGATAATCTCCCCTTGTTCTTAACCAGGATTGAGAAACAGTTGGGGTAGGATCTGTTGGCGTCGTGTTTGTTTGATGAGGGTATCTGATATGGTTCGACTACGAGCGAGATATGCTCTGATGTTGGAAATGACTGTGTCATGGGTGTTGTTTTAGGGAATATCGAGTCTGAGAATGGGATCAGGTACATGTGGCTTGGCATGATTTGAGATCAACATGGCTAGGGAGTGTACAGGAAAAACACAACGAGGGTGTAATATCCATGGGATTTCATTGATGATTGTACGTCAGCCTCGAAATTATTAGTTTCGGGAATGACATCTGACAAGATTAACTGTCAATTTGGCTGAAGGACCGTGTTCTACGGACTGGCATCTAAACCTGTGGGCTTATGGTTCTGAGCTAGAGCATAAGAGTACTGTAGTTGAGCGAAGGCTGACAGGGCGTATGGATTGAGTCGTTCACGATGCTGACTCTGTTGTATTATGGGGGAAAAGATACCACGAGAACATTCTATCCCGCTTAGCCAGTCTAAAGATACATACATATTCAGCCTGGCCAGCACCTATGCGAAAACTTTTTTCAAGATTCAGGCAATCTTTATCTTAGCCTGAATCAAACGCTTCAGTCTGATGCGGATATACCAGCCAGGACCCATAAACCCCTCTTCTTGCGCTTTCATGGTCATGATGGGAATCGAATTTTCAACACGATAACGAGAAAACACAATCTGTAATTAGTAAGTCACTTACAGTAGCGTCTCGTAGCTGCATGGAAGAGCGAACATAAAAAATGGAGGACCCTGCACCGACTCCACCATGACGATGTGATAGACCATGGATGGAACTGAGACTGGGGTCGCAACGACTAGGACATTCAAGTTGTTCGCTGGGCAAACTGCGACTAGAGGAACAGAAAAGGTCACCTTGGCAGAGATGCCGAACAAAGCCGTTGGCGCATACCGAGAAAGGTGAACGACCTTGTGCATAACGACTCCATAAAATTAAGCCGTGTATCGTCAGGTGGGCTGAAAAGAAAAAAACAGAAGGCTTCTAGTGAGCCGCCAGTGACGAATGAGGGCCGGCACCGGAGTTGGAAAGGTACGATCACATGAATATTTCAGGCGTGAGATCCAAGTCGTCGAGTCGTGTTTTGAATGGCGTAGGTGATCCACTTGGCATATGTCTTCCCTATAACCGCTACCTTAGACCAGGTTATGCCATGCATGGACAGGGCATGGATCTTGAGCTGTACTGTATGGACGGTACTGTACTTCCAGTGCAGACCAAGGTTGGACTGGCTTAATTAAGGTAAACTCGGTGGTTGTGAGTCTTGGCCGAGGTTGAGCAATAATATCGTGCATAGAGCCACGGGGTCACTTCAGAAGCTCTGAGGTCGAGAACCAAAGACATCCAATGACGAGTGGTTCCGTGACTACATGCCGGAAATATCAGCTTGAAATGATGGAGCGCGTGGTAAAAAGCCTCAAACATCACCTGTTACCGAGAGAAGCTGGGGGAAGGAAACCTGGGGTCGAGGAGAAATCACGATAGAATGATGTATCATGACAGTCCAAAACGAACAGTCTAACCCCCAACATCTCCTCGGAAGAACCCCCAAACTTGGGTATGTGCGGCAATGAGCATCGTTTTCAATAATTATTATGACAATGCTGATCAATGCCAATTGTCGTCTGGTTTCAGTCCTCTTTGACAGAACTCTCCGATCATGACTGGGCACTTGACACTTAACTAGACCTGTTTACTTTCCTGGTTGTAAGGCTGGCTGATAATGAAACTCCAAAGCTTCCATGATTTTTATACACACCTACTACCTACCTAGGTATCCGACATTGCCCCGCTAACCTTGTCGTAACACAATACGAAGGCCAAATGCAATGCATTGGATGCGCACTTTCTTTGGGTCTGGGTCTCTGGCTGGGTAGGTTGACAAGGTGAGGAGTAAGATCAAAGTGCAAAGTGTGTGTGTGCGTGTGTGTCGTGTTTCGACTATGGAGTGTTGGAGGTCTCAAACTTGTTGCTAAAAGTAGTCCTCATTACCTGTCCTTGTGCTCTTCTACTCCTCTTCTTACTCCTCCTATAACTTTCCCTCCTTTCAACTAATTATTTCCAAAGTCCAAGCTACAACGCGAAACCTAAACAACCAAACAAAATCGAAATACCACATACTCCTTTTCTCTTCCGCCTCATCTTATCTCCTACTATCCCGGGTGACAAGGTGTATGTTACGCCCGTCACCTCAAGGACCCTGCCTTTGTCTCTGGCTTCACCTCAGGTCAACCTCTGCCGTGCGACGGTGACTCGCTGAGGTGAGCCCGGGTACCTCAAGCCCGGCTCCAAGGGACCAACCACCCCCCTGGTCACCTGCTAAACAGCCACACCAGAAACGATCCCAGTTGAGCTCCCTGCTTTGCTTTGTGTACCGGTATACCTTCTGGACCGTGGCGTGCACATGAGTCTTTGGCTGAGTTATCCTCTTCCGTCTCATCTGATTTGAGTAATTCGACCCCCAGAGGCAAAACGCCAAAAACGCCGGGGAGCCTAAATCGGTCACTTTTGTAGTGGAGGCTTCAAGGTGCCTGGGTACAGTACTTACACTGCCCTGCCTAGTCCCGTCGGCTTTATAGTGGGCGCCTGCACAAGCTCCATCTAAAATAACCAAACTAACTGCGCGACGTGCGCCAGGGTATTTGACTACCCCCTTGGCCTCCATCTCTTATTCGGTTCAATCCAACCTCACTCTTCTTTCCACCAAAACAACTGACAAATCTTTCTCTTCAACTTGTCGAGGTCTTTGCTGTCTCAGCACTGCTACGGCTTGTTCCATTTTGTCTCTGTTGAAGACTTCACCATGGGCCGCACGCCGGCCTACATCTTTGTCGTCAGGTACGTTTTCAGCTACCTTTCCAGACCCCTGTCGTCATGATGCATCGTCGCGATCAGATCGCGTAGCCCGAGCGCTGCGTATGCGTACAGCATGACAGTATAGGCATGATGTTGATTAAAGAACTCAACTGACCTCTATTCTAGGCACGGCAACCGCCTTGACGCCGCCGACAAGAAATGGCATCTTTCATCTCCTACACCCTATGATCCTCCTCTGACCTACGGCGGCTGGCTCCAAGCCAGAGCTGTCGGCAACCAAATCTCCAGTATTCTCGAACAAGCGAAAGACGAGTACGAGACGACTTCCAAAGGCACAAAAAAGCGACGTAGATTCAAGGTCGTCATTCATAGCTCGCCATTCTTACGATGCGCCCAAACATCGATCGGAATCAGCTCCGGTCTTGCACAGACTCCCCATGAATCGCCTTACCGTCCGAACGACATCTTCGTTTCAGCAACGGGACCACCAAAACACTTTCGATCTACAATATTACGTCTGGATTCCTTTCTCGGAGAATGGCTGTCCCCCGAGTACTTCGAACAGATTACCCCACCACCTGGTGCGGCCCTCATGCTTGGAAGTGCAAAGGCCGAACTGCTACGACGCGAAGACTACAGTGCACTGACATCTGCACCCGCTCCCACTCCGATGCCTCATAGAGGCTCTACTGCTTCTCTCTGGAACGGGTCTCCTGCCGCCAGTCCGTCTCTTGGACCCTTGAGATCAGGGTCTGCAGTGGAAGGTTCAACAGGGTCGGCTATGGCTGCAGCTCTAACTGGGCAGCTCGCAACTCAGATGGAAAAGAAAGGGTACACAGTCCCAAAGCCGAACTATGCCATCTCGAGTTCCGGAAAGATCCCCGACGGATTCGTGGCCCATGCGCGTGACGAGTGCGTTGTGGTGGATTACCAATGGGATTCCATGAGAGCTCCACTGGATTTTGGGGATGGCGGCCAACTTGGAGAAGAGTGGACAGACATGCACAAGAGATTTCGACGCGGCCTGAAGAAGATGGTGGACTGGTACGCTACGACTGATGCGCCTGATGAGATGGTAACGCAGGCTGCCGGAGCTTCACAGAATGACACACATGACCCCTCGATTTCTGAAGATGAGGATGTAGAGACTGTTGTTATTCTTGTGTCTCATGGAGCTGGATGTAATGCTCTCATTGGCGCCATCACTCATCAGCCTGTTCTTATGGATGTTGGAATTGCATCCATCACTATGGCAGTTCGAAAACAAGATGCCGACTACGACACTCTCCTGGCTGCGTCAGCAAGTGAAACGCCAGACTCTGAACCCCATGTCTCTCCCCATCAGATGTACGATATTCGCATGTCTGCAAGCACAGAACACTTGCGCTCAACAACCTCGACTCCAGTCTCATCCCGATCAACTTCAGCTGATGGTTTCCCTGCTGCTATCCGTGGCCGCAACCCCAGTATCAGCAGTACTGAGGGACCCGGCCCACTCATTGGTTCTTTCGTCTATTCTGACCCTATCATTCCCATGGGCAGTCGTAGTGCTTCGGCCAGTGCGACTGTGGGATCGTCTATACGTCGAACTTCGGGGTCACAGCGGCCACTGAACCGAGGACCAGCTCTTACCACGGCAACAGGCGAATCAGGCTCAAGGAGCAACTCTCCGAGCGCTAACACATCCTCGTTCGGCCTGTGGACACCTGGGCCTTCGTCTCTTAGACTGATGGATGACGGTAGTGATGACGCCTCCGACAAGGAGGACTTCGATTCTGTGCTGCCTAACTTCAGCCGTTTTAAAGGTATTCCGGAGGACAACAAGGGAGAAGCCCAAGCTTCTGCTGCCATGTCTACCTCGAACTCATCTACACAATCATCTTTTTCCTCACGCTTTGAACTTAAATCTACGAACTCATTATCTATGAGCTTGCCGCCAGCGGCCATCACCTCACTCAGCTCGTTCTCGTTCCCACCAAGTGGGGAGACTACTCCAAAGGCCACGCCCCGAGGTCCTATTCTCTCAGCCCCTATCAGAATCAAGACAGATATCTTGCACGATTTCGACAAGCCCGCTGAAGAACTTCACATTGGACAACTTGGAGATGGTCTGGGCGGACTTTGGGGTCTTCCTCGACCTCCTGGCGAGGCCGAACGTTTCCGCGATATGAGTCTTTCAAAACGACGTTGGACGACTACCGAGCGTGCTTAACGCTCGACTCTCTTTGATACCCTACTATACTTGCCCTTTGACAGGATGATGACTCAAATATCCTCTTCTCTCGAGGACTGGGGCAGAACGTTATTTATGTCTTCGCCTTATACTATTTCAGCGCGCGTTGCTTCCTGCTAGTCGTTTACTCTTACTTACTCAACGACAGGCAGGTCTGTCTTTTTACTCATGGCATCGGCGAACTGGCGGGATACCATCCACTCATGAAATGGAGCACAGCAATGATATGCCGGACCTATTGGCATTGGGATTGATACCTAGGGAAGGGATGAATTTACAAGGACAACAACATGTTTCATTGAGTTGCTAAGAGTATAATGCTTCTCACTTTGGGATTCGGCGCACGGTTATTACGGTGAAAACGGCGGCAATGTATTCTGGTACGTGGGATAGCATATAGCGATACCAGGATTGTAGGCGCAATCGCCGTCGAGAGCCCAAGATTGCTCAAATGTATTTTGTTTAGAAAGTGAATACCAACTCTCATCTTCACTACCTTATTCGGTCATTGTTCGTGGCGAGCTAAGTAAAACACCTGGCAGATGCGTGTAATTATGTTTTGATTCATCTATCCATCACAACAGAAAGTCAATAGCACGATCTAACTGCTCATGATCTATGTGCGTAAAACAAATGATATGCTCAGCGCTCGAATTCTGCTTGAAATGCGCATCCACCGCCGATGGGAAAATACAATTCATGTCATGCCCAGCAACCAACGCCATCCATCTGCTGTGACCTTGTCCAATGGTCAACAACCCGTATCAAAACCCTGAAAAATCCGAAAGCAAGCTTTTCTTGTCTATGCCTATATCGCTTTACCTCTTCGACTTCTTTGGCATAGCATCTAGCCGAAGACCTTGTTCATGGCCTGGTGAGCCAGCTCGACACCGAGGAAAGTAGCAGCGTTGGCGGGCACAGCACGAGCAAGGGCAGGACCAAATCCAGGGAAGAATGCCTTGACACCACCCTTTCCGTAGAGTTCACGAACGATGCTACCAACGGAGACGTTGCCCTCCGAGGTCTGCAGACGAGACTTGACCGTATCGATGGGGAAGACAGGTATCCACATGGCAACTCCAGCGGCAGCTCCAGCGCATGTGATAGCACTGAGACTGAGCTGGCCGCTGGGCTTTCCGGTGAGGGGATCAATCGGTGTCATCTTTCGCTTGATGTACTCGTAGGCGGCAAAGTAGGCAGCAGAACCGGGGCCGTCACGGGCGAGAGTAGCAGCGCTGCCGCGGAAGACGCTGCGGATACCGCCCTCCTTGTAGAGCTGGCGGACGACGTCAACGCCTCCGCTATACTTGGGCTTCTCGCCGGGAGCAAGCTGCTTCTGACCCTGGACTTGGAGGATGACCTTGATGCGCTCGAAGGGTGCTGTGATAGCGGTCATGGGAATGGCGGAGATGAAGCCGGCGGTTGAGATCTGGGCGATTGTGAGACCCTCGGCGGGGACTTCACTGACACCTCGGACGATTTGCTTGCCGAGGTCGTAACCCCAAAAGGACACAGCAACTAGCTAGGTCAGTTGACGGCATAGGAAGTTGAAGAGGGATTATAACATACACATAGGTGTGACACCGACAAGAGGCGCGCTTACGCCGGCGTAAAGACCTCTTCGCAGACCATCACGAGCAATACTCTTGCGAACAACATCGATGGCAGAGGAGTAAACACCTCGCTCAGCGGTTTGAAGGCGGACCTTGACAAGATCGAAAGGATGTCCCACTACGACAGCGCAGAGACCACCGAAACCACCAGCCGCAAAGGCGCGAAGCTGCTGAGCGAGGCCAGAGGATGCGCCGGCCTTGGAGTCATCCTGTGGTTCAGGAGCGGGCGCGATGGTCTTCAGCTTGTCTACGACACGGGCCTCGATGGCGGAGTCTGGGGTATCGGCGGAGGACATTGTGAAGCGTTTGGAGGGGGAGGATGACCGGGAAGGAGGAGGCGCTGAGAGGTGAGGTAAAGGAAGGGTTTATGTTGGGTTTTGACAGAATGAACCTCGGAATGTGGAATGTGGAGGACGGGAGTGGGATAAGAAGAGTGTGGGGTGGTCTCGGCCGAGGGGAGGGTGTAGCTTGTAACCAAGAGCTTATGATGCAAGTCAAGCAAAGGTCAAGCTGATACAACAGAGAGCTATGGGGATACAAAACAAGAAAGAAATGGTGTAAACAAAGGGAGAGGGAAATGGTGGGAGTATATCAACCAAGATCTGATCGGGCACGTCACAGGCGTATCTTCTAAGCTTCTATTCGATCGGTACGAGCTTGACCTGAGGTTCTGCCATGGAGCTCCACGCCCAAGTGCATCCCTTGCTTAATTATCCAGTCTACAGCTAAATAATAATTACCAATTGTTTCACTGGGTAGTACTACAGCTAGCAAAACTAATTCTCCAACTCCCCTCGGTCTTCCGGGGCAATGATCTCTCACTCACCCCCGATCCCCGAGCCCCGGTCCCGGCTCTGTTCGTTTTTTGTTGCCTCGGCTTCGGCTCGCGGGGTGCATCATGAGTCTCTGTCTTCCCCACATGGAAAAGGACCGAGTTTCGTGGGGTACTAGAGGCCGGCACATCATTGCTCTGGAAGCTGATGTCAGTTACAATGCAGTGAGCGGGCTGCAGAGCATGCGGTTACACTGCTACAACAGCCCGGGCAGACGGAATTGAGTCGGGATTAGGGGCTCTACATCTAGGGCTCAAATGAGGTCAAGTGAGGTCACACACCAGATCTTCAGGTCAAATTAGGCTCTTTCAGTTGGAGAAGAGCCCCACAGTCCCCATCTCCCGCATCTGACTATCACATGCAAACTGCAATTCTGTCTCAGATATACCTTCACTGGCACAGCCTGCATAGCCTGATCACAAGCTACAGATATAACAAGCAAGATTTTTGTAAATAGTGATTGAAGCCTGTTCTATTGCTGGATATACACCTGTCTCACCCCTCTACTCTAAAGTTCCTGTCTCCATGACGAGAATCCAAGTAAAACCTATTATAATGATACATGTAATCCTCCACGTGCCCCATGAATAACCTTGTTAGCCAACTCCAAGAATACATAGCCAGAGAACACCAAGACAACCCAACTAGCAACAGTGTTGACCTATTTACCAGTCTCTGCTCTCTAGCAGCTACCGTTATTCCAACGTAATATCCTTCAGCAAATAAATCGACAAACATCTGTCCTTCTTTGATACAAGCAAGTCGTACACTTCGTCTCGCGACAATGCTTCTCCCCTTCGTTGTACCTTCCCACCTCTTTCACAATGTTTATCCCAACTTGAAACTCCACTTCTAGAATGCCTTCGCTGATGCCAATGTGGGTGTTGCTGGTGGTGCTGGAATTCCTCGCCTACTGCACCAACAGCTGTTGTCTCCTTCTCGTTCAACTTGCACCACAACGTCTGCCCCTTCTCTCGAGAGATATTCGCGAACTCGATCCCGGACGTCTTCCAACGGAGCTCCTCTTGCTGCCACTACGTGAACAACGCCCAATAACTTCCCACCACTAGGGCTAGCGCTGTGATCATCCCTCCAAAACTTTGGCGACGAATAGCCTACTACTCCTCTTTGGTTCAGAATACCGCCTAAGCTGTTTCGAAGATTGTACTCTGTATCCTCCGGAATGCTGAGTAGCAGCCGTTTTGCTGACGAGTATACTAGCGGCTTGGATGAGAGAAAGATCAGAACAGCAATAAAGCATGACGCCAACGGATCCCATCCGGCCCACCCCCAAAAGCTCGTCAATATTGTCGATACAATGACCGACACACTACCCAAGGTATCGGCAAGGATATGCAAGTAAATGCCGTGCATATTCTCGTTGTCGTGGCCGTGGCCGTGGTCATGGCCATGGTTATGACCATGATCATGGCTGTGAGAATGCCCATGATCATGTCCATGATCGTGTCCGTGGTGATGGTGGTGACCGAATGCCATCATTCCAACCAGGTTAACAAGAAGACCCAAAGTGCTCACAATAAAGAGCTCGCCCAATCGCTTTGTTTGAGTTCCCTCCCACAACCGTTCAAAAGCCTCAAAGGCAATTTCGACACTGAGTAGCCTACACCCAATAAGTTAATAGCGGACCTGCAGATGTACCGAAAGTTACTTACATCAACAAGATACCGTTGGCGAATCCACTCAATGTCTCAATCTTGCCGAAGCCATAAGGAAATCTCTGGCTTCGCGGCCATTTGCTCAATACAGCAGCCAACAAGCCCACCATGAGCGCCACGCAATCAAAGAACATATGGATACTGTCGCTCAGTAAACCAAGCGAATCTGTGACGTAGCCGTAAAACGCCTGTACAGCCATGAACGAAAAGTTGAGTCTAGACGGAGATCTGAATTAACCAAACATTCCAGGTAAATTATGTGGTTTCGCTTACGCCATAAAGTAAAAAATGCGCCTGGAATCCTTCTCAATTAAGATCGCATTCAAAATGGGAAATCTTGTTGTATACGGCAGAATCATCCGGGTGAATAATGATCTTTTGCCCTTGTCATCATCATGCGGATGGCCATGATCATGTCCATAATGATTGCTATGGTCATGACTATGTGAGTGGTCGTGGGAATGCGAATGGTCGTGGGAATGATCGTGATGGTGGTGGTCATGATGGTCGTGAGGAAATTCCGGAGGGGAATAAGTCATGTTGGCCGATTCGGGACCTGGTGTAAGTATGCTCTTGCCTCCCGGTGTCCTCTCTTCTGTCCAACCCTCCAAGGTGTTTAATGGTGCTGGAGGGAGTTTCTCGCGGGCAATGGTTGCGCTTGTGTTGGACATGCGGGAGCGTCTGTGTCCATGCTTGTGGATGCTCGGATTGTGTGAGTGTGCAGAATGGTTTCCGTTTCCATCCGCATGATCATGGCTAACATCGTGGTTATGGTCTTCGTCGGGTACGGATGGAAGGCTCCCGTTGGAGAAAGTCGATTGTCGTCTAAGGTTGTTCAACGACGATTGAGAATGACTTCGTGTGTGTGAATGCATATGGTTCTGATGCGCATGCGGCAGAGAGGAGGTCGGAAGGGCGTATGAGGACGCCATGTTAATTTATAGAACTCGGGATGGGTGCTTAAGTCAAGAGTTCGGTCCTGAACTAAGTCGCGGAGACGCTCAATGAGGGCGGTGATCGGATATCGGCGCAAGTATTGGCGATTTCAAAGAGAGTCCTTACACCTCCCCTAGGGCCAATCGCAACGTCATCAGTCGAGTGTAAAATTGAATTTGTGAAACGGGCGCGTCGCAAGCAGCTGTACGGTATCGGATACAGAAAGACAAGAGAAACAGAGGTCGTGGGACGCCTAGAATCCTTTTCAGTGTAGACGCGGGAGGCGTGAAGAGCCGTGGTGGTTGTGGCGGACTAGAGATAGGAGACTCCAGCACGTGGAGCTAAAAGTGACAACCCGAATGAGCAGCGATCGACGGGGAGCCAAGAGAATCAAGACCCAAGATGGAAACAGCTGAGAGAGGGAAAGTTAATGACTCGATCAGTGGCTTAGAGTTGAGCTATTTGATCCTGCTGAAGATGTGGTCTTAAGTCGGTGAAGGAGTTGCTAAGGTTGTTCTGTTCGCCAAGTCTTGATACCATTTTGAAGTCACTTGATTGTTGATCTGGGTTTGCTCCTTCCTGATCCTCTGATACATCATGGATTGGCCCTCATGGCCCTGTCGTTTGGCCGGGGATTGCTAGGGGAGGGTCAGTTTTGACTGGCTGAGCGCTGGAAAGTTTGGCGTTCCCCCCTGCATGCGGTTACTTTTCCGCTAAGAGTTAGTGCATCTGATGCTCTAGCTCGCTTTTTAGGCCTAATGCTATCACACCCCGCAGCAGAGTTGCATCTCAACCCCTGAGCTTCATCTTGAGATGAGGTTTGATAATCTCCCGTTGCCCGTCTGTATGCTTTGCAGTGTATGTACACCCAGCCAGAAAGTATGAGCGCAAGTAGGCTGGACAACTCTAGTTAACAAAGCCTACTCTGTACAGCTAGGTGATTTGTGGTATTTCTATCAACTACCTAGCACTAAGGTACATAGTAGGCAAAATTGATCAGGTCCTAAAGATATTGGATGTTTGCTTGCATCACCTAGATTGCTTTGCTTGGCAGAGATATGACAATCATCACAGTAATTGAGGCGGATTTGTTGCTTGTTATACTGCATATTCCCTCCACTGCAGCATAAGAAGTTTACATTTGTTGTTTTGGATTGAAGTTAGATGAGAGCGGTTGGTGATGCGTCTTGAAAGTTTGAGAGTGGAATGATTCATAAAGCCTTTTCGTTATTCCACAGCAGGACACCTTTTTGCCCCATCAACTCTCCCTTACCTTATGCGTCAACATAATATTTATTGATCTCTATGTTTGATCGTCTTCTAGGATCAGCTTCAATCGAGATCGCTTTGTTTTGCTACCTCGCCTTGTCTTTCTTACCGTCGGTACCTGTGCGTCCTGGCCTGTGGAACCTCGAATCTATTTGACCAGTGAGTGCAAGGTGGCCTTGGCCTTGGCCAACACAACTCCAACAACGCCCATAACTGGTTGCGCGGGCACCACCAAAAGGATTCATATTAGTCTCGACGCCATGTTATGATTGCCGATTCATTCCTTTATTATTATGTCAGCCGCTTTTATTGTTTCCGTTATTGCTGGCGCCCTCAGCTGTGTCTTCCTGGTATGGCTGATACGTGGTCTTGCGATCCTTATTCCGACTCGCTATCAGCCATCTCAGAAAGCTGAAGATGATCATATTCAGATTCTTGTCGTCGGCGACGTCGGGCGCAGTCCTCGCATGCAATATCATGCTTTGAGTGTTGCCAAACATGGTCGCAATGTCGATATCGTGGGCTACAAAGGTATTATTCCATCACCTGAACCTCGTGAGTTCTGTGCACAGGCTAACACTGGGTAGAAACCTCAAGACATCCCGATCTCATCGGGAATCCTCGCGTCACTATGTATGCACTCCCACCACAACCTGAGGTCCTCCAATGGGGAACATTGCCCTTCTTTCTCAACATTCCTCTCAAGGTTTTATGGCAGTTCTGGGGCTTGTTCAGTACCTTGATGTACGATGCTCCTGCTGCAAAATGGATCATCATTCAAGTAAGTTAATATGATACTCGCGGCTCTTCTTAGCTTCACGATAGCTAACAGCTCCCCCCCAAGAACCCTCCCTCAATTCCAACTTTTCATGTTGCACTCTTGGTTTCCTTCCTACGAGGCAGTAAGCTTGTAGTGGACTGGCATAATTATGGCTACACCATTCTGGCGCAAGGGAAGTGGTATGTTAAGCCATTGGTTCCTGTGTACCGTTGGTATGAAACCGGTTTCGGACGCTATCTAGGAGATATCAACCTTTCTGTCACCGATGCTATGGCCCGCCAGCTCAAGGAGAAGCCTTTCAGCCTGAAGCGTTCTGTCCTCACACTTCATGACCGACCTGCTCAGGTGTTCCAACCTATTCTCTCTACTGCAAAACGTCTGGCCTTTTTGTCTCGACTTGCAGAGACTAAAGACATTGCCAAGGATATTGTCGATGGAGCAGTACGGCTCATCGTGAGTAGCACTTCCTGGACGCCAGACGAGGACTTTGGTCTGCTCCTGGATGCTCTCGTCTCCTATGCCAGTTCTGCCGAGGCCTCGCCCATCCTAGCTATAATTACTGGTAAGGGTCCGCAAAAAGAACTCTATCTTGAAAAAATCAAGACACTTCAGGAGGGGGGTAAACTGCCTGGCGTTCGTATCATAACAGCGTGGCTTTCCACGAGGGACTATGCTTCACTTCTTGCTTCGGCAGACCTTGGTATCTCGCTGCACAAGTCCAGCTCGGGCGTTGATCTTCCCATGAAGGTGGTGGACATGTTTGGTGCTGGTCTCCCTGTCGCAGCATACTCGGCTTTTGAGAGCTTCAGCGAGCTTGTCAAGGAAGGTCAAAATGGCTGTGGTTTCGAAACTTCATCAGAATTGTCGGAGATTCTCGCGAGACTTCTGAGCTTTTCTGGACAAGAGGAGTTGGCTCGTTTGAAGAAGGGTGCAGTTAGTGAAGGCTCTCTGAGGTGGGATCAGGAATGGGACCGCGTAGTTGGCAAAGTCATTGGGCTTGTTGGTGAAGAGAGCATTTAGATATTGCAACTCAAGAAGGAAATTAACGACCAAACACCATCGTAATGTTCCTGTGCAACGATAGGAAGGGTCACTATTTCACTGATGGTTCAACACTGATATAAAATACGCCCAAGGCTCCATGACACCACTTGAACGCTGGTGATCGTTCGCAAGGCGTTCCCAACCACCTAACGCCAACCCACATATCCTTCGCACTCCCATGATAGCCACATATATAGAGAATAGCCCTGCATCTAATCCTCTCCCAAGCTCTCCCTCACACACTTTCTGCAGCGTCTCCGGAAGTCCTTGTTCTTGCCCTCCCTCTCCTCGCGGAACATACGTGCAGCCTCCACATTGGCAGGGCTCTCGTCGTTGGGGCTGTGGAAAAGGCTGATGGTGCTGAGAAGAATAGTTTCGGGTGTCTGGACAGGGCTCCAGCGTTCAGAGGCTGCTTCGTAACCATACTCGTCTTCCTCGGGAGGATGGAGGATAGAAATGCAGAGCTTGCCGTTTTCGTAGATATTCGGATGGAAAGGAATGGGGTCTTGAAATGTGAGTGAAGGTGGCATGTGAGGGTAACTCGACGGAAAGGATAGACGAGCCCGGAAGTTGCCTCCTAGAAGTCGAGGTCAGCGCATGTCAAAAGTCATGAGGGGGAAGCGAGCTTAGGTTCTGGTCGTACCGCCGTAGTATTTGCAGTCATCGCTAATCATGAGCATCACCTCCCACTCAAAGATGTTGTTATCGTTTACGAGGCCGCATGAGATGCCTGGAATATCCTTGCCAGCCTGCATCTCTTTGAGTTGTCGCTTGAGCAACGAAGCTGCTGGAGCAGAACTAGCGGCCATGATGTCTTTGTGGACGAGGCGCTTATGAGGGTTCTAGCTTGGCACTTGGAAAAAGGATTGAAGTGTGTCAGTAGAAGCTGGTGAGATTGTATATGTCTATGCAAGATCAGTCCGCAGAGGTGTGATCCATTACTAGGTACCCAGGTAGGATATCCTGGTGGCGGCGGATGGTGGGGGACTCGTTGGGCTCTAGCTGGAAAACGGCCCCGCCTCACGGTTTCCATGAACATGAGTATGGATCCATTCGGTAAGGCAAAGTAAGGACATTGGATGCTTTGATTTGCATCTATTGAGTCATGGAAGAAATGAGTTGCGCTTGGAATATGCATGCTGTTTCATCTTGCTTGGCACTATTATCTCAGAGTGTTGACTTCACTCACACCGACCTCTGTATTGTTGTGATATCTCCAACCGTCTGTTTCATTCTTGGCTGTTGTACACCCATTCGACTAAACTTTTCATATAAAACCATGTTGAACGCGGGGTATCATTAAACGACTTAGATATCCATCACTTCTTCGACGTCCCAAATCCAGTAAAGCCCATTGCTGCCATCATATCGTCTTCGTCATGTTCGCCATCAACACGAACGTCCTCTCCATATTCCATCTTCACCCTTGCCTCCTCCTCCTTCTTGATCCTCTTCCTTTCATTATCCTCTCTTCTCTTCTTCCTCCGCTCTTCGGCTTCTTTCTCAGCCTCTTCTTCCCGCAACTGTAGTCGTTCGTGTAGGCTAGTCTGCTTCTCCTTCTCCAGCTCGTCTCGCCGTCGGATGTAGTACTCAATACGTTCGTGGACTTCCTCTGCCGTCGCGCGCTTGACTTCAGTCGTTTGGCCCGTATTTATCAAGTGCTGTGGTGTGTTGAGATGCTCGATGTATTGCTTGTTGTCTTTGAACGTGAGATCGCAAGGCTCACAGTAGAAACCAGCTCCACGGCCACGCTTTCCGACGCCTGCACCTCCGGGGACAAGCTGCGTTTTTCCGATTTGTTGTGTGAGGTCTATAACATTTCGGCGTGCTGATGTGTATGTTTCGTCGCCTGTTAAAGGCTTGTGGTATTTCTTGCCTGCAAGCTTGGCTTCATAACGCGCCTTGGCCTCTTCTTTTTCTTTTGCCTCGCGTTCATTGGCTTTGGCAGCGTATTCGTCGAGATCATAGGTCTTTCGAAAATCAGTATCGCCTGATGGCGCGCCACCATAGGCGCCTTTCTTGGAGTCGGACATTGGGTTATATCAATATGTGAAGAGGAAAGCGTATAGGTTCTAGACTGATCATGGATGCTAAAAGTTGGGACGCGATCATAGTGGTAGAATTTATACCGGGTCTAGCCAAAAAGAGACTCACAAGAAAACACCATCTAACTCAAAAATACGGTCTTAAAATGTAATTTCGGTTCTTGCGTCCCCATTACGAGCTGTAATCCATCTCTGGCATGCTCTCACCGCAGATGAAAACTTAGCATTGGGTCTATAAGAATATACTTGGTCTTGCACTTCGTCGAAACCGCAACATCGTCCTGGTGCTAAACATGGCTCGCACCCGTGCGATTTATCCCGGACCATAATTGCTTTAGAGCGACAGGGGTACTTGGCATGAGGTCACAGATAGGAAGCGCTAATAATACCCCGCCGCGGGGCATCTCTTTTTTTTGAGTCGCGACTAGGGACAATTTTTCACCACGAAATACTACTGCGATAATCAGACGTAGAAGGATCACAATGTTGTACCTCGTAGGACTTGGTCTCTCTGACGAGACAGATATTACTGTCAAGGGCCTTGAGGTCGTCAAGAAAGCCTCCAGGGTCTATCTGGAGGCTTATACTAGCATTTTGCTTGTCGAGCAATCTGTCTTGGTACATGCAACCATTCCCTAACCCAAGAGCCAATGCTAATTATACTAGGAATCGTACTATGGACGATCCATCACTGTAGCTGACCGTGAGATGGTTGAGTCAAACAGCGACGAGATTCTCCGAAATGCGCAGAACGAAGATGTTGCATTCCTTGTTGTTGGAGATCCCTTCGGGTATGATCTACTGATCCAACTTACAGCTGTATACTGATACATCATAGTGCCACTACTCATACGGACCTCGTTCTACGTGCGCGGGAACTCGAAATCCCTGTCCGAACCGTTCCCAACGCCTCCATCATGTCCGGGATCGGCGCATGCGGTCTGCAGCTCTACAACTTTGGACAAACCGTGTCCATGGTTTTCTTCACTGATACATGGAAGCCCGCATCTTTCTACGATCGGATAAAGGAGAACCGTCAAATCGGTTTACACACGCTAGTCTTGGTAGATATCAAGGTTAAGGAGCAGAGTCTCGAGAATATGGCCCGAGGTCGTCTAGTCTACGAGCCTCCTCGCTACATGACTGTCGGCCAGTGTGCACAACAGATGCTAGAGATTGAGGATGAGCGTAAGGAGGGTGTCTATACCAAGGACAGTCTGGCCATTGGCGCTGCTCGCGTCGGAGGTAAGACGGAGAAGTTCGTGGCTGGTACTTTGGAGGAGCTTTGCTCTACCGACGAGGAACTAGGGCCTCCTCTTCACAGTCTCGTCCTCCTTGGTCGAAGAACACACGAGCTGGAGCTCGACTACGTACGACAGTTTGCGGTTGATAAGGAGAAGTGGGATAGGCTATGGAAAGCTGAGTACGGAAAGCAGCTGTGAATGGTTGCTAATATTGTCATGAATTCGTATCGCCTTTGATAAAAGTCCTATCGTACAAGCGAGATTTACATTATTCAGAACATTACTCTCGCGAAGCGCGCCAAGATCGCACATCCCCTTCCGAAATCTCCCTCAATGTGTTGGGCGAAGCAGGCTTGCCAGTGACGGCGCTGGAAGCAATGTCGGCAGCGCGGCTCAGCAGGTTCTTGGAAACGAGCGAATAGGTGACCGATACTGTCTTGACGCGGATGATTCCGATACGAGGATCATTCTCGGAGCCATCATGGACACCGTCACCGAGATCACCAAGCCAAGCCTTGAGCGTAGGGCTGTAGTGCTTGGAAACAAGACTTCGATCTGTGCTAATACTAGCATTGCCAGCAATGGAAGCCCACTCTCCGGAGGCGTTGATGAAAGAAACGTTGACGTGAGGGTCAGCATCGAGGTCGTCGGTCTTGCCAGACTCCGTGTTGGTGTGGAAGAGAAGGTCGATACCTCCAGTCTCCTACAATAAGGTCAGATAGAGTTTCAATTCCAATGAAAGGCACACATACTGTGGCAGCCAGCGCCATGCAGCGAGATACAAGGTTACCAGAGCCTGAGCCCCGGGTGGTCATCATGCCAAACTTCTCCTTGGTGATGAAGTGGACGAGATCCTCAATCTTGGTCTGGAGGGGAACCTCCTCGGCGTTGGCCTTCTTGTAAGGATCGGCAGGGGCATCGCCAGTGTTTGCGTTAGAGAAAGACATTTTGCTTGGTTTGGTATGTGGTGGGAGTGTTTTGTGTTGTTGATGTTGATGTTTGAAGATAAGATCAGAGCTCAAGCACAAAAGCTGAAGCTTCCCCAGCAGATTTATATACCTCCCCACAAACAAGCTATTGCTTACGCATCATAGCATGCAAGCCATCATGTCACAATCGTATGCATTTCATCATCGATGTTCAGTTGACATGTAGGGCAATCGCAGCGGGGTGTTTGAGTTCGAACAATAATAATGGTGACGTCAGCGCCCATGATGGGCTCCTGCACGGAGGCATGAAGCTGTTGTGACAACAAGCCTCGCGTCATTCTACCAATCAAGGACTACATTGGATTTCAGTAAGATGGTTTGGGGATCGGGCACAACGTCTACGTCTCAGTCTTAATGGGCTTTTATTACTTCTATTTAACCCGCCTCCTTGATAATGGGAGCCAGCATCTCATGGCCAGCCCTGGCCAAATCAGTCCAATATTAACTCGAGGCTACCGAGATACCTACCTACCTTACTTATCTAAGTGCCGAGGAGCCAGAGGAAACGAGTCTTTCCATTGTGCCATATTCCGTTCAATGCAGGTTGGCCAATACCGTTATACAGAGACCCGCTCCGCTCAATACACGATGCTTGTTCAAGGGAGCTTGCATTGGATTGAATATGGTTTTGGTTATAAGTAGGAAACCCTTGCCAGTGTGAGCCCTTACCTTACTGAATATGTTTGCCTATGGATCACTACGAGATCCTGAATAATTTTAGGGATATCTTCAGAGAGGACGCGAGGGATAATGTGACCAATGAAACTCGTAATTCCAAGATGTTGTCTCTTGGTATTCATAACTACAGTCGTTAAACAATGATCGTTCTACCCTAGCACGATCTTCGTCAAGGAATAGCATAGTAACCCTTGTGCTACACAGCCCAAAATGCTATAGGCTATCTGTTTGTTCTAAAAGACTTCCGATAGGAAGCTCGAAAAGGAGCTTTGCGCCATCTGCAGCTACATTTTCTGTTATGGCGCCCATTCAGCTTAATGTCAGTTGAGTGAGCGGTTTACACCACTGTAAGAGTAGGATGTTGCTACTTGGCCGCAGTGCTTTCCTAATTCCAAATGACGGGCAATGTTTGATGACGCCAGAAGATACTGTTATTGCCTTAAGATTCCCGGATGTTTTGTCTCCGTCTATAATAAACTCCCTCTGTGGACCTTCGGGGATCTCGATCGCATGGGCTGCCACTTTTGGGAAATTTCAGTCGGCGAGCGGCAAAGGCAAGTGCGACGGGCAGCACTCGCCCGGCGGTCCTTGCCTTATTAATTATGTGTTGCAAATGGTGCCTTCCTTAATCCGAGCCTGCAACGTCACACAAGAAACAGCAGACTTTAGGGACGGGACTCCACTCCACCTGGCTTAAGCAACCTCAGGTAAGAACATACCGACCAGCGACTTCCCTACGCACTTCCCGTGCAACACCAGCCCTCATCTTCCTCTATCCCAGACAATTCTGCATTCAACAAGCCAGCACAAATAGACACTAGAGGCGTCGCGCCTTTGCTATTGTCAGCTGCAATTCGCAGATCCATCGGGAGACAAGCGGATAGCATTTCCCTAGCCGGTTGTGCCCTTTCCACTCTTCAATCACTTGACTACCCTACTCTCCTCGTTTCCCAGACCGCATCACAGCAAAAGAGACAAACACTTAATTCAGTGCCAGCGCAACAGGATTGCAGCCTACCTACTTCTGCATTCTGTTCTCTATCCAGGTCGTCTGGTTAAATACTTCACCTTGTTCCACATTTTATTCTACTCTACCCTTTCCATTGCCATCGACTGTAGAAGACCATCCCACCCATACGTGGTCTTAGTTTCCGGCTAAGCTCGCGACATCTTCAGTTCACTTCGAATCAACATATTTGTTACTCGTCCACTCTCGCTGACTGGAAGTTGTGATCGTTCTGCGATCGTTTATGCGACGCTGTTCATACAATTAGCCATCCGCATACGTCAACTATCTTTCCAAACGTGACCATGACATCAAACACCCCCGCGGTTAGTATCTCAAAGATGTTCATCCTTGGAGCTGGCTGACAAGTTACAGACGGCTTACCCGTGGGAATGTAGGGACAAGGAAGACCAGGCTAAGGCTGCCTTTAACCATCCTCTCCGCCGTGCAAATCAGTCTCTTACCGAAGAGAACATGAAACTTAAGCGTATTCTGCGCGAAAATGGCATTTCCTGGTCTTCCGTCGCTCTGAGCCATATGAATCAACACAATCCTTTGAAGCGCAAGACCCGATCTTCTATGACCGCTCAGGAGCTTGGTCACCCCTACCTTCCTATGGAAGTCATTCTTCGTATTCTGAAGTTCGCTATGAAATCTCCTTTCCCAATTGTCGATCCTCTGTCCCCCCTTACACCTGAGAACATGTCTGACAAAGAGAAAACGCGAGGCAACCAGATTGCGATTAATTTCCTGGCTACCTGCAGAGCTCTTCACGTCGAAGGTACTCGATACCTCTGGGAGTCGAACAACTTTACTTTCACAACTCCTCAAGCTGTTCGTACCTTTGCCGAGCTTCCCGTCAAATTTCGTCAAGGTATCACCCATATCACCTTTCGTGTTATTGCACGATACTATGACGATCAGCCTTGTCGCCGACACAAACTGGACCGCTGTTATCATGGCGATTTAAAGAAGGACCACGTCTTGAAAGTTCAGCAACGCCCAACCGAGTCTCCTCTCATTCGTGGTGGCTTCCGGTGCTACACTTGGAACCAGATTGTCGACTTTCTCGAGGGGCTTCGTGCACCCTTCGATCCGATTTACCGAAACAGGAAGCAGCCACGACCACGAATGCTGCCATCTCTTGTGTCTCTGCGCCTTGACCTGGTGAATTTCTCCGACACTCTTCTCCCCTTCTCCGGATCCGAACTTCACGATATTTGCTCTCATGAACTCGGCTGCACCCTGAATGAACTCCAAGTCACGGGTATGCCATTTGATGATACTGGAATGAAGGCATCTGCCGAAATGAGCGGCATGCTCAAAGACGAAGGTTTGTATCTTGATGGCCCGGCTTCCTATATGGCTCACTCTAGGCATCTCCAACCTCTCTCTGGCAAGAAATGGTGTGCTCGGGTGATTCGGGCGTGGAAGCCCAAGGATGACGACGATGAAGACAGTGAAAACGATTCGGATACTGTTCATGGCCACTCCCACAGCCATGTCAGGCTTGGCGCTTTGCCTCCTGCCCCGACTGAAGAGGGCCACCCAACTTCAAACCGCGACGAAGAATCAGTCATATGGAAACGAGTGCCGGTCTCTAGAGACATGGAGAAGCGGGATTGGGTCCAGTTTTCTCGCTCTAGTGGATACGAGATTAGCGATGTCGATTGGGACAGCGACGAGGAGGGTATCTGCCCCTGTTGCGGAGAATCCCACCCAGGCTCGTCCTTCCTGGAGATTCTAGTGGATGAAGACCTTGCTGACTGAGAATCAGTATAATTATACTATGGGACATTGGCGTTGAAAATGGGGAATCGACGACGGGATTGTTGCGAATTATATGTTTATCTCCGAACATGCTTAGATACCCCTACAAGCGATGAGGATGCTTATGTTTTTTTTGTTTTTTTTTTACCGAACTGGAATGGAGTCTAAGGAACAAAATGATATGGGGAATTAGCGTGATGGGAATGGGCATCATTTCTAGACAGGTTAATGCCTAATTCAGTTTCCATATAGGCAAAGGTTGCCCGAGATCGAAGGTGTAACATGGAAACACTGAATATGAGTGACGGAGCGACGTCTTGCAACATGAGCAATTCGTATATGGTCTATAGGGGTCTATGAATTCGATTACATTATGTAACTGTGACAATATCATAATAATTGATCAGATACCCGAGTCGTCCTGCTCCATCTTCATCTTGTGTGAGAAGTCATTCCATGCTCTGCAACCTTCTTCGATATCCTTGTATTCATGGTCCGACACGAGGCTTGGGATTTCGTCTTCTCGGACAATAAATTGTAGCGAGAAGCCTTCAGCAGCGTGCCAACCTATATGGCAGTGCATGAGCCACACACCTGGATTGTCAGTGAGAAATGCGATTACAAGGTGTCCTTTGGCAGGCAGAAGAGCAGTGTCACGGCGTGGCGGGTTTTCTGTGTTGAGGGTGACATTTGGATTGTATGGACCAGGGCCTTGAGCGAGAATCTGAAAATCGAATCCGTGAAGGTGGATAGGATGAGAGATATCCTGTTCTGTCTCGATAGCAAGGTAAACCCAGACATCCCTTTTGGGAACGCGAATGACAGCATTAAACTTGGTGAATGAGGCGCTGTTATTGAGCTTAAGGAGGGAGGGTTCGCCCCATTCTGCGATCATGGTGGTGCTGTTGAGCGCCCATTTGATGATGCCGTCTGAGTTCCAAGAGCGGTTGGCGTGCTGTATGACTTCCATTTCGGGAGGTCCAACATTGCGAGGAACGACAGGTACAATGCTCTCGTAAGGCTCGTCTTGGCAATGATCCTCGTGCTTGCGTCCTTTCGTCGTTGGCGTAGTGCTGTTCGATGCATAAGATACAATACCGAGCGCATTTTGAGGGTTGACGTTTCTGGTGCAGTCAAGTTGAGGGATAGCGCGAAGCCAAAATGACGATGCCCTTGAAGCTTGGTTTGCTGTGACAAGAATATCCATGCGTTCACCTGGAGAATGTTAGAAGAAAGTACTGGATGAGGAGTGGTGAGAACAGTACCAATTGCGAGGCTGATGTGGTCGGTTTCATAGGGCTCAACTGATACAAAGTCCACCGCAATAACTTTGAGAGTATGATGATCGATGGAAAACTTATATAGCGTATCAATGCCAGTGTTGATGAGACGTAGGCGATATGTTTTGCCCTCTTCAAAGTCCAATCTGAATCTCTCTCCCGTCTGGTTCTTATCGGTGTCATTTCCATAAACATTAGTGCCATTGATTAGAACATTATCCATTAGTGCAGGACCCTCTCGCTGGACATCATGTAAAAGTTGATTGACGGTCTTGTGCGACCAGTCACTGAGCATGATAGTCCCAACATCCTCCTCATAGTTAGCGCTTGCGGGACCACGGATAATCAAACCACCATAAACACCATCATAAGTCTGGAGCCCAAAATGAGAATGATACCACGAGGTACCATACTGGGTCGCACGCCATCTGTATGTTACTGAGGATCCTGGTGCAACAGGGCACTGGGTAATAGCAACAACTCCATCGTGTGGGTTCGTGTAATTTTGATGGGTGCCATGGAAGTGAAAGGATGAGCCGTTGGATGAAGTCTTCAGATTACTTGTCATGTGAACGACAACATTATCACCCCAGTCGGCAAATATAGTTGGCCCTTGAAAATTTAGCTCCAATTTGACATATAATCCAAGCCTGGATTCTCATACCTGGTATCGTTCCGTTGATAGCTTGGGCGAATCTGGGAACTCCATCCGGAGCAAAGGTTATCTCGCTGATTTCAAGCCAGTATTCTCTCGTCACACCAGTATCAGGAACAACCGAGTAGTAATCACTGTGGATATCAAATCCACACCATTGATCTCGAGTAGTAGGTGTGTTCCCAGAACATGGCCCTTGTTTCTGAAACTTGGAATTGATGGGCTCCGGCAAGGCGGTCAAGGGCGAAGCCAAAGCGATGAAAAGAACGGAAGACAGTCTGGACATTGCAAAGGATGAGTGAAGACTTTTTATTGACTTCAAGCGTGAGTTATCGCCATAATGCCACGATAAACCCCTTCTTTTAAACAAGTACTTCAACTCACGAGAACGGGACTCCCGCCATGAAGAACAAAGTCTCGTCTGATCACCATACGCCGCAACCGGGATCAGCGAGATATATTCTAGTCATATGAAGTACGGAATTACTTTAGACCTCGTGGGAAGTCCTATGTTGAGAAGCCATGGCGTCGAATCGCACTTCATCGGAAGGACCGAATATGTCGATGGCGTCGGCGAATGGACGATTCTTACGAGTTGTCTCCTGAGATTCACGTGATTCAATACACAAGTCCTAGCAAGTAACTGGTTTCCTAAAACTCCGATTATGATGTACTTCGTCATCCGTGTCAGGAGGGGCTTGCGGCAGAGGAGCCTCGGGGCATTTGATAGGCATAGATCGCATCAGACCGGAAATGCCGAGCTGTCAACATGAGCTCATGGGAGTGCCCTTACTGGCTTCAACTTCAACAGAATTACATCTATGTAAAGTTTTGAAGTGTTCAAGCATCGAAGACGTATGATTTGTCCCTTCCCATATGACAATCTCATCCTGAATGTCTCTGGGCTCGCCGTATTCCGAACTCGACTTTTTTTGTCAGAGCGGAAAGAGATCATGTCAAAACCATCACACAATGACCTCAAGGGTTCATCTGACATAGAGAACCGATTGTCTTGACATGTGGTTAGCGCGAGGTCGTTGAGCGTCAAGGTGAGGCTCATTCATGTAAGTGAAGTTATGGATCTTAGATGCAAGGATAAGGTGACCGGGAAGTTGATCTCCACTGGAAGCTTCCCCGCCAACGTCACCTGACGTCGCGACTGTCTAGGCGCTTTGCGCTTTCTCTGGGCGCGCCCCTGCCCGTCGTTCCTTTGGGCGTGTATGAACTGAAACCGCGACTCCCAATTTGATATGCTTTCCTTATCTTTAACGCAACACTCAGGTTCGTGCAACTCACAACTCACACCTCACAACCTGCAACGAACGATACCCTTTTAGTTATTGGGGATTCCAGCCTGGTGCAAGAACTTCAGATTTGCTTTCATCCGCATTCAATTCACTTGTTTTAATCAAAGGGCACAGTCCATCGCCAGCAATAAATTCGACGTACACAAGTCTATAATCACACGAAGCCTTGAAGACTTTCAGTTACCGGCGCGCGCCGACAACGCTCCAGGCCTTTCGGGATATCTTCTATTCGAACGAAGCAACATCACGATGCCCCCCAGTCTGAAGGACAAAGGCGGTCGGCTTCTGGCTTTCGCCAATGGTGGCCCGCGAACGAACGAAGCTCAATCTGGGGTGGATGTTAAGCCCACGAAGTCAGAACCACCACAAAATGTTCCCACAGCTCCTATACCTCGTCCTACTAGCTATCCTCGGGAGATCACGGGGCTCGGTGGTAGAAACACCGCGCCCCCAAAACAAAACTATCCTTTCAGTCAACCACCACCGCATCATTCACCAGTGCGCTCGACAATATCTTCTCCAGATGGCCGGATTAAAGCAGACTCAAGTGATCGCCGGGTCGACATCTTCTCTGGTTCGCAACTTGACGAAAATTTCATGGAGTCTGGTCTTACGACTCCACACAACGAGCCATCCGATCCCGTTAAGCTTGGGCCGGAGTTGACTCGCGATCTTAAGAAGACCATTCCGTCACACCGCCTCCCTGACCGCAATCGATTTCATCGACCTCCACCGACAAGTGACTTGTTCACTGTTGGTGATGATCTTCGTATGAACGTGGTCAGTAGGTCACAGCAACACAATGCTGATCATATAGGCGATGGTTTCCAGGATGATGTAAATGTGAGGCATGGAAAGCTCAATGGCCACCACGGACATGGTCGAACTCGACCGGACTCCCCGGCACGACAGGACTCCAAAATCCCCATGCGTGAAGTGAGGATTCGAAAGTCACATTCCGGCCGATCAGAGGCCTACGACACGAACCAAGCAAGGAATATATCACCCAGGCGCCCTGAAACGCAACGGCAAACGCAATGGCAAACGCACTACAAAAATGAGAGCTCTCGGCAGCCGACTGTCCACCATTTGGATGATGAAGATGCTGAGTCTGCATCTCAGGAAGAAGAACATACAACGCCCAGGCCCAAGCCTGCCAAGCCCGTGGTTCAAAGAACTCTCTTGGAGAGCTCAATGCCAGCTACGACAAACTTCATGTCAAACACTAGTCGCCTCGACAGAAAGCGACGTCGCCCAAGCCCTGAGTACGACGATGTGGCTCTTAACTCTATGACATTTGCCTCCCTTCGACAGCAGCCTTTCGACTTTGACCCTTCTAAAGATGGGCAGAAGGGCACTGGAGTCAATGCTGACAATTTGGAAGACAAACTTGAGCATTTTCGTCATCTGGGTGAAAAGGAACAGCATGACCTGTTTTCCAATATGTCGATGGAAAATTGGGAAACCTCGGGAGAATGGTTTGTCCATGAGTTCAGCGCACTCATGCAAAAGCTGCTGGATTCGAGAAGACAGAAGCGCAAAATCATTCAGGAGTTCGAGCAAGAAGCAGCCAATCGTGAAGAAGCTGTCCGTCTCAAGACACAGGCCATTGACCGAAAGCTCTCTAAGATGAAGCAGGACGGCCAGCGAGTGGTGGAGGATAAAACTGCCTAGATTATGCGTGGCGTATGGACAGAGCCGTTGGTTTTTCATTTTTCGGGAAATGAGTTTACGACCGATATGATTGCATTATGCTGGAGTTGAGTCTGATTTACTCGATATCAGAGCGTGAGATATCTGTGAGGTTTGCAAGGCACCTAGAGCAGAAATGAGCTCACTTACAAGGGAGTTGTTTATAGATTCGCTACGATGGTCACATCTTTGATGAAGTAGAATATAATTTCGCTGAAAACGGTTCAGGGCCGTGAATGGTTCATTAGTCTGTCGTGAAGGTTTGTTGTGTTTGGTTTGTTCGGTTGTGAGTGGAGGTGAGATGAGTTGCCGTGTGCCCCCTTTTTATACTCGTCGGACATGTTTTACTTTTCTGTCGCGGCCTACTACCATCCTCAATTGTCGGCCCGGTCGGTTGGCGAGAACTCCTTTTCTCATCCTATCAGTATAGAGCTCATAAGCAGGATAGTAACCGTCAACGAATTTGACCACTTCCACGGAGGTCATGCCCGCTTCTGGGTCACCCCTTTCCTCACGTAAGTGATCTTCTTGCTCTAATCGCCAACCGTAGACGTAGCCAAGATCTTCTGCGTCGATTTGAATGAAGGCGTCGAAGGAATCTGTGACGGAGTCATACTCGGAGAGCTTCTCATTCACGAATAGAAGATCCTCGAGTTTGTGTTGTTTGAGAGTTCGGTTGGGCATGTTAAGTCTCGCCTCAACATCCTCACGGGTCAGAGGACGGAAGCCTACACACCATCCCTCGAGAATGATAGCCTGGATCTTTTCCTGGCCTGGCTGATTCACAGGAAGCCATTCGGACTCTGGGAGGCGGTCACCTTTACCACCCTTGATGGCCTTGTCGTATTTTGGCAGCTTCGTAGGCTCTCCTCTTAGTAATGCCTCAAAGAAGGCTTTGAGGAGAGGCAAGTCGTGAGTTCCTGTGCTTATTAGAACTCGCCTAGTTATCAAACAGTGTGATACTACTCACCAGGCTCCCCACGATGCTGAACAAGGGCATTGTCAGGGTGGGCTTCAGCGAGGGCAACCTGATCCTGGCGAGTGAGATAGAACTCATCTATGCTACAGACAAGGGTGGGCACATGCTGGCTCTCAAGAGCCTTGCTCAGTGCCTTGACAAGGGTAGACTTGCCGGCGCCCTGAATACCGTTGAGGCCGATGACAAAGGGGCGGTCGGGAGACTCTTCGCGGTGGAGTTTGAGCTGAGAGAGAATGAAGGGGAGGCAAATCTCAGTTTTGTCGTCGATGAAGTGGGGAGCCATGATTTAATCAAGATATGGATAAGCTACTGCGCATGTACAGGGCATGGGAGTGAGAACGATAGTACGGTATGGGTATTGATAGCGCAGCCATAGGATGATTGAGTGTCGGGTGTCACTGTCAGTCAATTGCTTTCTTTTTTTTCGTCGGGCAATTCAAGCCCGAGGAGACACGAGACACTAGAGGCACACACAACACAAGAGCTGACCTTTTCGGTTTGATCAAATCAGCATCAGGCTTGTGGCCCGGTCTGGGCTTGGTTGATTTTGCGGGGAGGGAATAGAGGGAATTTGTGGGGATATGTCCGTAGCCGGAGCCGGGATTGGAGGTCGGCAACAGAATTATAAGAGGATGCCACTGAAGGGAAAGCGCAACAAGACAATTAACGGCAAAGTATGATTCAATTCAAATTTGAGGAATCTTGGTGAGCTTCCTATTTCTGAATAATGAAGAAGGAGGGAAACCAGACATTGTGTGTCGTTCTAAGTGAATAAACTGCTATTATCACATCTAACTACTCCCGAGTAATCCACATGTAAGACTCGAGACGTCACTCGACAGTACAATCTGACAAGACGTTAGGTACTACCCCAGATATTAATATACTATTCTCTTACACTGATTCAGTAAAGGCATGTGACATTGACTACTATAGGGTATTTCCTCCGCATGACCTCATCTGCCGTATCTCAGCTTTACATGTGAAGCCAGTCCCTTGCCAGACTCGGCCTAGCGTATTCCCCGCAACCAGTCCCCTCGGTACCCCATAGAAGCCGAGGCTTCCCCTTCACAAGGTTCCTTGGTATCCCCGAGACGGTTTGAGTTGCAAGCCGGCCCAAGTTTGTTAAGAGCTGCTCGTTGCGCTCCCCGATTAATTCGCTTTACAATTCTTCATCCTCATCCTCACCCTCTCACCCTCTGTCTTTTTTCCATCATCTTGAGCGTGTCATATTATACCCCCTTACATATTCGAATAACACACCACACACACACACACACACACACACACACACACACACCATGGCGGACCAGTTGAGATATGACGGCCAAGTTGTTGTCGTCACCGGTGCTGGCGGTGGCCTCGGAAAGGCATATGCTACTTTCTTCGGCTCCCGTGGTGCCAGCGTCGTCGTTAACGATCTTGGTGTTACTTCCAAGGGTGAGGGCAACTCATCAAAGGTTCGTGGACCAGCAAGAGCAAACAGCTTCCCCAGGCGCAAAGCGCATAAAGCTAACCCCAATCGCGACAGGCCGCCGATGTTGTCGTCAACGAGATCAAGGCCGCTGGCGGCAAGGCTGTTGCCAACTACGATTCAGTAGAGAACGGCGAGCGCATCATCGAGACCGCCATCAGCGCCTTCGGCCGAATCGATATCCTCATCAACAACGCTGGTATCCTACGCGATATTAGCTTCAAGAACATGAAGGATGAGGATTGGGATCTGATCTACAAGGTACACATCAAGGGCTCATACAAGTGCGCCCGCGCTGCTTGGCCTCATTTCCGCAAGCAAAAATACGGCCGTGTTATCAACACCGCCTCGGCTGCTGGCCTCTTTGGCAACTTCGGCCAGACCAACTATTCTGCAGCCAAGCTCGCCATGGTCGGCTTCACAGAGACTCTCGCCAAGGAGGGTATCAAGTATGGCATCCTCGCCAACGTCATTGCCCCTGTTGGTATGTTACAATCGCGCCTCATGAGCTTCATACACTAATCCAAAATAGCTGCTAGCCGAATGACCGAGACCATCATGCCTCCTGATGTGCTCGCCAACCTTAAGCCTGAATGGGTTGTGCCTCTCGTTGCCGTTTTGGTCCACAAGAACAACACAGAGGAGACTGGTGGTATCTTTGAGGTTGGCGGCGGCCACGTGGCCAAGCTCCGATGGGAGCGATCCAGCGGTCTCCTCCTCAAGGCTGACGACTCATATACCCCAGGTGCCATTATTAAGAACTGGAACAAGGTTGTTGACTACTCCAACCCTCAGTACCCTACGGGACCCAACGATTTCCTCACATTGCTCGAGGAGTCTATGAAGATGGGCCCTTCAGAGCAGGGCGAGAAGCTCGACTTCACTGGCCGTGTCGCTCTCGTCACTGGCGGTGGTGCTGGTATTGGTCGTGTCTACGCTCTGGCCTTTGCCAAGCACGGTGCTTCAGTTGTGGTCAACGATCTTGCTGATCCCGAGCCTGTGGTTGCTGAGATCAAGAAGCTTGGTGGCAAGGCCGTTGGTGTCAAGGCCTCAGCTGAGGATGGTGAGAAGGTTGTCAAGGCTGCCATTGACGCATTTGGCCGTATTGATATCGTCATCAACAATGCCGGCATCCTCCGCGACAAGGCTTTCTCCAACATGAACGACGAGCTCTGGGACCCTGTCCTGAACGTGCATCTCCGAGGTACCTATAAGGTCACCAAGGCTGCTTGGCCTTACTTCCTCAAGCAGAAGTACGGACGTGTCCTGAACACTACTTCAACCAGTGGTATCTATGGCAACTTTGGTCAGGCCAACTACGCTGCTGCTGTAAGTTCTCAATATGCCGCTCATTATGATAATTGCTAACGGCTATAGAAATGTGGTATCCTTGGTTTCTCTCGAGCTCTTGCTCTTGAGGGTCAGAAGTACGGCATCTACGTTAACACTATCGCCCCCAATGCCGGTACTGCTATGACTGCCACCATCATGCCCGAGGAGATGGTCCAGGCTTTCAAGCCTGACTACATTGCTCCCCTTGTCCTCGCTCTCTGCAGCGACAAGTGCCCCACCCCTACTGGTGGTTTGTACGAGGTTGGCAGCGGCTGGTGCGGTCAGACTAGATGGCAACGAACCGGTGGACATGGCTTCCCCGTTGATGTCACCCTCACCCCTGAGGAGGTCCTCAAGAACTGGAAGGACATCGTCACCTTTGACGGCCGTGCCGACCACCCCTCCAAGTCCCAGGACTCGATCGGCAAGATCATGGCCAACTTGGAGAACCGCTCTAAGCCTAAGGAGTCATCTGGCGAGACCAACTACCTCAAGGTTATCGAGGAGACTCTCAAGAAGGAGGGCAAGCCTACTGAGTATAAGTACGAGGAGCGCGATGTCATCCTCTATAACCTTGGTGTTGGTGCCAAGCGCACTGATCTCAAGTACGTCTTCGAGGGCTCAGATGACTTCCAGGTCCTTCCCACCTTTGGTGTCATCCCCCCTTTCAACGCGGAGATGCCATTCGAGTTTGACAACATTGTGCCCAACTTCTCTCCTATGATGCTTCTCCACGGTGAGCAATATCTCGAGATCCGCAAGTTCCCCATCCCCACCAATGCTCGCCTTGTTACCCGAGGTCGTCTCCTCGAGGTCATCGACAAGGGTAATGCCTCTATCGCCCGAACCTCCACCACTACCGTCGACGCCAACACTGGCGAGGACGTCTTCTACAACGAGGCCAACGTCTTCCTCCGTGGCGCCGGTGGTTTCGGCGGTCCCAAGCGCGGTGCTGACCGCGGTGCTTCCACTGCTGCCAACAAGCCCCCTGCTCGTGCCCCTGATGTTGTCGTTGAGTCGCCTACCCACGATGACCAGGCTGCCATCTACCGCTTGAGCGGTGACTACAAGTAAGTTCTACTACCATCCACAGCTTGAATCATAACTAACATGAGTAGCCCTCTCCATATCGACCCTGCCTTTGCCAAGGTCGGTGGCTTCAAGGCCCCTATTCTCCACGGTCTCTGCTCCTTCGGCATCGCTGGAAAGGCCGTCTACGAGCGCTTCGGCGCCTTCAAGAACATCAAGGTCCGTTTTGCTGGTGTTGTCATTCCTGGTCAGACCCTTGTCACAGAGATGTGGCGAGAAGGCAACAAGATCATCTTCCAGACCAAGGTTAAGGAAACTGGCAAGCCTGCCATCGCCGGAGCGGCTGCTGAGCTCAGAACCGACGGCAAGAGCAAGCTCTAAACAAAATTCAGCACGATCAACGGAGTTTCTGCAATGGGATATTCATGTACTATCATAAAGTTTGTATTGTAGTTGAGTGATGTGATTCTTATCATGTCCTGTTCTGCCCAATCTTATATGCCGAATTCAATACCAATTTCTTAAATTTCTAAACCAAAAGACGCCCCGTGCCCATCCTGATGTTTATATTTGTGGAAGTCGTTAAGCCTGCGCCTGAAGTCACAATGAGGCTTAATTGAACCATCTTGTTGTACGCCGTTACTCGAAAAGAGAAAGAGAAGAAGTGACCATATCCCTAAACAAAAAGCGTTTCTACGACCAGATCCAACACTTCCGAAAGAGCGGGAATTCGGCCGCTGAAGAGAACACGCTCAACACTTACGTCCATCCTATTCGCCGCAACGCCCGTTTCAAGGAACGCCCGCTCAGTGCCTGATAGTTCTCGGTTCTCCATGTCTTTCCACTTGCGCTCAGCCTCTTCGCGCGCGGCTTGCAAAACCTGCTCTGTATCCTCAGATTCCCAGAGATTGCACCTGTCACACTCCTTGCAGGGTGTGGCATCACCTTCTGGGCGAAAATGATCACAAAAGTGGCGATATCCTTCATCAGTGAGGTCGGCGCGACAGACATAGCACATCTTGTAGCCGCAGGGACACGTGAGTTTATTGCAACCTGCATTCTTGACGAAAGATGTGTTGCAGCGGGGACAGACGCGCTTTATAGCCATGCTCATGGCCTGCTCGACCTGTGTGCGTAGGGCGACGAGGGAGGATTCGTTGCATACGTGGATATCCTTCCAAGACTTGTGGCATGAGAGGCACGACATGCGGCCGCAGCTGGGGCTTTGGCAGGTAAATTTGGTACCGCGACGACGACGACGGTGACGGTTGAGGGCTTTGGACCACTCCACTGATATGTAGTCGCTAAAGGACTGCTGTGTGCTGAGAAGGAGGCAAATGAATGAGGAAATGAGGACGAACGGGAAGACGAACGGGAGGGTACCGATGCAGAGAACGAGGAAAAAAAGGTTGTAGATGCTATCCGACTTGATACGAAGAGCAGATTCGTGCGCTGGCGTGTATATGTCGTCTATCTCGGCATAGTCACAGAAGGGACACCGCACTAGAGGGAGGTTAGATGCCAGAAGGCTGTGCTCTGCTAGTCGACAGTCAAGCCTGTGCAGAATTTCTGCTCCCATCTTTTCCTCCTCCATGGCACGGCGGATATGATCTGGCGGGATATGTCCAGGACATCCATCGCCGTCTGAAGAGAGGCATTTGAGCGTTCCCGTTTCAGGGTTGATGCTACTTTGCCAACCTTGCCCAAAGACTGCTTCCTTAATGGAGTGCTGTACACATCGGTAGCAGACGAGATGGCCCTCGCGGTTGCAGTGGGTAAACTCCTCAAAGGCTGCTGATATGAAGCAGCAGACACACTCGTGCGTTGCATCTGCCTTTTCGGCCTCCTCGTTGTTGAGTATGACTGCAAGCCCCCTGTCTCTATCCTCTCTGTCTCTTCTGTCCTTTTCTTTCAACGGCGCCACCAACGTGTCATACAGTTCGCGGTCCAGTTCCGCGCTACCTGTGGCTCGAATGGTGGGAGTAATGGAGCCCTGACCGGTTGAGCGCCACGATACCAGCGGGTGATTCTCTGCCTCGCCCGTAGCGATAGGCTTCCTTCTGAAAAACAGCGATGATATTGTGAAACGCCATGATTTGGAGGATAAAGTGACGAGGGTCTGGCGGGCTTCGAGGTAGGAATAGTTGGACTCGGCAAGAACGGCGTTTATGGTAGACCGCGACAAGCCTTTAAACTCATGCCATGCCAGATTTTGTACGGCTCTTTTGTACTCCCTGCTCTTGAACACCTCTGTTTTAGGTATCGCATCCGGTTGAGCGGTCTCTTTGTCCAGAACTCTCCACCGACCCTTGACCCACGTCACTCTATTCTTGAGCAGTGCATCGGCCACAAGAGCGAGCCTTGACTCGCCGTCGAAATTCGACAACAGCTCGCGAAACACTTCGATCTGGATATCGGGAAACACAGCGGCCAGAGCCTCGAGGCTGCTGTTGAGTTCGCGCAGGTCAGGTCTCTCGGGTGGCGGACATGGTAGTTGGGCTTCGTCGTAGATGTACTCGGGCTGAACAAGGTTGGAGTCGCTCGACTTGGACCGGACAGAGGGTGTTCTGGTTCTATCGGTAGAACTGGAGGTGAGCAGCCCGGGGAAACCCATCGTGGCTGCTCATTCTGGTGCGTGTGCGCGTGAGGTTTGCTGATGGAAGTGATAAATGGCGGTGGTAGTGGTTGACGGAGGATTAGGTAAGGTGTCTTGAGGCGTTGAGCTGAGGAATGAGGCTTGCGGTAGTTGGTTGGGGTGCAGAGCTGAATATTTTTCACCCAGAAAAATCAATGGGAATAGTTAGAGTTATTGAAATGCAACATGTCATCCATTCAGCTGTTCCATATCGTGACTGTCTAGAGGTGGCTAAGTTTCGTAGTCGAAGGCGGTAAGTTGCGACAGAGTTTGTGGCACGATTGCTGAAACAACACAGGCTCGAATGAGTAACCGCCATTTATCGACCTTACTATGGCTGCGGAGTTATTCCAGATTTCAAAGACTTGAATTTCATTAGATGTCAATATGTTGCTTCGTTCAAGAGGAATCAGAGTGTTGTTTCTGACTCATTGCTTACACCAGTCCTTGAGTTGTTTGTACTGAAAGTGTGGAGTGGTCGCTTTAATTGTAGCAGTATAATTAGAAAACCCAGCGTCATCAACGAGAACAAGCATGCATGATTGTTTATTTGCCCTGCATCAGATACACTTGACAGCTCGTGCCATACTCTGCACAAGGAATATAAACAATTTTAAAAGTGACTTGACGACGAAGCCACATCGAAAGAATGAAGCTGATAGTTACGATGCTTCATCACTGACTACCTATACTGCGACTGGAAAGCTTCTACCGGTCTCGTATCTTCATACCTTAGAACTGCTGCTTATCAACATCAGATGCTGTCCCAGAGGCATAGCAAGGCCTTCGTCATTCCCCCCATCTCGGATATCAAATCCTTATATTCGGTAAGTGTTGTGCTTGAGGAAAGCTGCTGCTCCCCTCTCGCCCAGACTCCTGCGAGCCATGTACTAGTAATGTTAGAGCTTCTTTACTAACACTATCGAACAATTCAACTCGGTCACGGCGAAAGAAGGAGAGAGAAAAGACGCCCGTAATTTATTCATGCTGATGCCGGTACAGTATATGCTAGTAGACAGACCAGCCAAAACTCGATCTCCTGTATTGGTTGAACAGGAGTCTACAAGCTTATTTGAGAACACAAACCAGGCACGCATGTAAAGTGCCCCATAGACCAGGCAGCTCAGAAAGGCAGGAGAGATATGGATATGCTATGTCCGCAAATTGTCCAAGTGATCCGCCGTTGACGCACCCCACGCTTTGGTTGGTAACATTGATGGAGATGATCACCACACCAGATCGACAACCCCGCAATGTTAACTCATCTCGAAACTATCAAGACGACAAGAATCAGGTTCACCTCCGTTATCAGATTCAGAAGGAGCTTACGCGAGAGTATCATGGCAATGGGCGGTCAGATAAGGTAGCTCGTGTGTCAAGCCCAGAAACTGACTCGTCAAATCAGTTTAATTGCTGCGTAAAAGCTGCCACAGTATCACTGAGTGATATGCAGGTGGCAGCGTGGGCGGCCATCATCATCATCTCGAAACCGCCAACTCAAGATTAAGATTGCAGAATGCCTGTTTCACGTCACTCTGCTGCACAATAAGCACCAGTCCATCTGCGCAGTCATCCATCATATCTGCAGCAGTGCAGCCCTTCCAACGCCCCCTCTTCAATCTTCAGTATGCACCATACGGCATGCTCGATGCAGGCACGGGGGTTTGTGACCAAAGTCCCATCATGAAGTCGATGACCGGCCCGAGGCTTCGCAAGCGGTGAGATGAAGTTGACAACATCAAAGGTTAGCGCGCCGCCAGGGCTTTTAGACCTTGTGCGGCTAATAACCTATCATTTCGCGCTTAGAAGGTTGAATGAGTCTAGCAATGAGTTTAGAATAAGTCCGTTGATTTGATAGCTTGGCTGACGTGAAGCCTTGTGTTCTGATATAATTAAGCAATCACATGCTGAAAGCAATGGCAACTGACTTTGGAGGAGTCAAGGAGCAACACAACATCTTCCAAATATCTCTAGATGAGACTGAACTGACAACAAGGCTATAGATCTTTGTCAGATCCGCAGCCAGTCGTTCCTTGCAAATGCAGGCATTGCAGGTCCATTTCTCGCTGAGGATCTCGCTCCTTGTCAGCCGCTAGTTCTGTATTACCTACATCAAGCCCGCTAGACCACTTGTCAGGGACTCAAGCCTCTTGGACATCAAAGCTTCCACCCGAAATAGTCTCAGCGGTACGTGTATTACAGCGTTGAGATTGTGCGAGACTACGACTACGTATGTACACGGAGTCCTAACGGCAGCGCCAAGTCCGAGCCCTGACATGGGTTTTCAGGGATGACGACGATCTTGTCCCGTCATTGTTGGCTATGCTCAAACAAGCGAAGTGAGTGGGAAAAAGGGGTCTCTCGGCGATGGGCTCGGCACAAGCCAACAGTCGGCCAGCTCCACTCCCTGGAGGAGAAAGCACGCGACTTTGTGCAGGATAAAGCCCGTCGTGCATAAACTGCTGTGGAGGAAAAAGCAAATTCCCCAGGACATGATGATGTGAGCTTTGCATTGGCTCCAAAAAGTTGGCATGTGCTATGAAGTGAAGTGCATTAATGCTAGTATGCGCATACATGGGATGCTTGGTGTTACATTGAACAGCTAGTGGACAAAGCCAATCGACTGATGATCAGTGATCCGAGAAGACAAAAAAAAAAACCGTTCGCTCGTGGCGTCTGTCTCGGACGAATGATGTTGTTGAAGCGACAATAAACCGAGGGTATATTTTTGGCTCCCAGATCTACTATGGGGCACTGCCGCAGCTGATGATATTACGAATATCGGAGCTGAAATGTTTTGGCTTGCAAGTACAGCTAGATCAGGACCACCAGAGAGGCTCAGGAGCCGGCCTGAGAACTGCCCTCGTGAGGATACAGTACCCAAGATGAAGGCCCGGCCTTTTGGCTTGTGTCTCACATCACACGGTGCCTCACGGTTGGGCGCTTGCATGTGCATCCGGAGGTGCTCATGAGACCTCGATTCCGAGGCACTATTCACAAGTTTAACTGGAGGGTGTGATGGTCTTGACGATCTTTGTTGTTGCAGAGGTCTTTATTTCCCTCATGACGGGTTTGATTGCTTGATGAAGCACTTGGCAGCGTTTCTCATCTCCAGGGAAGCGGCGTTTTCAGAGCGTGGTTTCGTCATTCATTATCTTCGACTGGGGAGATCGATCAAGGACGATACGCACTGTTGACGTATGAAGTGTTTCTCTTGACTAGTCAGGCACCGAACCCCGAGCATCGATGCCTATAGCGCCGCAGTTGTGCGTTTTATTAAAGGTTGATCACCTTATTGCTCCAGATAATCGCCTGTGCGGTCGATTTACTGTAGATCCCGTATTGCACCATTTCCCTGATTTGGTTGTCAGCCACGCGACAAGGACTCTGTCTGCTTGCTGAGCATTACAGTATTCTTATGGAGTATCAAGTGCCGCTGGGCGTCATCAGGAGTTGCCCAAGTCAGCGCGGTCAGCCACCTCATCTTGGACAGAGCACAGCATCCACGGCAGTCAGGCTGAACCAACGATCCGTCATCTGTGACAGCTTGCTGTGGCTTTCAGCTGAGGTGGATTACCTTGCATTTCATGAGCAGCCAAAGTTCTATTCAGGGGGGGCTGTGAGGACGGAAACGCCTTGGCTGAGTATAATTTCTCACCGTAAGCTTTGGGACATTGATCAGTTCGAAGTCTAGATCCGCCATTTGAGTATTATTATTCAACTTGGGCAAATGTTGTTTATCTATTGCAGGCGGATAGCTAGCTCAGTGTTGCAGCCGCATCCATGTCCACTGCTGCTGTTGCATCGTTCTCGTCGCCGCCACTATTTCCATGCTCCACTTTCCGTCACCCCGGCCCTGCAGCAATTCGTAGGACTTCGATCCCAAGTGATGAAAAGGCTTCGGTAAATTATCGTAAAGTTAGGGGGGCTCTTTGGTGGGTTTATTTTGGCGCCCTCTGTCGAAGAAACTTTTATGTCCCAAAAATATACGCCAATACGATGTACAACAGACACGGCCGGCCCCGAAAAAGATGAACCAAGCCAAGAAAAAACACTGGACATCAAATCACAGAAAACGAGGGATCTACGGACATCAGGTTGTGTAACACGTCTATCACACGGTGCCTGATTTTGGAGTTTCCTAGAAAAACGCCACAGCCCGTATCTTTTCAGCCGCTTCACGATGAAGCTCAAGCTCAAGCTCAGAGCAATGGGAGCAAAGCAAGGCCAACTCTCTCAAGGCCTTGGGCCTCTGGTCTCAGTCACTGCCAGGGACAAAGCAGCACCAGGACAGGGTCCGGTGCTTGTCTGCAAGAATAAAGCCGTACAGTAACTTAGCCAAGCTTAGCTCAGGTGCCTAGGTTCCCCCTGGGCCACCCCCTGTCCTGGCGCTGGACATCCACCACACCTAACCAGCCGCCTCCTCCACCGCTACAACTGGAGAGTGAATGTACTGGCTTTGGGCGGGATCCTGGTTTAGCAGACTGCTCAGCCTTACTTAGTCGCGGTGAACGGGTCCCCTTTCCCTTGTCTTGGGCCTTGGTTAATATCTACTGGAGGTACTCCATACTGTATGTATTTGGCTCAGCTTGGGATATATAACTTTGGTCCTCCCCCCTCCCATCGACTGTTCTCTTCCTGCATTACCTACTGGTGCATCTTGAACTCTGTCTGCAGGCGTGGCTGTTCGTGTGTGTGCTCGCGTGATTACCACCCTCTTATATATTTAAGAGTATTTCGTAGACGGGCGGACTTGTTGGTTCGTCTTCCCACGCTCGCATTACACCTACGTATACACGTACACGCCAAATCATGAGAGGAGGCCTTTGGAACTGCTTAGAACCGAGGATTGGACGATCAAACATTGCATCTTGCTGCCCATAAACGAAACGATGAACCGAGATATGAAGCTGGATGTTGAATCCGTCATGGCCGACCAAGACAAGAACAGCCGCTACGAGGGCTACTTCGCCTATCGACCACTATCCAACCTACCTACACCGCCCCCAAGCTCTCGCAACTCATCCGCGGCTCAATCACCACGAACTACACTTGACGATGGAGAGCCATTGATGCCTCGATTTCGAGGTAAGTGGTAGCACTAGCACGGCTGGCAGAGGATTAAGCACTGTTGATGTGTAACATCACGTTGTTGATCTCCTGTCACGTCACGCAGCGTACAAAGCTTGTTTTACTGACAGACTATAGGCCCTGCCATCCACCTCGTCAACCTCATCCCGTCATCTGCCTCTCTGGCCACGGCCTCTGTCCCTCTTGTTCAGGCCATCCTGAGCCGCGCCAATCTCCCGATTGAGACCGTTGCTCTCGCAGTATGCATTCTCGATAGCCTCGACTCCCGCTTCGCCCGACGATGGCGCCTCTCGTGCCCCCTGCTGTCCGGCTACTTCTCATCCACGTCTAAGCGACACACTCTCCCGCCGACGCCCATCATGCCTCAACGACAGCAGTTACACATCGACTCAGTCAACCCCGAGCTCATCATTTTGGCAGCTCTTGTCATTGCGGTCAAGTTCATGGAGGATCCCCAGGAGGCTTCTCAGTACTATTGCAAAGCCTGGGGCCGGGGCATGTGGTCACCCGAGCAGCTCAACACCACCGAACGATGCATCATGGAGAACCTCAACTACCGCATCATGCCCCTTTGCGATGAGGACTGTCTGACGGATGCTATGGTGGATATGCAGTATGCCGCTCAGCAGCCCCAGTGGGACATCAACGAGCATATGCCCGCGGATAGTGACGGCGAGAGCGACGACAGCAACAATCACAATAACTATGTGCCTAGCCACTCCAGATCAAAGACACTCGGCACAGGATCGGCAGTATTGGGTTTGGGCCTTTCTCTAACACCTGTCGATACCCCGACTGCCGAGGCCAGCCACTCGACTACCCCGCAACCGTCAAGGCTCTGCAATGACTACTTCAACCATTTCCAGGCACGAGAGGATTAAAAAGGATAAACGGCGTTCTTTCTTCACTTTGGGCATTACGAGGCGTTACCGTGGATACCGACACATTTAGCGACTTTTTATGGGTTGTTTTGACAGCGACTCGACTCGATCCGGCGTGATAGGCATCTTGTTATGTGTTGTTTTGGGAATCAGACCCCTTTTATAACGCTCCTGATTGGACGACGGGGCGGGAAATAGCATTGTTCTATATACGGAGGCATTCGGGGTGAACATTGAGTTCCTATAATCGAGGAACAAGTTTATTGGGATTGATTTGGTTTGTTTTGGTTAGCTGGGTTTCCTTACACGGCATCATAGGTTGAAGCATGGATATGGCATCTGATCTGAAGCTAGGATTACACATACCCCTTTCCGTATATTCTAGTCAATAACTACGTACTTTTAATGTTCTATAAATGGCTCCCGGTCCCATACAAATCACTCCGGCCCTTGGCATAACAAATCAGGCGATATCATCATGCCAGCATTTCTCAGGGGGGATCCACCCTGTTGACGTTGATGTCTTATCCAGGGTTCACCGCATGAAAAAAACTCATGATGCAGTTTTTGTAAGTCAGTATACTATGCTTGGATACGGCAGTTGATGCCGGCTTGTTGTTTTGATTGTATGTTGAAGATATGTGGTGTTAATTACTGTGTCGAACGAGAGTTGCAGATGAAGAGCTATAATAGAATTCGCTGTATGCTACTCAATCACCCCCTTGTCTATGGACTATTATCTTAACGAGGAGCTCATTCATCATTTCGCTTCTGTATCTGGCTACATGTTGAGAATGGTTGAGTATCTGTATGACACCAATACATCTCCTCAAGGACTCAGCCTCTTCAATGTCCACTCCTCTTCCTCGCCCTCCCGTTCATAGACGAACCTGTCGTGAAGTCTACTCTCCCTTCCCTGCCAGAACTCGATCCTATCCGGGATAATCCTCAGCCCACCCCAGAACTCAGGAACAGGGATTTTCTCCTGCCCCTCAAACCGCTTCTCGACCTCTTTAACCCATCCTTCCAGCTGCTTGCGGCCATCGTCGCCGTCACCTTGTGGCTCAAGTACTTGACTCTGTCGACTAGCCCATGCACCGATTCTGCTTCCCCGAGCTCGTGTGTCGTAGTATGTCTGACTTTCTTCACGGGAGATCTTCTCCACCCGTCCTTCAACATGGACTTGGCGCTGTAGGGATTCCCAGAAGAACAACATCGCAGCACGGGGGTTGGTCGCTATATCAGCTGCCTTGCGAGACGTGCCCAGGTTAGTGTAGATGACGAAGCCGCGGTTGTCGAGCTCCTTTAGATACACAGTACGAGAGGAGATACGGCCTGAGGGGAGAGATGCTGTTGAGAGAGTGCATGATTCAGGATGATCTACGCCAGAATCATTCTCTTGGGCACGGGAGAACCATGCGTGGAATTGAGGGATAGGTGATGTTGGGTTGAGCTGTGAGCGGACGAGAGTTCCTTTGGTAAACTGCTCGGCTTGACCCGTTGCCTGATGGCCCGCGGGGGCGACTATGAGTTGTTAGTAAACTGTTCCATGAACAAATAGTGTTGTGAAGAAAGGAGTCATGATGGCAAGACTGGCGGGGTAAGGTTGAACATACAGATGAGCTTCGAAGTATCTGCTGAATGAAGCGCCATTTTTGCAGTAGAGAACAACCTAGAGCTGAAGTTAGGTATTAGAAGACGCATTGAAATATATATATATATATGAGTCTACTGTAGGAAATCATGCGATTTGACTCACTGGACGGACTTTGAGGCATACGATGGAATGGGATGTTCAAGAGGAAAGAAGGTACGTACTGCGCTATCGGCGGGTGGTGGAGTCATGACATCTTCGAAGTGAAGGAAGTTTCTAGTTGCTAACTTTATTCCAAGGATAAACATTGAGATTTCAGGAAATGTACCATCATTCATAGCACAACACGACTGTAGATGAATAAACAAACCAGTATCAAAATTTAAGAGTTACAATGTCAAGGACTTCGCTATGGAACTTATGAGTACCTACACTACCAGTCTCATGATATTCACGCCACGAAACGCACGAGAAAACAGACACACACACGAAACACACGGAACGCACGGGTGAAATAATAAATAAGTATTAAATTAAATAAACGTATACGACGATACGTATACATACATGATACATAACATACATAAAACCGTACGCCGACGACGTGAGTCGCGTCTCATTTACACATTCTATAACATCAAATGTCGTTCACGGGCATCATCCTGGAATGCTTGCTAACGCACGCCAATTTCTATCCGGCTTTGAAAAAAGCAAAAATTACAAAAATCCAATCATGTCATGAAACTTTTCAAATCCTTTCCGACTCATGTACAAGTTTACGAATCAGCCATAACCAACGCCAACAGAGCCATGCGGCAGTAGAGGCCATAGCGCATCTAAACATCATGTTAGCAATGTGATAAACATGTCGTAGGAATCAATGCTTACCTGTCGGAAGTATGCAGCCCGCTGGTCGAAGTCGACCTCCTCGGCAACCTCCTCGTTGCGAGGGAGAGGGTGCATGACAATTGAAGAGCTCTTAGCATGCTTGAGCGAAGCGTTGTCCACTCGGTAAGAGTTCTTAACGCGCTGGTACTCCTCCTCAGTAGGGAAGCGCTCCCGCTGCACACGTGTGCAGTACAGGACGTCGCTGCGAGCCATGATCTCAGGTGTAAGAGTCTCAGACTCGCATAGAAGTTGGCCAGAAGCAACGAGCTGCTCTCGGACCTTAGGTGGCAAGGCCAGAGCCTTAGGGGCGACCAGCTGGACCTGGACGTGGTAGTGTCGCAGTAGGTATACAAGGGAGTGCACAGGTCGGCCATAGAGAAGATCACCCAGGAAGGTGATGGTCAAGCCCTGTACAGTACCCAACTCCTCACGGATGGTGAAGAGATCAAGGAAAGCCTGCGTGGGGTGCTCCTTGCTGCCGTTGCCGCCGTTGATAACAGGGACAGGGCTGTATTTCTCAGCAACATGAACGCTGCTCTCCTCAGGGTGACGGAGAACAACAGCATCACCATAGCAAGCCAGAGTACGGAGGGTATCCTGGAGAGTCTCACCCTTCTGGACAGAGGAGTGAGAGGTGGAGATGGCGATGGTGCGTCCACCAAGACGCTGCATAGCAGCATCGAACGAAGCCGACGTGCGAGTAGAGGGCTCGTAGAAGAGCGTGGTCAAGACGCGGCCTCGAAGGATGTTCAAGACACCTTCGCGCTGGACACCAAGACGCATCTCCTGAGCAACGGTGAAGAGCAGGTGGAGATCAGCTCGGCTGTAAGACTTAACGGATAGGACGTGCGTGTTCTTGAACGACGAAGGCTGAGCCAGGAGCTGCTGCAGAGAAGAGCTGACCAGAGGTTGGAGTTGGAGGCCAGGGGCGAGCTCCTCAACAGGAGCAGCACCACGAGCAGGCGAAGGCAGAGTAGCGCCAACAGCACCAGTATCGACACCACGGAGACGGTTCAGAGGCTGGAAGCCACCCAGCATGGACATGCGGCGGGCTTGGGGAGAGTCGGTGGCTTGAGCGATCGAGGTGGTGGGCTTGACTGGAGGCGACATGGGAGGAGCGATATGCGAAGACATGTCCTTACCCTGAGGCGAGACAGGCAGGACTTCACTATCAAGGCAGACGGTGGTGTTCTGGAAAGTGACTCGTTGAACAGATCCACGCATAGTGCGGCCCACAAAAGGAGACCAAAAGGTACCCGGAGCCACGGTGTAGGGACGGTCAATCTCAGCCTCGATGGTGGTACCAGACTGATCGTGGAGCTCGAAGATCTCCATAGGGTTGGTGTAAAGGCGGTCCTTGATGTCGTCAACAGTCAAACGACCCTCAGCAACTGAAGTGAGCAGCAGAGGGAGAGCATCAGAGATACCCATATGAGGATCGCCCTTATGGCCGAGCGAAGTAGCCAGGCGGTAAGGCAGACTACCAATGGAGAACACATCAATGGTCGACATGTGCTGCCAGAGTGCCTTCTGATCAGCTGCAGTGGGCAGACGCTCGCACTCAGGGTACTCGTCACGGCTGAGGTATAGAGAGTAGATCGAGACGTCGCAGGTGACTTGGAGTCCCTTGGCCTTGCTAAGGGCGATAAGCTTGATATCGTCCTTGTTGGTGACCGAAGTAACGTGGATGCGACGGTTGTGGAGGCTGGCAAGGAGGAGAATAGAGGCCAAGTCAGTCAGCTTAGCATCGGTGACGATAGGCTTGTGTGTAGGCCAAGAATCGAAGTGAGCAGTGACAGCAGCAACCTTGCTGATGTTGCCAGAGAGGTGGTTGAAGGGGATGAAGAGAGAGCCAACCTCGCCAGTAACATGGCTGATCTGGTCAGCATTGTCCGAGGTAGCGGCCACAGAGAAGTTGTAGTCACAGTAGCCACCCCGTCGGCTGTTCTGCTGAGCGGTCTTCAAAGTGAGGGCATCAGTGATGGCGCCATCAACACCCAGAGGCATAACCCGGATCATGCTGAAACCAGCAGAAATAGAGGACTTGGTTACTGTTTGAAGATCATCATTGCTGGCGGTGGCGATGCCTGGAACAAAAGCAGCGATGTTGATTAGACCAGGCAGCACGATGGTTCGGTGGCTGGTCTGGTAATCGCGCTTAGATACCTCAAGCTCGAAGTGGCGGGCAATGGCCTCAACGAGGATCTTGGCGTTCTTGACGTTGGTGACGAGAGGGATCTGGTAATCAACGGCCATACGTCGAGTCTGGTAACCCTTACTCATGTAGTTGGCAGGACGACGGTACTTGTTGTTGGAAGGCAAATTGATGTACAGATCAATGGTATTCTTAGCCAGATGCTGGGTGAGAGAGAACTCAGAGCTGCGATCCTCCTCCTTTCCGAGAACCTCAAGGTACTGGCACTGAACGCCGTGCTCCTGGAGGAAATCGGCGGTACCGGAAGTAGCGAACAGCTTGTAGCCGAGCTTCTCAAGCTTCTGGACAGAAGGAAGCATCTCACGCTTGTCCTTGTAGGATCCAATGGACAGGAGGATGTTCTTCTTGGGGATCTTGAAACCAGTAGACATCAAAGCCTTCAGATAGGCCTCATTCTTGTCAACACCGAAGCAAGCAACCTCACCTGTAGAGGCCATCTCAACACCGAGTACGGGATCGGCACCGGAAAGACGGGAGAAACTGAACTGAGGGACCTTGACACCGACGCAGTTGGGGGCAAGATCGGTGGGAGGGTAAGCCTGGAAAGGCTGGCCCATGATGGCCTTGGTGGCCATCTCGATCAAGTCAACACCCATGACCTTGGACACGAAGGGGAACGAACGTGAGGCACGAACGTTACACTCGATGACCTTGATGTCGTTGTCCTTGGCAATGAACTGAATGTTGAAAGGACCAGTGACGTTGAGGGCCAGACCAATCTTGCGAGTAGCCTCCTCAATACGCTCAATGGTAGTGGCTTCCAAATCTTGAGGAGGCAAGATAAGGGTAGCATCACCAGAGTGAACACCAGCGTTCTCGACGTGTTCGGAGATAAAGTGTCCAATAACCTTACCATCCTTGGCAACGGCGTCCATCTCAATCTCCTTGGCATTCTCAATGTACTTGGTAATAACGACAGGGTGCTCCCGAGAAACCTCAGCAGCCTGGTCCAAATAATTCTTGAGATCCTTCTCAGAGTAAACTGTGTTCATAGCAGCACCCGAGAGGACGTAGGAAGGTCGAACCAGCACAGGATAAGAAACAGCGTTACAGAACTCCTGAGCTTCAGCAAAGCTAGTAAGCTCCTTCCAGGTAGGTTGATCGACCTCAATGCGGTCCAGCATACGAGAGAACTTGTATCGGTTCTCGGCATTGTCAATCATCTCGGGAGAAGTACCCAGAACCTTGACACCAGCACGGTGTAGGGGGAGTGCAATGTTGTTGGGGGTTTGACCACCCATAGCACCCAAAACACCGCTTGAGTTCTCAAGCTGGTAAATGTCCAGGACAGTTTCGAGGTTGATGTTCTCGAAGTAAAGCTTATCAGCTTCGTCGTAGTCTGTACTAACCGTCTCCGGGTTATAGTTGACCATGATTGTCTTGAAACCGGTAGCGCGAAGCGTTCGAATAGCTCGGACTGAGCACCAATCGAACTCGACGGACGAACCGATACGGTAGACACCAGAGCCGAGGACCATAACACCGTGGTCGTCGAAGTTGACATCGTGATCAGATGCATTGTAGGTCATGTAGAGGTAGTTGGTGAAGGCAGGGAACTCAGCAGCGACGGTATCAATCTGCTTGACGAAGGGCTGGATACCAGCCTCAAGTCGCAGGCGACGGACAGCAATCTCGTTGGAGCTCCAGAATTTGGCGAGCTGACGATCACTGAAACCCAGTCGCTTGGCCTGGAGAAGGATAGAGGGGCTGGTGGTGATGTCGGTTGTGCTGTAGCTGGTCATTCTCTTGGCGAAGTCGCTCAAGCCCTTGAGCTTGCGAAGGAACCACTTGTCGATCTTGGTCAACTCCCAAATCTTGTCGACAGTGTATCCCTCGTGCATAGCGTTGGCAATGGCAAACAGACGCTGGTCAGAGGGGGTCTGGAGCTCATCCTCAATGCTCATGAGGGCCTCCGTCTCATTGAAGCCGAGGTTGTGGAAGTCAATGGCTCGGATGGCCTTCTGGATGGCCTCCTCGAAAGATCGACCAATACTCATGACTTCACCCACACTCTTCATGGAGGAGCCAAGCTGAGTGGACACGCGGGTGAACTTCTTGAGATCCCATCGAGGCATCTTGACCACGACGTAATCGAGCGAGGGCTCGAAGCAAGCACAGGTGGACTTGGTGACCGAGTTCTTAATCTCCTTGAGAGGAATACCAAGACCAAGCTTGGCAGCGATAAAGGCCAGAGGGTAACCTGTAGCCTTAGAGGCGAGAGCAGAAGATCGAGACAGACGGGCGTTGACCTCGATGATGCAGTACTCGCGGGAAAAGGGGTTCAGGGCATACTGGATGTTACACTCTCCAACGACGCCAAGATGGCGAATGACATTGACAGCTGTTGTTCGCAGCATGTTGTAGTCTTCGTCAGACAAGGTCTGCGAGGGAGCGACAACAATAGAGTCACCAGTGTGGATACCGAGAGGGTCGAAGTTCTCCATGTTACACACTGTGATGCAGTTGTCTTGAGCATCACGGACAACCTCGTACTCGATCTCCTTCCAGCCCTTCATACTACGTTCAATCAGAACTTGGGGACTGGCGGCGAAAGCCTTGTTGCAGAGATCCATCAGTTCCTCCTCATTGTTGGCGAAACCACTGCCGAGACCACCAAGGGCATAGGCGGCACGCACAATGACGGGGAAGCCAATGTCCTTCACGACGTGCATAGCCTCGTCGATGTTGTTGGCAGAGGCGGACTTTGCACACTTCTCGCCAATAGAGTCCATGCTTCGGGCAAAGAGCTCACGATCCTCGGTGGTGATGATGGTGTTGATCGGAGTACCAAGGACCTTGACACCAAGAGACTCGAACTCATCCTTGAGCTGGATACCGACCTGAAGGGCGGTCTGGCCACCGAAGGTCACATAGATAGCATCAGGTCGCTCATACTGGATGACCTTTCGAACGAAGTCGGCGTTGACAGGGAGGAAGTAAACCTTGTCAGCCAATCCCTTGGAGGTCTGGATAGTGGCAATGTTGGGGTTGATGAGAACAGTGTAGATGCCCTCTTCCTTCAAAGCCTTGATAGCTTGGCTACCAGAGTAGTCAAACTCACCAGCCTGACCAATGCTGAGACCACCACTGCCAAGAACGAGGACCTTGCGAACGGAGACGCGGGGGTGAAGACGCTCGTTCTCCTCGATGGTGCCGCCAGGGAAGCTGACAGGAGCCTTGAGGAGCTCGGGCTTCTCAGCGCAGTTGGCCATGGTGTTAATGAAGACATCGAAGAGGAACTCGGTGTCGCGAGGACCAGGGGTACTCTCGGGGTGGAACTGCACACTGAAGTAGGGCTTCTCTGTATGGAAGATACCCTCGTTACTGCCATCATTGGCGTTGACGAAGAGCTCTTTCCAGCCATTGGTCAGGCTGTCGGTGTCGACAGCGAAACCGTGGTTCTGAGAAGTGATGTGGCATTTTCCAGTAACCATGCTGGTACAAGGAATGTTGTGACCACGGTTACCGAACTTCATCTTCTTGGTGGTGGCACCAGCAGCACGGGCGAGGAGCTGATGTCCCAAGCAGATACCGAAAACGGGGATTTCATTCTTCTCGAGGACGGCAGCGATGTTCTTAACGACGTTGTCGAGCATAGCGGGGTCACCGGGACCATTAGAGAGGAAGAGACCGTCGAACTCGTCGATGGCGCTGGCGATATCGTAGTCCCAAGGACAGACAAGGACCTCGACACCACGCTTGAGGAAGCACCTCAGCTGGTTAAACTTCATACCGACATCGAGGCACAAAACACGGATAGTACGCCCGGATGGGTGCTTACGGGCGACCGAGGTCGGAGGCTTGTAGAGCTTAGGAGCCTTAATGGAAACTACATAGATAATGAGCATGCGTCTTCGAGTTTGAAAACGCTAGGGAACTCACCTTCGGCCACCAAGTTCTTGGTGTTTGGGTTGACCCATTCGATCTGCTCAAAGTGGTCGGTGGGCAAAGCAGCCAAGGCATCGTCAGCCTGACTGTTGAGAGAGCCATTGGTCAGGCCACGGGTCTCAAGGCGCATCTTACCCAACATGCTACCCTTCTCACGGATTCTCTTGGTCAAAGAGCGAGTGTCAACGCCGTACATGGCGGGAACGCCCTGCTCCTTGAGCCATGTGCCCAGAGAGGATTTGGCCAAGAAATGGGAGAAGTCTTCGCCAGCATATGAAGCTGTGACTAGACCAGCAATATGGATTTCGCTGGACTCAAAGTGAGCTGGCAGATCGCCGAGGAGCTCATCCATGGCCTCGCGCGAGGGAACACCATAGTTTCCGACAAGAGGGAAAGTGATGACGAGGATCTGGCCGCGGTACGAAGGATCCGTTACGGACTCAGGATAGCCAACCATACCCGTTTGGAAGACCAGCTCTCCAGCAATGCTCTTCTGAGCACCAAAGCTGTAACCCTGGAAGGAGGAGCCATCTTCAAGCTCGAGGCAGACGAGGCCATCATCCTCGGCGCCAATCTGACGCGCAGAGGCGGGAGGCTGAGAAACCAAAGCCATTGTAGTGGTTATGGTAATGGTTTAGAGATGAAGCAAAGAAAAACACAAAAAATCTCCGGCGCTGGGCTATATCAACAAAATACCCAAAGAAGCGCGGGGCAACGACGTGGAGGGGTCGTCGTGGGAGGACAGGGAGATTGCGAGCGACGGGCCGGCAAGTTAACTCGTTTTCAGAGCTACCCTGGTAAGGTCAGAAGCTACCTCGCAATCATCAGCCTCAACTGTAGTTGGAGGTGAAGAGGATGTTGGAGAAGAGCGAGGGTTTGGGAGAAGGAGAAAAAAGAGAAGGAAGGCTTTTGATGAAAGCGGCCCTCGAAACTTTTTTTTTATCGCCGGGGCTGCAGTACAGGGTGCTCCCCGCTGTGTATTGCTATAAGCTCTAATTGGCCAATTGAGAGATGGTTCCCTCGATGAGGCCAATCGCAGCATTCCATTAAAATCTGCAGGGACACTAAAATGCCCCGCCATGCCTTGGCCAAACTTCTCAAGCCTCTCCACAAGCTGCGCAACAACCTTTCATCATGACCGATCGCTCATCAGAAATGGTTGGACTTGAGCCTCGAGAGTGGGTTTGTTGGATCAGCGGTCAGGGTTTAGCCGCACTGTCGATACGGGCCAAGGCATTGGAAAATTCCCTGCCCGAGTGCCATGGCAGGTGGCGGGGAGACTTGTGAAAGACTCCGGTAACGGAAGAAATATCTACGACATATGCGGCTTGGAGTTGTCATGACAAAGTCTTTAACGTGGAAAACAATGCATTGCTAATAACGCAGTAGGCAACCGTTCTGGAAGCTGCAGAATGCTTGTGAGCTTTCAGTCCGTAAGCATAATAATAACGCTTACTGTGAGAAAGTGCTGCAGTCAGCCACGCGTGCAACAGGACAACCTTTTCTCTGCCGGCACTCAACGCCCCCAAGATCCATGATCGAAAAAGCTCGAGCCCAGGGCGGTAGTGAGAAAAAGGCGCTTTACATCACAGGCTAAAACGTAGAACACCCACTTTCCGCTCAGCATCCACCTCCACAGCTTGAAAAAGATTTTTTTTTCTTACATCTGATCTTGCTATGATTGGATTAGTTCATGGTGATTGTCCACCCTCAGTCACGTTTAGCCTCATGCAAGCCGCCAAAACCCGATATGCAGGTTCACCAGCAAGTATCCTGACCTGAGGTTCGTGCTTCAGCATGAAGGTCTTGACAATTATGGAGCAGAGAAATGATATTGTATGCTCCGTTGCAATGGAAGATACATACAAATCCCCCATAAGTTATAAATGTCGCGAACTCGAGTGTCGAATAAAATATCATTATTTCATGTAGATAAATTTGGCTCGAGATCGATTCGGTGAAGACTACTTTGTGAGATTGCAGGTGCGCGAATTGATACAGCCAAAAACGAACGTAAAATCATTTATACAGGCTAGACTCTCTTGGCTTTTCATTGCTAATATTCCTGAAGCGAGCTCCTCAACGCCCTGAGCAAAATCACCAACTACATATACACTTCTCCTTCTGAACCACCCCCAAAGTAACGCTATTCTTATAACAATATTGCTTCTAATCTGCCAGTTTGTCGAGCTCTCAAGACCAAGCCAGCCCTTATACCATAAAAAAGAAGAAGAAAGTGTTATGCTATTCGTTAGATGAACTGGTCAACTTGACCCAAAATAACTCCAATCTGTGTCTATAAATCTTTGCACCATATCTACGCCTTCACGTTCTTTGTCTCACTCAGTAGTCGTCCGAGCCAGCAGCATTAGGGCATAGGAGGTGCCCCCATATTCGTGATCTTGGGCGTCCTCTGTGCTGTCGGGCTGGCCTGGCTTCCCATCATGCCAGGCTTCTGGCCGCCTTGTGTATTCATACGGTAAGCTGGTTCTCTCTTCGGGTCAATGCCGGGGAAGACAGCCTGCAGTCTTGAATACAAGTCCCTTATGCTATTATTTCGCTCTTCACGGTCAGCGACCGGGTCGATGTTGTTGTCCGCACCTTCAGGTCCTACAGCTGGGACCCGGAGTTTGAGCGAAAGAGTCAGAGCAGGTGCAGTGAGGTATGCTGGACAGGGCGGAACTTTAACTTCAGGCTTCCGATCTGCAAGTGCGGCCATATACGACAAGTTTGCTTGCAATCTCCTCATACATCTGAGGCACGGTTAGTTGTGTAAAGTAATTCTTTGTCCAAATGAGAACTCACTGGAGATAATCTTGCTGTAGTTGCGTCTCCTCGTCTGTCGGTTTTTTATCCGCAGGGTTTCCAGCTGCAGCGCTCTCCTTCTTCAGTTCTTGTTGGGTTGCCTGGATTTGTATTGATTCATAGAGAAGCTCGTGGTTGATATCGAGCAACAATGCGAATCGTTCTTTATCTCGAGATTCGGTACCGGGACTCAGCGGAGCCGCTGTTAAAGTTCCATTGACAGCCGGCCCTTGATTCGAAGAGAAGGTTGGCGTCTGGGGTGTCGATAGTCCGGCAGATACGGGTTGTTGTTGCTGCTGCTGCCCTTGCGCCTGTGTCGGGGCTTGTTGAGTCTGCTGCTGCTGTTGCGACTGTGGTTGTTGGGACTGCTGGTTCGTAGGGGTCTGGCTTTGAGGGGGAGGCTGAGGAGTCGGAAATTGACCCTGTTGCGAAGGCAGAGCGTTGTTCGGCGTCCCTTGTGCGGCGCTCGGGGGTCTTTGAGGGGTCGATACCTGGCCCATACCAGCGGGGTTAGCAGCTTGTTGTTGTTGCTGTTGTTGCTGCTGCTGCTGCTGCTGCTGCTGCTGTTGTTGTTGTTGTTGTTGCTGCTGCGCTTGAGCCTGCGCTTGCTGTTGTTGTTGCTGTTGCTGTTGCAATCGCTGCATCATCTGAGGATTCTGGGGCATCCCGGGTTGGTTCATCGGGAAGCCCTGCATGCCTCCGCCCATCATATAATTTGGCGCAAAATTCTGAGGTGCGACCGACGAGGGAACGACTTGACCGTAAGGGTTACCAGCGAACTGCTGTTGGAAACCTGCCACTGTGCGCAATATGTTAGCTGTCGGGTGTGAAGGAGGAGTGTTTTGTCGTGTCGCATATCGTTTTGCGCCGCGCTTCTTCTTAATCATGCCTAACCACAGGCTGTCCACACATCGTTAAAGAGGCTGGTGCTGTTTACAGGAGCATTGGAAGCAGGCGCGTCGTGAAAGATTCGATCGAAGATTGCGCGCAAATGAAGAAATGGTACCTACTCTGACCATTGGCAGCCATATGCTGCATTCCTGCGTTTGGCATCATGCCTCCTGGACCAGCACCCATCATTTGAGGATTCGCGCCAGGGTTAAAGCTTCCTTGAGGCGTCATGCCGGCGAACTGCTGCTGCTGGTTATACATCATCTGCTGAGCGGCTGGCTGGGCTCCGGACTGCTGCTGTGGGGCAGGGTTGTTGAAAGAGGGAGCAGCATTGTTGCTAAAGCCGTAGCCGGCGGAGTACATGGCTGTTTGTGAATGTGACTGTGACTGTGACTGTGACCTGGGCTGTGCTGGGCTGTCGCTTTCAGGGCGTCAAGGCGTCAAGGCGTCAGTGCAGCGCTTCAAGCGGCAGCGCGTGCTGTACTGGCTGTGCTGTGCTGTAGCAGCGGCAGACAGCAGCGTATAATAGTGGGAGGGATGTGTTGGGATTGCGCGTGTGTGAGCGAGAACAGGCTTGTCGTTGGCTGGCGACGGAACACGAATGGGGTCCAATCAGTCGGTCAGTTCAGTCCATCAATTCGGTGAGTGACAAGTGAGGAGTGACAGGAGGTCGTATGGCGTGGGATCGGGAGGCTGGGCTTGTCGCTTGTGTACGGATATGGACATGTATGGACGCGGTTCAGTTGATTCAGGTTCCAGGATTGGAAATGAAACCTAGAGTTAACTCAACGGTGGATAGTTGAGACGTGGTTGTGTGGGTCCAAATGTTACGACAGTCCGGGTGGGTAGCAAGGCCGTTTTTGTCACGGTTACACTTCAGGTACCGTACCGTCAGCACTACGTGTTCAACGTCAGCTATCGAGGTGTATATCCTCCCTGCCTCCCTTTGTACATACCGCGTTTATGATTTAGCATTCGCCCATATATGTGTACCTAGTTTTCCACCAAACTCAATTCACATATATCGTTCATACCACCTCAGTCTATTCTTCGTTCTGCATACCTCGAAGCTCCAACTGTTCAGGTAGCGGACGTATCCAATGAACATCCATTGACAAGGGTAGTTCAAGGAGCTGCAGTCCATGTGAGACATATACTGATGAGGGCTGGCTGAGTTTATAAAACTATCATCCAACGCCAGCGTCCCCGTATCACTAACTCGGTCTCAGGCTTGTTTACTCTTATTTTCAGCCGCACGCCATCCAAAGAAGCTGAGTATCACTCTTGAACTGTTCACACTTCCCAGAGGCAGTACCATATTCGAGAATTTGCTTCACGACAGGCGCACATGGCCAGATACTCTCACAGCCCCGAGCAGACTCCAAAACGGCAAAAATAAATGATCACGCTGGGGATCGAACCCAGAATCTTCTGATTCGTAGTCAGACGCCTTGCCATTGGGCCACGCGACCTTGCTCTTGAATGATTCCTGGAGCACAAATTCCCGTCCAAGATTGTGGACGACACAGACGGAGAGCTTGCTTGTCCGCCTCAAGCGCGATTCTGGGATAGTACATTGTTCGTTGTACATCTGCTCTCTTTGTACGGTGAAATTACCGTAGTATGCCGTTGTAGTCAACCTATTCGGAGTCCACCGTCCTCGAGTTACCCCATTGTTGGTAGGATTGTCAGTTACAAAGTTTTCTGTCAAGTTCATAAGCAGTCCAATAAAATCTGACCCGATCTGAGTCAAGCTTTCCGGTATATCAATGATGAAGGCATATTGAAAGTGCTAAACCAGACACACCACTCTACGCTGGCGTTTCATAAGCACAAGAGGTCGGGTTAGAAACATCTACCCAATCCATGACTATGGACCTTGTAAGACACGCGTTTCGTGTAGCGATGAAGTGCAGATAGACATAGATCATTGATCCCGCCAGATTCCAGTCTGTTAACAACAGGTTCTCTTCTGGATAGAGTTGTAAACTGGCTGAAGTTGTCCAAGGGACAGGAAGCGACGATATGTATATAGAATGGTTGAAGGTAAAGGGAAACCAACGTTTATCGCGATAAGAATTCGTGTAAAACGTCTGAGATTTGCAAGTGCTCTTGCGTCATGGAGATGACAGAGTGCCTGACCCAGGAGGTACCCAAGAGCACATCAAACGGGGCTTGTTGTCTAGCCAATCATGGCTCAAGGGAGTTACACAAAGACTCTGCCAATCATTAACCGCGATACAACTATAAACCCATCAAGTTACAAGTGTAATAGTTATGTCGATTGTAATGATGTTTTATATATATTACAAGGGTTCATTGTCCTTACGTTTCTAACCATAACTTTAGAGTTCAGTGTCAAGGAACATACCAATATTGAAATAATGCTTTGACTCGAACGCCTGACCACCTGCAGCAATTAACAGAGCACTACCAGGGGCATCTTTCTATAGTGGAATATAAATATACAATTAAAAAGACATTATTTAACTATTGTTTTATAGTGATAACATGTCCTATCTAAGCGCAAAAGGTAGCATATCCTCATAGTAAGAATCGACACCACTTAATGCCAGAGTCAAAAAGAATGATCACGCTGGGGATCGAACCCAGAATCTTCTGATTCGTAGTCAGACGCCTTGCCATTGGGCCACGCGACCCTTACTCTTGAAATTTGGGATGGTATTTGGTATTATTGCTCTGAAGTTGTGTCGAATTGTAGCTGGGTGACGCCTGTTCGTTTCACTAGCTTGACTGTAGCTACGGGCCTTCATGCTGAAATAGTGTTTGGCTTTAGGGTTATTACTCTGTAGCTAAGCCTTTAGCTTTTGCCTGTCAGGATTATGTCTTTAGTGAACTATTATAGCAGGAAAGACGTGAAGGTGCTTGAATGTTACTTGGAAATTTGGATTCTTCTGTCTGTCTTATTGTCTACCATCGACAGACACATGAACCAATTCTGTCGTATAATAAACGCCGGAATAAAATAAATAAACATATGGTTGTCATGTTCCCTATCATCTGGTCTCTTGGTTTCTCAACCATGAAGCCGCTGTTCAGAATTTTCGTTGTCCTTCAGGGTAACGCTTTGGCCAATGCATGATTCCAACATCAGAATATACCTGAGCTAAACCCATGATGACTCAATTGCATATCGGAAAACAATCGTCCCGCCATACTGCAAGCCTTTACCTTCTTCAGTTGCTTATCAAGGTTCTAAACACCAAACCTTGGGATACATATGCGCTGTATCCAATGCTTCCCCTCTATCATGACAAGATGAAAGCCCCACAAAAAAGTCAATGACTCCCCTCCGGCGTCGGACTCAGCAACCAAAAAGTGGTAAACACCACATCTTAAAGAGCCACGCATCCTCATTACTCCTCAGTACATCAGGAGATAAGTCACCAACAAAATGGCCCCCTTCAACCTCGAAAGCTGTGCCAGGCCAAACATCTTGGCCCTCCAGCCATATCGCTGCGCGCGAGAGCATGTTGCCCCTCCCCCGCATTAGAGCAACGACTAACTTTCCGCAGCGACTACAAGGATGACGGCACCAATATCCTTCTCGACGCAAATGAGAACGCGTACGGCCCTTCTCTGAGTGCGGACGTCGCAGGGAAGACTGCCAATGGTGTGGAGGTCGACTTGCTGGGCCTGCACCGTTATCCTGATCCTCACCAGGAGCCGTTGAAGCAGCAGCTCTGCGAGCTGCGAAACACCCACGCCCATACAGATAAGACGCTCAAGCCTGAGAATTTGTTTGTGGGTGTTGGTAGTGATGAGGCTATCGATGCCCTGCTGCGATGCTTCTGCGTTCCTGGAAAGGACCGCATCCTTACATGCCCGCCTACGTATGGCATGTATTCCGTGTCTGCACAGGTCAACGATGTAGCTCTCGTCAAAGTTCCCCTTTTAGAAGCCCCCACCTTCAGCATAGACGTTCCAGCTGTCATGGAAGCCCTGACAAAAGAGTCTAACATCAAACTTGTCTACCTTTGCTCGCCTGGAAACCCCACTGGTTCAGTCCTTGCAAAGTCCGACGTTCAGCAGATTCTAGATCACCCGACATGGAACGGCGTTGTCGTTCTCGACGAAGCATATATCGACTTTGCCCCCGAAGATGCTTCTCTGGCTGAATGGGTGACCGAGTTTCCTAACCTGGTCGTTATGCAAACCCTCTCCAAAGCCTTTGGTATGGCTGGCATCCGACTCGGTGCTGCATTCACATCGCCCCCGATTGCACGACTTCTCAACAGTCTCAAGGCCCCTTACAACATCTCCAGCCCTACAAGTGCCCTTGCGTCCTACGCTGTCTCCGAGAAGGGACTCGCTATTATGCGAGACCATCGTGCACGCCTCCTAGAGCAGCGTGATCGTCTTATCAAGGAACTTCCCAACATTCCCGGTGTCGGCCGTCTACGAGGTGGCACTGAAAGCAACTTTTTGCTTTACGAAATGCTTAACACTGCAAGCGAGCCGGATAACACTGTCGCGTTGGCCGTATATGAGAAGCTTGCTGAGGGTAAGGGTGTTGTTGTGCGATTCAGAGGCAAAGAGCACGGATGCCAAGGATGCCTACGAATTACAGTCGGCACGGACGCCGAGGTGACAAGATTTCTGGAGTCACTAAAGACGACGTTGGCTGAGGTGAGAGGCTCATAAACTGGAGCACCAAATAGGAAAAGGACGATAAAACGATGGCGTTCTACGTTAAATCCAGACCTTCTAGACGTAATCTCGTGGAATTAATAAAAGCAACGCTCAGAGTACGAGCGTTTTATACCGAAGTAGTCTCTCAGACCGGTTATCCAAATACCCGACGCCAGTTCCATTCTATATCTATAAGATCTAATAAAAATCCAACACCATTTTTAGGCCCATCCCAAGAACATCAGGACACTTCCAATACTGACAGAAGCCAGGACGAGATCCACTCGGGGGAGACTGGCAGCATCCTCACTCTTGGTAGGCTGAGCTGCAGTTGCTGATGATGTCTCTGATGAGGATGTTGGTGTACTCTGAATTTTGGACTCATTCTTTTTCATGGCAGCCCAGTCTGTGCTGCGGACAACCTTGACATCATCGCCCTTGAGCGGCGCAGGAGCATCACTTAGCAGCAGGCCCTGAACAGCTTCAAGAGCACACATTTGCTGCCCAAGACCGGGATTTCCATCAAAACCCGAGTTATACCATCGCATACCACACTCACGGCCAGACTTCCCTCCTGTGCATGTTTGGACAGCAGCCTTGGCCGATGGGAGGAGATGAGCATGGACATGCTCCTTCAAAGCGGGCTGCATCTGAATAGACAGGTACATGAAGCGTGACAGATAACCCTTAAAGGTGGACATGTCGTCGTTACATGTGTTGACGGTCTCGCAGGCAGCTTCGTACATGACGTTGGTCGCGTTGGGAAACGGCGAAAAGAACCAATCGGTGCCCTCTAGGAGACGCTTTGAGCGGTCGACCCATTCTGGCTTCTCAGTGTAGTTGGCGAGAACCGCCGCGCCATAAAGATATATACCGCTGGTGTAAGTAAAAGAATGGTATGTTGTCTTCTGGCAGTTGTCTTCTACACTGGCGCCGTCATAAACGTGATAATTGCGGTGATCGATGAAGCCCACTTCCCAGGACCAGTCCCAGATTTTAAGAGCCCAGTCGAGATATTTGTTATCGCCAGTGATACGAGCTAAACGTGCAGCGAGTTGGAAGAAACCGCCATTGCTGACCGAGTTTTTGTATGTCATGCCATTCGGGTTACTTGGGTAGATCTGCCACAAGAGGCCGCCACCACAAGCTGTTGTATTCCATCGACCCACAAGCTCGTTGAATACGTTGATGCTGATATCGAGCCACGATGGGAGGTCCTTGTTGGGCTGAGGGAAGTTTCGCTCAGCAGCGGAGAGGACGGCTGAGCCCCAGAAGAAGAGATCATCGTTACCCTCCTCGTCGGCATGCTCTGCAGGCATGTAGTCCTTACCAGTGCCGAGATTTGTAGGCCCCAGAAGAGCCTGGATGACCACATCGTTGTAACTGTAATCTCCGGTAAGGTGGTAGTAGTCGAGCATGACACCCCATAGGGCACCAGCTACCCACCAGTAGTATGGATCTTGAAGGTCGCCGAGATCTTTGGGTACTGATGATGTGTTGCCGCTGTAGTACTTCATGGCATCGAAGGCGAGGGTGCCTGCTACATCTCGGATTGAATCTGAAATGGTTAGTGAACCGGAACACCACTTGACTGCAGGACATACCTGGATTTGCAGTGTCGAGTGAACTGGGAGGCGTTTTGGTAGCAATGGCTACAGAAGCCAAACTGGCCAAGGCGAAGAACTTCATGATGTGTCTATTGTCGATGATGGGTATGGTGTATGGTGTCTATGTGAATATGCTTAAGATTCTTGATCGCTCAGCGATAGTCTTCTCCTGGAAGATTGATTCAAGTCTTTTTTGGTGCTGGCAGTAAGTTGATAGTTTTCATAGGTCCGATAATGAGTGTAAGTTCAAGGCAGTTAATGGCAAGCGATATGGAATGAGCGTCTTATTATTCGAGAAAGAGCGAGGCGTTCAAGTCAAACAAATCAAGCTACCACAAGGTACGAGAGAAAATCAGGCGTAAAAGTTGAGCACGCCTTCGGGGGCATGAAAAGTAAGATAAGAAGAAATAATAAACGAAGGAGGGGCCACCGAAAGATAAAAATACAATCACAGCTGAGAAGGAACGGGAATACGAGAACGCAATGAGCTAAAGCTGAAGCTCCAAAGACGTTCGTTCTTTTCAGGCTGGACTGGGCTAGTCCAAAACGTTGATAGACGACGGGGGCTACAGAGTAGTCTAGGTATTAATACATGATACCCTTGCTTGGCGGACTGTTTTCAGAGTTAGACACACAGGGAGGATATCCTGAGGAACGAATGACGAACCGTGCTGGGTTCATGCGTAGACTAAGACTTTAGCTGATGAGCCTCAGACAAAGTCAACCGTTGAATGATGACCTCTACATTCTATGGAGAATGGGTTACCGAGCTCTCCCCGCAGACGGACATGACAAGGAACACAACCCCTGAAGGCCCTGCTCTCGGCGATCAGCCGTTGATTGTGGCCAGTAGAACATGCTATCATCTTGGTGTTACAGATACAAAGAACCGGGCTGTTTCGACTGGCCGCGCGGGTAGAAGATTGCCAGTCACCAAACCAGAGTTTTTGTTTCCCAGGAATATGAATCTAGTGCAAGGTACTGTAGGATCCAGGGGTAAAGGCCACTAAACCTTAGCTGACAGATACCTCTGCGGAGGAGATTGGTGGGCGTCAAAAGTTGGAGGAAGAGGCTTGGCGCCACTATGTTCATGCCCTGACTAGAAGACTTCGGGGATTATCGAAAGGCATTGAAGGTTGATGCTCTTCTGGGAGACGAGGCGAAATAGGACCGGTTCTTCTAGAAAGTGATGTCCTCTGCTGCGTAACCGTGCATCATCCAAACTCGAGCAACACAAACTCAATATCCTTGCCCATCAACTGTGCATTAACGTTACGGTCCTCATCTCCACTCCCCCACCCCCAGCAACCTTTCTTTTCCTGCCCTTGCATGGGCTTTTGCAAAAATGATCGTCTCAAAGCCTGACTCACTGACGAAATGCGATGCTCAAAAAAGGAGATCTTTGAAACACGAAACAACGCTGGACGGTTCTCTCGTCTGATCTTGATTGCAGCGTTTCCGACTTTGCCGTGTTATCATGCGGCACTTTTTTCAACTCAGACACGTGGAAATTCTTGAAAGTCGCATTCTTAGAGGACTCGAAGGAAAAGCAACTGTAAAGTCAGCCTAGGTCTGTGCATCGTTTACGAGATTCGGGTCGGTTCCGACGTTGCAAGAAGCTTGAGGCCAAGCTTCTTGTCTTACATGTGGAGATGCAGGCGGAATTTAAGATCTTTACACTCTTGGTGGCCGCAGAAAACTCGGGACTTCATTCCTAAGTGATAAAAATATCTAGGTAGATTTAAAAGATCTCAGGAAAATTCAGCATAAACCTGGCGGGCTCTTGTACATATTTATTTCTGTCCCCTGGTTTAGCATCTCAAGTCTTCTGGCAACCCAAGGGCACTCTTTTGTAGGTTTTGTTGGACGAGAGCACTGTTTCCCATGTCTCGGAACCTTGAAATTGCTAAAATGCAGTCTTCGTATGGTTATGAAGCTACCGGAGCGTGGCCGGATGTTGTCTTCCTTTTGAGCCTCCTTGCAAGCCCGTCAGCAGTGTTAATTAGCTGTCTCGCTGTGCCACAGTCTTATCTTAGTGAGACCACCTCCGGTGCAGTTCTGGATCAGGTCTCAGAACCAGGGACCGGCCGCTCCTCACTCAGATCAAGTTATTCTAAATTTATTGAGCCCGAGAGGCAGAGTTTTGGGCGTCCATAAGCTCGCTCTCTCCTTCAGATGATACCATTGTTGGCTGAAAACATTAATGAGCAAGGCATACTCTTGCGGCCACGTATAAACACGAGATACTACAGCGCGTCGGCCTTTACGGTTCAAGACACGGCTGGTCGCCATGTCTCTTAAACATCTTATCCCTTCTCTCCGCCATTTCCCGTTCTTCGCCTCCATTCCCAGCGCCGCGTAATCATCAAGAAATGCATGTGTTGAAAATTAAATAGTAAACACAAAATCACAGCATCAACTAAAACGCATCTGAATATTTCGACGGAGTTATACAATTGTGTTCATACTTATGGATTTCTGGAGCATCCAGTTGCTCGTGAATGACAGATCGCTATACAGTAAACAGTCAAATCTCGCAGGGCTGAGAGAATGGCTGGTTTGGTTTGAAGTCTGCAGCGAGAAGTGGAAGGAAGGAACATCACGACTTCCGTCTTTGCCAACAAATCTCAACGCAAGGTCCGGGCCGCTGAGCTTAAATTAAGCGACACGTGGCCGAAAGAGGAAATCGCCAAAACCAACCTCACCTGAGTTGGTGACATGAGAACATGAGCAAAAGGATATAATTCCGATGATGAATGGAGCTTCTCCAGAGTCGTTGTGTTGTATCAAGCAAGCTCGCTTAAAATTTGGACCAGATCGTAGTGATAAACTAACACGTCAGCTCAGGTATGGCGTACCAGCAATATGTATGCCAACGCAAATATATCGATTAAATGATCAATTTCCTCTGACAACTCGTGGCAGCTATCTATCTATAGTGAGAAGCATCTGAATAATATTGTATGTATCAACTTTCGTTGAGGCGAGCGGGAACGCAGCCAGCAATGCTGTTCATTGTGTAACCAGTTCACCATGAAAGTTCAAGACGTGATATCTCAACACTTCTGCAGCGCAACTGGAATTTGCAAAAGACAGAACCCAACTACTAACTCGTGTCTATCTTGTCATGCCAAAACCGTCTCCGTAGGTGCAAAATTGAATACGTGATTCATCATTGAAGTTTCATGTAATAGAATACGTTTGGAACGCAAAAATGAAACTGTAACGACACAGGCAGGATTTGAACCTACGAACGCGAACGTAATAGATGTCTAGAACCTCTTGGAGGCCCGTTCAAGTCTATCGCCTTAACCACTCGGCCACTGTGCCTTGTTTTGTTGATGGAGGTAGGATCGACTATGCTTGATCATGAGGCATTTTTCGTCCGTCTGTGCTGAAAGTGGATACTCTCATCTTAAGCACAAAATCTCCACAATTCTCTGAACCTTAAACCCAATGTAGAAATCCAAAAATTGAGATCGCAATTGCACATTTCCATTATACAGTGATGTGACTGTCACTCTGAATTTTCGATAGCATTGCTTGCTGGAAGCCTCTGAGAATATGTCGTCTGACTTCTTCGGTCACTCCTTCATCGATGCTGTTCTTCAGAAGCAAGGATCTTTCTTGAAAAAAGCTTATGCCGATACTGGCCATAGTCGGCTTGTCCACACCACCTGAGACACGCGAAAGTTCAACCACATCAACAACTTTCAACTCGTCAATGTTGTTCCAAAAGTCACCAATGAGCTTCACTCAAGCTGAATTATCAAGAGAACTTGTAAGAATGTGCAAATGTTGTCATTTCGGCACGTGTCACGGCCGGCCGGGATTCCGGGACCGGAAAAGTGGAGCCTGCTTTTACGGTCGTGAGAGCATCCGGCCGTACATGAAGGACGGGACTAGGACAGAACTCTTTTCTTCCCCTTGAAGATTTCTAACTTAGCATTTCCACACCCGATTCCACTGAAATTTCAAGCTCAACTCTCCATAGTCGAACATGGCCCTCGCCTGATGATAACATCCCGAAGAAGCAACTCTAATTCACCTGACGCGATTCCTGTATATGCCTTTATACAAATGCAGGAGGCCACTTGCTATATAAATAGACAGTGTTCCCCGCGATATGCCTTAGCCTTGCTGTGAGGATTTGCCATATTTTGGTCCTGTCATGTAATGGTCACCCGATGTCATTGTGTCGAATAGACTTCTGTTGGAAACACCCAGATATGCATGAACCGGCATCTACCATCGGCTACAGGATAGTATCAAAACATAAACCCAATACTTCGAGGAATCAGAACCCCCTGAATCCATCGCCATACCGTTACTCAACAGACCTTAGGCTCGTCTTAGGACAATATTACTCTGGCTCGTCAAATTTGCTATCATTTTTGGCTAATCTTAGCTAATATGAGAGCATAATGTATTAAAAATGATCAAAATTTAACAAAGAAAATTGCTCGCTTGCTCCCGAAACCCATCATAAATCGTGTTCTCATTAATAAACGGACCAGTTCTTAAAGAGTCCAACCAACCACTAAAGTGCAACAAGCAGCAAGTAAAGCAGCCTTGAAGGAGACGCTCAAACTTACTCCAGCATTATCGCCGTTTGTAGCTATCGGCATGGACACGAAGTCCGTCGGTGTACTCGAGACTGCGGTAACAGGGTCCGGGTCATGGGGCAGTTCGCCCATTGTCAGGACACCCCATTCTACTTCGCTGCCGGAATAAGTTGATGTCCAGGTCACTTCGGTTGGACCTGTGTGCACGCCATCGTTATAGCCCTCGTTGAAACTAGAGTATCCGGAACAAGTGGCCCTTGTCGTGCCTTGTAGGTTGCACTCTAGATTTGCGGTGCTGCACCATGTTAGCATTGGTATGTCGTAGGTACACAGAGAACATACAGTCTTGAGGTGTGCGTGCCATGGAACCGAACAGTATCAGGTCCTTCGACTAAAACGAAAGGGAACTCAAGGGATAAATCACACTCTGGAGGGTCTGAGTCGTCTGTATCTGGACAGAATATTGTGTATGTTGTTTCCTTAGCTTCCGCATCCTGGTGTGTGTTAGCAATCATGATGGAGTTTGCAAAGAATGTCGACTCACGCTTGAGATGACGCTACCGCGCACAAGAGACCACGAGTCTTCGTCGTAATAGGGCAGATAAATAGGCGCTGTCGTTACAGCAGGCGGTTCCTCACTAGCACATGCGAAGCTATTCGCAGCCAACAACGCCAGCCAAATTGACTTGGAGCGTGGGGACATGATTGACTAGCTCGTCGCGCAGGGATAAAAAGAGTTTGTAGAGGCCAGTCTAGCCAATCAGAGCTTGTGGAAATGCAGGGCGATGATCGCGGTTGCAAAGATGCGCGCGCAAACAAGGGTTATCGTCAAGGTATGCGCAGACAAGTCAAGACAAGAACTAGTCGAGCGCGAAATGATGACCTTTTTAAAAGCTCCCTTTTCTCAAGAAACCGGGATGGGAGGGGCCAAAGGCCAGCCAAGCATCAGCGGAGAGTGCCAAGGTCTGGGCGGCCGAGGTTGAGGTTGTGAGCTAAGAGATGGTGATGAAATTTGGGTATGAGTAAAATGTCGACGAAACAGGAGAGCGTTAGAAGAGCTGGATATAAAAAGAACGAAGCATTTGAATTAGAAACGATGACACTTTGATATATTCATCCGGAAATCGGCTACAGGAAATGTCAGACGGACAAATTTATCATGACACGCCAAGACTGAGCTTTGTCTGGAATCCGATGCCAAGACGGACACTGAGTGCCAAGAATGACCCAATTTTGTGGCATCCCAGCAAACGTTGCATTTAACCAATATCAAATTCTACAATAGTACTGTAAATGGAAACTATTTATCGAGCTAAAATCTCGAAAATCACCCAGAAAACACATCGGGAGTTTCTATATTGTGAAAGGATTCTGTCATATTGGCTAAATTCTGCTGTTGCGGCCGCTAACCTTCAATTTCGTCCTAATACTGATGCAAGGTTGCCGGCAGATCGAATATGGTCTTTCCGGGCAATCTTTCATGTATGAAGATGCAGAAACAAAATTGTTTTCTAGTACCTATCCAACAGCTCTCAGCTGAAAGTTACCCTTAGCCTGTCCGACAGCATTGCAATTTGTCAAGCCCCCATGCAACAATCGCCGTCATATCAAGGGTTGAAGTTCGACTGCCCAGAAACAAAGTATGGGAACGGCTCAGATGTTGGGAGCCTAATGCTGTGCGACAGATGTACGATCTATTACTGAGGGGCGGAGTACTGTCTTACCAAGTGACGTGTTATTTCCACGTACTTGTAAGTACAATAACTACAAGCAACGAATAAGGATAGCATCAATAATTTAGTTTTTTCTTTTTATAAACGCGAGCATGAACTACTGGCGGTGGGGATCGAGCTGTACAAGTTTTCGCCGCCCACATCAACGTGACGAACCCTACTGAAGCCGTCATGCTAATGATGCATTTAGACACGGGCAGGGGGCTCGCCGTCCTTGATCTTCCTGGCACCGTACTTCTCGAGACGGATAACCTAGATGGCAATGAAGCCAGATGTGTCTTGAGGAGTCCAGTTCATGTCCAGAGTATCGATGCTGCTCTCATCGGCAGAGTAGAGGTTAGAGGTCTCGCTGGACCGTCCAACGATATACGCGCAGCTTGTAGGCTACAAGGTTCACTTTGCCCTCGACTTGGCGCTGTGAGAACTTGATAGCATGCTCAACGAGCTCACGCTCAGGGCTGAAGTACATGCCTCTTACAGGAGTGAGATTACGGCGCTATATGGGAGAGTGTGTGAGGATAACTGACCGTTGTAAATGGCGGCTGACCAGTCTTGAGACAGACGGTCGCGGATGGATCAAACCTTGGAGTCGAGGACCATTCCTTCAAGGTCGATGGTGTCACTGGGAGCACCCCTGTCGATTAAAGCCATTGAGACCTGAAGGTCTATTCGGAGATTTATTCATTCGACGGTGGTTATGGCCGTTATTGGAAGGTCTAAACCCCAGTTTGGGTTGTTGTTAGGTTAGAGGATCCAATATCTACGCCTATGCTGCTACATAAGAAAGACTAGTATTGGATTTCTGTGTTACCGTCCTACAACGGAAGCAGAACTCAGCCTTGATGGGAGTAGGGCAAAGTGATGATCAACAACTCGACTATCACAACATCGATTGCTTAATACCAAACGCAGAGTTCGATTCTTATTGAAGGCTTTAGTAAAAAGTTTCTTCTTCTTATTGATCCTGCTCTCCTTCTTGCCTGGCGGAAGGTCGATGACTTACGGTTTGTTCTTTATCAAGGCAATATGCCTGGTGTTAGGACACAGAGAATCCCAAGGTTATGTAGAGAATGTCATTTTCCTAGTATCATGAATGTTTGACAGACAGCATTTGAGCATGTCTACGTTGCCTTCTAGTGACAGTAGCTTCGCATTGTCTTGAGTTGAGAAGGGAAGGGACAGCATTCACCTAGATCAGCTCCTAGCGCTATCTCGTATATCGATGATGTCCCTCCCAAAACACTGAGTTTTGTGATTATTCCTTTTGCTACACGAAAATACCCTAGGATAGTTGTTCGTTTGAGCCATTGTCTTTTGTACAGCTACAAAATTAACATCCCGGCACCAATAGTTCTGGATCCAGATCTCTGTCTCATGTCATGTAGTTGCTTTGTGCCTCGCTGAGCTCAATGCCTCCTCTCCCATTGACACAAACGACCCATTTCAAGGACCATATAAATGTATAATGGTGTTTGATCTATCAAATTTTCAACTCAATACCGCTATAGTGGCGCTCCGGTGCCCTATAGAACCAAACAGGCCCATCGCCTCAAGGGTATCTTCACAATCTTCCTTGAGTGAAACATCTCTGCGACAACTTCAATATCAGGATACTTGAATGGTACGAGAGCCTGCTTCCCATTGACGAAGAAAGTTCACAGATATGCCACCCAGTGGCTGGGGAGCTTTCTGTTTCTCACTGCTACAAGGTTAGCCATGCTACAGTTCCTTTCAGAAAATAAGTCAAAACTTCAGGCAACATCTTAAAGATTGTAGGTTATAAACTGGTCTATCACTAAATTAAAGAGGTGATTTGATCTGGAGAAAATGTTAGGCAGCCTCACAAGGATGACTCTTAGCGAGAGGCTCTAATTGCACTTCGCCTGTTCCTTGACTCTTATCAACATCATGGGTCCCGTTCAAGAGCTAGGATCTAGCAGTGGTCTAACAGGCGCCACCCCCGTAAAACTAACTCGATTCAATCAATGCTTCACCAGAAGGATCAATAGTCCCAACGGCTTTGTCAATGACAGACGCCATTTCTACGCCAAATACGAAAGTAAGCTTCCCCCCACAATATCTCATCTGGGTGTCACTGACACAGTCATTGACTTCAATATATTTAACTTTTCTCTATTGAACATCACCCGCGCATCTTCTCCAATTTTCTCCCGCCCTACGAGGCCCGAGTGGGTGGTACCAAGGCGGATACTCGGAACATGGGCCGTTTTAATCTCCTTTCTAAGTCCGAAATAAGGCATCGGAGTGTTTGATTCGAGCATAGCGCTGTCGTTAAGCAGCCGCCGAAGGATTCAATCAATCAAAGGAACCGGTGAGTCTCTTAACGCTTTGAAACTAGTTGAATAGGGGAGGCTCTTTTTTCTTAAAGTCTCCGTGCATCGTCGTTTTCTTTAGTCGACCGTCGTTCGTTCAGCATTCAACCCAATACACTCATTCATTTGCTGCACAGTCACTCTTTAACAATACTCACAATGGCTCGATCTCTTGCTCTTCTTGCTGGTGCCCTCGCCACTGTTGCGGCCCAGACTACCACCGTTGAATTCCTCCTCCCCATGTTCGATCCTCAGCCTCTCGATGGCTCTGTTGTTGCCGTCAAGGGCGGCGCGACTACTCTTGCTATCCACTGCCCTGATGCGAAGGCGACAAACTGCGGCCTTGCCGGCACCAGCACCATTGTCGGTGGCCCCTCTACCATTGAGTACTCTTACACCATGCATCCTGAGGTTGATGGATTCGATGGCGGTGAAATGTAAGCATCATATGCACAAGTTTCGTGACTTCAATGCCTGACAAATCACCAGTAAGCAAAACATGGGTTGCGTCCTGGACCCCAAGAAGGATGTCGCTACCTGTTCCGTCCACCAAGTTGCAGTCCTCTCTGGTATCACCGATGTCACATCCATGACTGATAGTGTGAGTGGCTACAAGTCGCTTCTCATGCCCATCACTGTTACCGCTGGCGTCAACAAGCTCAACGGCAACGACGATGCTTCCGCTACCGAGGTCGCTGGCTCTGAGGCTACTTCTGCCGATAAGCCCAAGGACACTGGAGCCAAGGCCACTGATGCTGCCGACGCTACTACTGCTTCTTCTGATGCTGCTGCCACTCCTGTGAGCTCCGACAATGCTGCTGGTCCTATGATTACCCAGAATGCTATTCTGGCTGCGGCTGCTGTTGTTGGTGGTGCTGCTATGTTGTTGTAGATGTGAGCATGTGGTTTGGACAAAGGGTTTGTGGTAATGATGCCTAATTAAACATTTATTAATTCGGGGCCAAATTATGAATGACATGCAATGTCAATCTAGTGACAATCGATCGACGAAGTAAGGTTTCGGTAATCAGCGCCACGCTATAACACTATTAACATTAGCTCCATCCTGGCAGCCAGCCACGCATGTCACGTATTGGACAATGGATACTGAGGATGGCACATGTTGAGTCACGGTTGATCAGCTTGAACGTAGTATGAGCCTCTTGGTATTTGGGCTAAAACAGCAACACTTCCAAATGGTAACAATAAGACTGAGTCTACCAATAACCGCCATGATAAAGCAAGCATTATGCATAACATCTCAATAAAGAATGAGCAGTCTGTGAACAACACGGGGATGCAAAAAGACAAAAAGCAAAGGGTATCACGTATGCGTACGAGATGTTCAAGGTCAACTCAGTTGCGGTCCTCTCGTCCATCAAGCCAACTGGTACACTGGATGCAGCGAATAGACTAGATAGTGTTAGTCGCAAGCCCATCTTGAGATTCGACCGTCTCACCTTTTCGTTGATGCGCTGTCTGCAGTACTTGCACTTCTTTGTGTGCTTGATGATGGGTTCGGATGAAGCAAGCTGCCACAAGTGCGCGAGTCCATAGAGAGCGATGCCCAGCACAAGAAAGGATATCATTTGGCCAACAAAAGATCTATCAGCTGTGAGTTTGGATATCCCGAAGACTTTGACAATGCCTTACCCATATGCTAGGACAACGGCACCGTCCTCTTGCGCCTGATGAAGGGTGTTGTAGCCGGTTGTCTTATTGTAGTTTGGTCCCTTTTGCAGAACGGCAAACTTCTCCTCCATGTTTCTGTTGAGCGGGAGGAGAATCGAGATAGGTGGCATTAATACATCGCTCACGAAAGACTTTACTAGGTCTGTGAAAGCGGCTGCAAGACTATCCAGTGTGTTAGTCGCCTTCACCGCAAGTTCAGGAGACTTCATACATAAAACCAACGGCGATCTTAAGGATATCATCTTGAAACGCAAAGTCGACGAAGCCTTCCCAGAAGCGCTTAACTCTCTTGTGGCCTCGGCCAAGCAGGGACTCTGACTCTCCCGAGCCAGACTCCTCATCGTGAGATCTGCCGGGCATGATGCGATAGTTTGGACGTGATGTTCTCCAAAGGCCAGACAGCCAGGACATGGGCGAGGAGTCAAATGACCAAGCGTTGTTTGTGTTCGGATAACCTGAAAGCTACCAATGCTATAATGGCTTGGCCGTGGAAGCTAGAATCAAGGACCAGGTGCCGAAGTGACACGCGCTACACGCGGTTGTTGGTTGATGCCTGTGACGTCATGTGTACTCAACCGCACTTACAGGGTAACTGACCGGCTTACACCAATTACCACCGTATAGATCAATCATCTTTCCGTATATGTGAGTATATTCAATGAATTAACACTTAATGAGTAGAATAAGTAGAACATGATAAGCCGTATATGGGTTGCTCAGTGCTTCGAAGGGCCTTTCTCGAAACTAAACATGACTGGCGCTCGTTGCGAAACAAGCAACCTCGTGAGACTACAGGTACTCATACAGCGAGCAATTGGGAGAGCCTCAGAATAGTTGTACGAGCAGGGCTAGAGCTTTACGGTAATACTTCTTACATCCTGGTACCTTGTGTATCAAACCTTCTCGCGAACCTGAGAGAATCACCCGATATAGGACTTATCATCAGTTTGACATAGCACAGCATAATCTGACTGAGAGAAACAAACACGTCGGAACAGAGATTAGATAGACCAGCTATCACATTATTATCTGACTATCTAGATATGCCAATCTTCTGGTTTGTATAAAAAAGTCCAAGGAGGGAATCATTCTGAAACTGCAAAAGGAAAGTAAAAACACTTTGGTATCATAGTCGCGCCCAATCTGGTTAACAAAAAACCAATCATCAGTCTAGTCATCGTGTCTCATCAAATCTAGTAGCTCCCCTTTCGTGGCTTCCACTGTCTCTTCCTCTCGCGTCGCATAAGGCACAAGTGCATGACCCAGTAGATAGCAGCGATAATCATGAGAGCAGAAGCAGCCCAGGTCAACGCCAGGAACTTATTTCCAACAGACGCCGACAGTCCAACATCATCGCCGACGTCGTTGATCTTGTTCACACCCTTCTTGCCAGCCACAGTGACGAGAATGCTGGCGATAAGGAGCACAAGTGCGGCGAGCCCCGAAAGAATGACGTTGACGGCGTTGACGCCGCGACGAGCGAAGAGGAAGAATGCGCCGGCGCTCGCGACCATGGCGAGGCCGGAGAAACCCACTGCGAGGACGTAGAAGACGAATGTAACGAGGAGAGCCGTGTTGAGAAGATCGATAGAATCTTGGATGTCATCGGGCCAGTTAATGTCAGCAAGATTCAGCTTGAAGGGGCCGACTTCGAGTTGCTTGTCGAGCATCTCGGTGAGGTTGAAGCGTTCTACAAAGGTTAGAACTTGTTGCCAATCGACGATAGGGTTATACTCACTCTCGGGGGCAGAGTTGGTGCAGTTTGTAACATTATATCCAGCACCAGGGCTCGTGGCATTGGGCTTGTACTGTCCATCACATGTGGCCATGACATGAATGGAGTACCACTCCGAAATACCAATAGTGTCGGCCAGCTTGTCTGCAACATCGCCAGTGATGTCGTTGATCTTTCCCTTGACATCGTCCTTAACTTCGTTCCACTTGTCGGTGACCTTGCCAAAGAAGCCATCATCTTCATCGTTGTCATTAGAAGAAGCGTCGCTGTCAGTGTCGAGAACGTTATGGCCAATCATTGAAGTGTTGAGCTAAATTGTCAGCTTGAGTTTTTGAGAGTTTGCTTCAAACCTACCCGTGCAACAGAGTATTCTTCCATAAACCCTTCCTTGTGACCAGCAAAAAGGCAGAGCATTGAGAGGATAAAGGCCACCATGGACAACACCAGGGGCAAGAGGACGAAGAACCTCGATAACATGGTTACGGCGTATGATACTGCAAAAGCGGAGTGTCTTCAAGTTGTAGGGATACGAAAATCAAACAATTCAAAGGAATGTCCAGTAGACACCGAAGAAGTCGTGTTGACCTTGCGGGTGGTGTAGTGAAATAAATACTTCGCTAGTACTGAGACCCTGTCCGTCAATGATGCAAACTGCGACAGCGCATAACCAAGGATGATTCGCGCACAGAGCTTCAGAAGAGTCTACCAAGCCAAGCTAAAAAGAGCACAAACGCCAGAGATTCAGAACAAGCTCAAGGCCGTGTTCATGAGCGCATCGCCGTGCAAATCATGACCCCAAACAACGGCCAAATCCGGAACAGACCAATCATACATGGAGCGCTTGCGTCACTGGCTGGACTGCTTCTCTTGTGTCTTTTCTTGGCTGGGGATTCTTTGAGGGTTGCATGGCTGGGAAAACCGGTTGTACAGGGGCCGGGGCTGGGATGGACGTCAGCCACTTGATCAATCGACAGTGGACGCGTGTGAAACAAAAGGGGACAGGGATTAAGAATTGGGTCTGCTTAATCATTGTTTCTATGTTTGTTCTATATCTCGTGAAAGAGGCCTCTTTCTCGTATTTGATGCATTGTTGATGGTGGACCGTTATGGGTCAGTTGACTGAATCGAAGATGGACAAGGACCCTGAATATCTTCATTAGAGTTGTGCATAGTGTAAGCGGGTGAGGCTTGCCGATAGCCCCGCCGAGATGTGATTCACTGCCTCGCTTCTTTGGTGCTTGCAAGAGTGAAAGACTCTGATGAACCGACAAACCCGTGATACTTAGTCTGCTCGGACCAGTCTTCCTTTCTTCTGGCGCTCAATGCCGATGATGCTGAGAGATTGTCCTTCAACCGTGGTCTTCCAACCTTGTTATTCTGACTATCCTCCTTCACCCAGCATCCAAGAGCGGGTCATCCGCTCATCTATCCGGTCGGCTTCCGTAGCTCAGTTGGTTAGAGCGTCGTACTAATACTTCAATCCGAGTGTTCGGTAATGCGAAGGTCTCAGGTTCAAGCCCTGGCGGGAGCAATCCCAACGCCTTCCGGATGTTTTTTTTTGTCGGGTTTTGCGATTCTCGAAGAGTGGTTGTGGTCGTGATGTTGACTGGTGATGAAGTGGCTGGTGTTGAGTAACGAATAGACACGTAGTGTATGTAACAGGGTGAGCAGGCATGAACCAGTTGTTACTTTGACTTGTTTCTTGGTCTACTACTAGGATGATCGAGTCTGTCATACTGAACACCAGGCCAAAGACAATCCTGATCCCAATTGCTTCGACCTCAAGGCTCCAGTTAACACTTAGCATTGTAAGCTCGACTACGCAGGCGATTCCTCTACAAGAACATATTCTTATGGGCTCACTTGATTAAGCTACAGCACTATACTCAATTTTAGTCAATTTTCTAGACGCTGAACTCAGAGTCGTACCATCAAATGAGTTTCCCTGACCCAAGAATGCGTCGTCAACTATTGATGATCCACGTTGCCAACGACCCACGTATGACGAGTACAGAGCCTAAATAAAGATGAAAAAAATGTCGCACAACTTCAACAGAGGTTAGAGACGTAGATTATCTCCATTGAAGCTGATGAATGACTCGTTTTCTTCTAGCTCTTCTTCCACCACTTAGAGTAGTTTCTCAACGTCTGATTTCCAGCCATATTTCCAGCCTCAAACTTTGCTGCTCAAAGGATAACTAGGCAATAAAGTGAAGCTTATTTTTAATCCAGGTCACTTTGCCTGTAGACTTGCGCTGTAATACTACCATCGGTATCCCTGCTTGGATCGATATTGAATCTTAGAGATTGAGTGGTAATGTTTCAGGAGCCGCTGTCAAGATCTTAGCTAAAGCCAAGACACGGTTATGCTCCCCGGAATCTTCTTCCCGGGGTAACTGACAAGGTTGCTATTTTGGGTTGTCTCATCACCATTCTCTGGGGTTACTTCCATTCCAGACTTCAAAGTCATCTCTGTAACTAATTGCCTCGATTTTTCTTCTAGCCGTTTCTTTTGTCGTTAGCAACGGCCAACGGCTATCGGCAAAATGCGCATCCTTGGCCCGAATTGACTTTGCATGGCGTCCTTCGATCGAAAGTCTACGAAGCCGAATCCACACTTAAACAAACTTCCTCACACTGGCTGCCTCGATGCTTAACCACGTATTTCACGCTATGAACTCGCTACGAACACAGTGTAAGGGAGTGACACGTCCTGATCTTTCTTTTATCCCGCGAGTGGCGTGTTAGACTTTTTATCGACGACTGATCGGGAAACTGATGAGGGCACATCAACAACTGACGGGCCGACGGAGTGACTTGAGATGGACCTATGTTGCCACTGGTTTGCTCAGTGCATTCGTAAGTGCCCTTGTATTCTTGGAGTAACTATGCAAGTTGAGTGAAGAGTCTGCCTCGATCGGGCCTCGAATTGGCTCGGATGCGTGCGTGTGTGCGTGTACCTGCATGAGTACGTAGAAGCATTCATCTTCGACGTGTCTTCGATCTAGTTGTGGTTCACCTTCTTAAGACAATCTCATTTCCGTCTCTCTTCTCTTTCCTGTCCCTCTTCCATATTCCTTTCTTGTACTTTTCTCTCTTTCCTAAGGACATACTCTCGTTACTATAGTCCAGAGTTTCTTGTATTTGCGTTACACTATTGCCATACTATCAGTCACAATGCCTTCCATCAACAGTCTCCTCACAATGGCCCTCGCAGGCTCGGCCAGCGCTGCGTTCCAGGGTTTCAACTATGGCGCGACCTTCACAGATGGCAGAGTGAAGGCTCAGTCCGATTTTGAGAACGAGTTCAAGACCGCCGCTGGCCTCGAGGGCACCAGTGGTGCCTTCACCAGCGCTCGCCTCTACACCATGATCCAGGGTGGCTCAATCAACCAGCCCATCTCTGCTATTCCTGCTGCTATCAAGACCAAGACCAGCCTGCTCTTTGGTCTCTGGGCTTCTGGTGACGGCTTCGCCAACGAGATCGCCGCTCTTAAGAACACTGTCGATCAATACTGTGGACAACTCGATGACCTTGTCGCTGGTATTTCTGTTGGAAATGAGGATCTCTACCGTATCTCTCCCACTGGTATCAAGGCCAATGAGAACCCTGGTACCAACCCTGACGTCCTGGTCGACTACATCAAGCAGACTCGTGCTGCTATCAAGGGTACTTGCCTTGAGTCTGTCCCCATCGGCCACGTCGATACATGGACTGCATATGCCAATGCTTCCAACAATGCTGTCATTGAGGCCTGTGACTGGCTTGGCATGGATGCTTATCCCTACTTCGAGGATACCAAGAACAACCCCATCTCAGAGGGTGCAAACCTCTTTAAGGCTGCCTGGAATGAGGTCAAGGCTGTTGCTAAGGGCAAGGAGATATGGGTCACTGAGACCGGATGGCCCGTCAGTGGCAAGACATATGGCAAGGCCGTTCCCTCTACCAAGAATGCTCGCACCTTCTACGAGGATGTCGGTTGCCCTATGTTTGGAGATATCAATGTCTGGTGGTACACACTCCAGGACTCTGCTCCTCAGACCCCTAACCCCAGCTTTGGCGTCATTGGTACCGAGTTGACCGAGAAGCCCCTTTACGACCTCAGCTGTGATGAGAATAGCAAGAAGGGAACTCTGGTTAGCCGCAGCAACGATGCGTCTGGCAACGTTGAGCACCGCTTCGTCAGCCCTTCTTTCGCAACTGGTAACTATACCAATGGAACTGTGCCTGTCGTGCCTGGCACTCCCACTTCTCTTGTGCCAACTCCCTCTTCTACCTCCGGCAACGGCGGTTCTGCCGCAACTCCTTTGCCCGGCAGCGGTGCTCAGCAGCTCAACTCAATGGGTGCTGCTGCTGTCGCATTCCTTCTTGCCGCTGCTCTGTTGTAAGCGGGAATTTTATGATTAAGTTATGATTTCTCGGATATAGAATCGGAATTGGTAATGGGCATTGGGACAGGACATACACAAGGCGCACCTGAGTACATACATATGAGCACATGATTTAACAATGAGTCGACATGTGTATACGATGAGAATTGAATAATATGAGTTCTAAAATCTCGAGGCATCGGTCGATTGTGACATTCGATGAGTAAGTTGATAGCGAGAAAAGGTGAGGGGAGCTGAGTTTTGTCTAATGGAGCTCATAAAGGAATTATACCCGACGTAGTTACGGAAAAGATATCAATATGAGATGCCCGTCTATAAAGAGAAGAACAGCTATTTGACACAAGGAATACGATTTATTTTTTTTGTGGTATTCTATGCCTTATATCTTACGCAATAAAAGAGTCAATCTAGGGGAAACTTTGGATGCGTATCCTAAGGGAGAAAAAAGACTTAGGTAAATTTAGTGTCCATTTAGTAGACCTTAGACTAGTTATTTTCCGCAGCTCATCTCAAAGTTAAGATATTCCAAATTTCAGCTGCTTGTCTGTCGTCTTGTCGGCAAGCTTCTCTGCCTGCCTGTTCTGGGCCTTGGTCTTGTTCTTCTTGTTCTCGACTCGGCCGTTCACCTGTATATATGAGTTAGTAACTTAAGTTACTAAACATCTGGCAAAGGTAGAACTTACGACGCGGAAGGTACAGTTGTTTGGGGTCATGCCCCCCCCTCCCGCTGATGATGGTTACTGTACTAGCCAAGATTAATCAGTATGCACAATTTGCACAAATGGGATAAGTACTTACGGACGTTCTTGCAGGTGTCAACGGTGTGGTTGGCCTTTTTGAACCTTTAACAGTGTAATTTCATCACGAACATTGATGATGGATACCTCCTAACTGCTTCCCAGCTGCATCAGCCTTCTCAGTGGCTACAAGGAGATAGGGGTATAACATGCGTAATTGATCAGGCCTTATCTGAGTCGATTTCTCGAACAGAACCTACTAGGTAGCTTAGGGTACCTTAGATACCCAGGTTAAGTATATATCAGGGAGCCTGGCGATGTCTTGTCCGTTGCTCGTAAGTTAGAACTGTAAGTGACACCACCGTCCCTTGAACTTCAATGTAACATGACTTCATGACAATTTAAACTCACGCGGGGATTGATATAGCAAAATCTTTCGTACTTTCTATCTACTTTTCCATAGAAGCACTAAATGTACGTGTAGAACGCGGCACTGCTCGTGTCATATAGCCTCAACTATCAAGGCAACATCCCCCAGTTGTGACGACAATGAATATCCATAGTTGAGGGTGAATTAGTACACTTTGTATAGAACAGCATACCTACATAGAGATCTGTTTCGCTTATTTCCTACTTAAAAATACTCTAATTCGACTAACTTGTTTCAGAATCGGAGAGTTACAAGAGCACGCCTCTCTCCAACTACAACATTAACTCCCCCGAGTCGTAACCACAATGTAGGTATTGTCAGATATGAAGGTCCATATGGGGGTGACAGTACTGTAAGTCTGAGGGATTTCTCATCTAAGTCATCAATATCGACTATCATGCCCAGCAAACCGACCCATTGCTAGATTCAGAGCCCGTGTTTTATTTCTAGCCACGACCAAAGTATGAAACTATCACTTTCTGCAAAGGGTTTGTGTCAAACCCGAAACACTTTTTTCCTCTGTAGATTGTGAATAAGATCGTGATGAGCTTACCTAAGGTAAGTAATTGGCCGAGAGGGCTCTTGCGACGTCTCCCTTTCCTTCTTCATTCTCAGCAACAACAACTGCAAGTGACGATTTCTTCTCTCTTTTCTTCTTCAGCCATCATCATCAACAACAACAACAACAACCGTAAGTCAACGGTACCTTCATTTGCCGTGCCTCTTGATTTCTTCGCTTCACTTTTTCTTCCGTCCGAGTTGTCACTGCTGCATCACCATGTGCACGGTTTCTCTCTCATGCCGCACCTCCCTTCTTGTCAGTTCCGGTCACTGCACACCATATGGCCAAGAACTCACGATTTTTGGCACTCTCATCACCCCTTGTCCTTTATTGACTCTTGGCTTCCTACAGACATCCCTCACGCCCTGTGCCTACGGTAAGCCCGACTAGTGAGGCTGGGGCAGACGCCTCAAAAAAGAAGAAGTCCTGTCGTCTTGTCCGTAAGTATTTATCCATTTATGCATATTGTGCAGGTTATGCATACTGACTAATCTTAGCCGGCACAGTTACTATCATCAGCGGGGAGGGGCAGATGGCCCTGAACGGCTGTTCGTTCTGTGTCGTAAGTTCTACCTTTGCCAGATATTTAACAACTTACTAACTTATATATATAGGCGACTGGTCGGGTTGGGGAAAAAACCAACAAAAATAACAAGAAGAAGGCCAACGAGAAGGTGGCGGACAAGGTTACCGAGAAGGTTGAAGTGATGCAGCTTGGTTGAACGTTTTCCCCAGTTTCTATTACTCTACTAGTACTATCACTACAATGAGATGTTTCAAGGCTGTTTAGCCTCCCTTGCGCAGCCTAGAAGAAGATACGTCAATTCATTCAACTGGACTTTTATCTTTTCTGCTTGGTGCATTTCTGAGCTTTCAATGTCGTAATAATCCAATGGCTTATGGCTATATCACCATAAGCTTTAGGATTATATTATCAAAATTAGGACTCAATGAACTAAACATAGGAAACCCCTTCTAAACTATAACAATACTCCCTAAAATGGTCCTAAAGCTTAGTTTCGTTTCGTTCATGTTCGTCACGCGAGCTGAAGATTTCACTCTTTTTTCTTGGTGAGGGCGTCAATAGCTCTGGAGCTCCCCTGCATGGAGTGGATACTTCAGCCTTCAGCCGGGCGTGCAACATGCTCATTGGCCGACTCATCTTGGCATCCAAGCCCCTCCCCCTGGCTTATCCGATCTGCCTCTAGCCTGGAATATCCCCATTTCATCCCCAGCTTCAACTTCAACTTCAACTTCAACTCCAACTTGGACTTGGATTGAAACAATACAAGCCAAGTTGAGTTGTTCTTTTTGACCTCTTGTTCCCGGTTTTATTCTTCTTGAACAGGGCCACTCGTTCCTTTGCCTTGTTTTTGTCTTTCTCTTTACTTTTTTATACAACTACTAAGTTGTCTTTGTTAAGGACAGATATAGACATGGCGCTCACTCGTAGGAGCGTCGTTTGCTCGGCTGTCTGCCTTGCACTCCTTGTCGGCCTTGTATACGCGGGCCATGATCACGAACATGTTGAGACTGTGAACAATGTCAATATTGACAACATGAGTCTCGAGGAGCTCGACACTCAACTCCAGGTACGCCAAGCTTAGCTCTCCCTCGAAACATCCTGTGCTGACACAATTCCTCTAGACCTGCCCAATTGTCGAGCAGCTCAATGCTGCAAAGCATGCTCACCATGCCGCTGCCCCCTCGTCGATGACCTCGCGCCTCTTCGCCGTTCTCTTCCCTGGTTCACCCGCTGTAAACGCCCTCCTTGCGACCCTCTACATCTCCGGCCCCCCCAACTTCCTTCTCGCCCTCTGCCCGACCAACATTGATCCTGCCTCTCTTTCCGTCATGGTTGCTTTTGCTGTGGGTGGTCTTCTCGGTGACACTCTTTTCCACCTTCTCCCTGAGATCTTTGTTGGCGAGGACCATGATGAGGCTGTCAAGTTCGTACTTGTCGAGCCTAACCGTAACCTTGTGCTTGGATTAGGTATCTTGGTGGGCTTTATGACATTCGTCGCTATGGATAAGGGCCTACGGATTGCTACAGGTGGAGCTGGCCATGATCACTCCCACGGACATGGTGATGCGCACGCTCATCCTCATGGTGAGGATAAGGCTGTTTCTTCCGGTGTTGATGCTACGGATAGCCTTGTCAAGTCTCGCAAGAAGGGTAATGAGGACAAGGGTGCTGTTGTTGCCAATGCTGTTGAGAAGCCTGAGAAGGAAATCAACCCTAGCGTCAAGTTGGGCGGCTACTTGAACCTAATGTATGTTGATTTCACGGCTTTGATCTTTTGAAACTGTACTAACACTTACAGTGCCGACTTTACACACAACATCACTGATGGCCTGGCTATGTCTGCCAGTTTCTATGCCTCGCCTACCATTGGGGCTACTACTACTGTAGCAGTCTTCTTCCACGAGATCCCTCACGAGGTTGGCGATTTCGCTCTTCTCATCCAGTCCGGCTTTTCCAAGCGAGCTGCTATGGGCTCGCAATTTATCACTGCCTTGGGTGCTCTCCTTGGTACTCTCATTGGTATTGCTATTCAGGAGTTCGGTAGCCCTAGCAGTGACGTCCCCATGGGCCGTAACGAGGGTATCTGGGGAACTAGCCTGGTAAGTTATATGAACACTCCCATCCCGGGATAAGTTGCTGACTTGTTGTAGACCTGGGGCGATATGCTTCTTCCCTTCACTGCTGGTACATTCCTCTACGTTGGAACCGTTGCCGTCATCCCTGAGCTTCTTGAGACTGGTCCTAACAAGGCTAAGGAGCTGAAGAACATGCTCATTCAGTTCTCGGCCGTGGCTATTGGCGCTGGTATTATGTTGTACATTTCGTGGCACGACTAGGGTATATGTGAGTCGATGTATGTGATGAGAGCTGTGTATTAGATGAAGCGGGTGTAGATGTGAGTTTGAGATATCATGGGTTTGTCATGCGTCGTTTTGATAGATGTCTTTCCCACGGGGAGCGAGTGTGCCTGAGAACAGTCCAGGTTGATTTGATCTACTCCTGGCGATTTGAGAGTCCGGGAAATAAATCCTTTCTTATGATGATTTTATACAGTCGAGGCTTAAGTCTAAGCCTAAGAATTATATACTTGTAACAAGACGTTACTGTGCCCTCACATTATGTGTTCTGGTTAATGTCTGGCATCTCAATGATAAACCTAGAGCAGGTTATGCTTCTTCTTTTCCCCCATCTCCTGTACACCTTCCAGTCACTCTTGTGGGGGCGTGTTGTGTGGCAGGACTCCGAGTTCAGTATATGTAATTGGGTGATTAATTAATCGATCGAATAATTCCATCCGGCCGGGACACTTGCCCCCTGGGATATCAGAACTGCGGCCCTTTGCCATAAATCGAGTCCGCTCACCTCATGTTGTCTGGGGATATAGTCCTAAGAATTCTCACCTCAGGCTCGACTTCAGGGTATGTCTCACAAAAGATTGAATTCCAAGACGAAAAAGGATATTCTCATCCGCGCTTGGTTTCAATCAAGCGGCTTGTCCATTTGCCACTTGAGATCTCTCATGTTGTATTACATGACATCTTGGTGCGCAATAATGCTGTCCGGTTCGCTTCGTCACCATATTCTAGCATGTGTCACTACTTCATTTCTACCCAAAAATGTCGACGAATCAAACTTTTATCTACATGTCAGTGACAATTATATGTGTAACGACGACTCTGTATTAGTAAGTGTAACTTATCTAGCAATAGATCTCATCACAGGAGTGTTTATGATTGATGTTCCGAATAGGCTTGAGTGAATGTTATTGTTTAGGGTAGTAAGAGCTCTTTGCCCGCCTCGGAATCATTGCTAATGAAGAAATTTGTAAAAGAGTTGACAGTGATCATCGCGAATAGTTATTCTGATTACAGAATATCCTCATAGTATCCCTTTGATGCAGTAAGTGGGTAAATATTGAAGGAATTATTGTTTCTTTTTTTTTTTCATCATGTGTCGCCACTCAAACATGAACTGGTGAGAACCTCATCAAACAAGCGGACGGAGTCAAAGACAACCCCACAAGCTCTCAATCTATCACTGATAATAATCACTAATCAACATCGATAACTGAGCCGCAATTTCACTAAGCACCACCGCTGATCAATGTTATCAGATCAACGAAATAAGCCTTTTGCTCGGCAACCGGACATCCACCATCAGGTCCTTCACAAGCCAATGATAAAGCAGAGCACAAGCCCCGGGATGGTCCTTGGACCCCTAAAACGGTACTTGTCGAGCAAAAAGCCCAGGGCTAGGGCATCTTCATGCACGGCGGCTATATCCATAGTGGGTGGACCGCGGGTGAGCGATGCATCACCAGATGGAATGAGTTAGAGCCTCATTAGTGCGCACGACCTGGATCCTGTTGGTGAATGTGTTTCCGGTATCCGGAAAGTGGAAAGATTAGGGGGTTTACGGGTTGGCGGAATGAGCGTAAGAGTCAGAGATGGAGAATGGAAAAGAAACTATTTGGCATATAATATCACCATATGGAGCAGTGGCAGTGGAGTGTAAGGTGCTTCCTCGGTATGATGCAGGGCAAGAAACCATCTACGTCTGAGCTTGCGTGTGCCTCCACGAGTGGCTCACAATCTCTTGCCCTGAGCGCGGCAATGTCATGTCGCGATAGAAACGTGGAGAGTGGATCGCGATCAAGGTGAAGCCACTCATACCGAGAGTGATCTGTGCTGAATGAGTTGGCTCTTGGCTTCCTAATTAACACAAGTCCAGGTGGGTTTACCGGTGGGTCAAAGGAAGAAGAGAATTTTTTAGGTCTGCTGAGCTTAAGTGCAATGTCGCTAGGTGTAGCTATTGTGAAGAGGGAAGTAAAGTGTCAATATCGGAATTGAGACCGGTTGAGTGAAAGGTGGATATTCAAGATGAAGAGGTTGGAGGGGAATGAAGAAAAAAAGGGGAGAGAGGTGTGAGTCGAGTCAAGGTTTGACTCACCGACTCCAAGATGGGGGCGAAAAGGGTAGGCAGGTGAAAGAAGAACGTTGAAATGAGGGCTGAGAACACTGAAATGGTGTATGGCAATAGCTATGGGAACAGACTTTGAGGTTGGTTCAACTATCGTGAAGTTGAATCTTGGTGTTTTGGCGTTTCAACGACGATCAACACCTTCAGATCAACAAGACAGTTTGTGCCTGGCCGAAAGGAGAAGGCATGCAAGGGCCATTAGCCAACCAACTGACACGAAGCCGGCTCGGAGACGGTGAGAAGATCGTTTCGGAGACTAGCACCATCTCCAGTTTCTGTTAGCTACAGTAGCTTCAAAACTCTGCATGAGGATGGGCTGTTCCACTTCTGCAGAGCGGCCTGAGCTTCCCCGTGTTATCTCGAAATTTGCTTCTCCCCGCATCTGGGCTTGAATGCTTTGTTCGTGATCTTCTGCCGGTAGCTCAAGAGCCCATATCTACTACGACTGTGATTGTGGTGGCAGGATTCTGTTGCGTAAAAGAACAAAGTGGGACGGGGAATGTTCCCCAGAGTAGAGATGCACGTCTAGTTGTGAGATTTCCTAATTGATACTCGTGAGTTGGGGACATCTGACGATATCGGACCCTGGCATGGCGAAACGAGAATTTCCATCCAGCCATGCTTCCTAAATAAGAACACGTTGTTTGCTGTTGCGGTGCGGGATGCCCGTCGAATATCGGCCATTGGCGGCGGCATCGTGCGGCATCGTGATGGCCT